CAACTGCCTACGGTGATCAGTCGTAGTGTATATGGTGTTTTTGGAGAAGGTTCACATCCATGTTTCTTTGTCATATATTAAATAACTTTTAAAGTGCCTATATATTTCCTTGGGTTGGTCAGAATTGCTAGTCAGGCACTCCTCGACAGTCAATTCGGAGTAGGATAAATCTCATGCGGTTTATACTCTAGAGATTCCTACTATATTGCGGCTAAGGTGGTTTTGCAAATTTATAGAAATAGACCACGGATTGATTCAAGTCCAGTGATCTATCATTCTATGTGACGACATAAGGTAGGAGTATGACGAGGGACGTAAGAGGAGAATAATAGAACACATCGACATAGAAAAGCAAAACCAAAAGAACACCATATCATCAAAGCCATTAGAAATCCATCTTGAGCCTCTTCTCCATCTCGTCATGGAAAGCAGGCGGCTCACGGAGATCATCACCTAATTCAACCAAGTCAGCCAAAACACATCCAAAACCAAAACACGAAGAACAAAACATACCATGGTAGATATCCTCCCACTGAACCTCACTATCCCGTCCTCCAATAACAAGAATATCCTCATGAATATTCCCACCCCGCACACCGCCAAGCACAGCAGGTCGGAATGTCCCATCCCGAACGATCTTCAGCTCCATCCCGCGACGGACGGGCTCCGCAATACCGTACGCCCGACGCAGTCCCTCCATCTTCAGAGCGTCCTGTGTAGCCCGCCACGCGACAAGTCGGGCCTCGAGAGGGTGCGTAGATGACGGGACCTCGCCGCTGGAGTTGGTAGACGACGCGTGTGCGGTGGCGGTCTGAGTGAGCTTGTTGCGGAGCGTGTCAGGGAGTCCTGGGGCGGAGGGGGCGCCTTTGGATGGGCGGGGTGTTTGGAGGCCTGCTTGTTGGCGGGTTGTGAGGTTGCTCGTGTGTGTTGCGTTGCCGCTTGGGGGGGCGATGCGGAGGGACTGGGGAGGTTTTGTTAGTTCTGGGTATTTAAGATGCATATTTGACACGGATTGGGGGTTGTGTTTTGAGGATGGGGGTTTGGTGATAGTGATGGTGGTTCTAGATGCTTGCTTATGGACTGGACTCCAGGGTGAGGTCCCGGGTCCGTAGCTTGATAACGTACCATGATGACGGATAATGCGAGGTGTTCGGGATTCAAGGGTTGAAACGCAGATTGGACAGATATAGGTGTCTATTCAAAGCTCGGAAAGGAGATAGAAAAGTAGAAACAAGAGTAAAGGGAGGACGCAAGATGACCGCCGATGATGCTTCAGGCAGAGAGAAGCAGCGCGGCCAGCTCCTACGGAAGACCCGAGGAACCAACAACGCAGCAACTCAACCTAACATCCAATCACGTGCCATCCACTCCGCCGGGGCCAACTCAATTCTATCGCGATATTCTCGACCCAGCGAAAGGGGAAAGAATCACACCTCAGCACACCACCCAAAATGACCCAATTATTCTCGCCGATAGCCCTCCGGGCCCTACGGACTCTGATCCACCGTCCTGCGATCTCATCGCCCCTCTGCCGCACCATCACCACATCACCCGCCATCTCCTTCGCCTCGAAACAATCCCCCATTACCTGCCGCCTCAACTTCCACCCCGTCTTCCGCACAGCCGCCCTCGGCCTCTCTGCCGTGCCAACGCGGCAATTCTCTAGCTCGCCTATCATCCGCGCTACGTACAACCAGGTCCGGCGCGGTATCCGTACCGGACAGCGGACTCGTCGGGGTGGATCGCCTGCGCTGAAGGGTACGCCTGGGTTGAAGGGTGTCTGTCTTAAGACTGGTGTTACCAAGCCTAAGAAGCCTAACTCTGGTGAGAGGAAGGTTGCAAGAGTTCGGTTGAGTTCCGGGAAGGTTATCACTGCTTATATTCCTGGTGAAGGTAAGATTTGCTGGCAATTGGATTGGGCCGGTTGTTGAGAATAGGATTTTGTGGATCCTGTTCTGGAGCTGGTGTTTTGCACAGGGATTTTTGGGCTAATTATTCTTGTACAGGTCACAATATCCAGCAGCACAGTGTTGTCCAGGTCCGTGGTGGACGTGCTCAGGATTGCCCTGGTGTCAAGTATACACTTGTTCGTGGTGCTATGGATTTGGTAAGTCTTGGCTTTTCTACTTTTTGCTCTGAATATCCAATTTTGGGGTGAATATCTAGATCATTTACTGATTGCATGTTTCTAGGGTGGTGTTGGAAGCCGTATGACGAGTCGCTCAAAGTACGGTACGAAGAAGCCGAAGACCAATTAAGACGGATTCGGGACAGGTTGATCACGGTCGATCTGCTGTGAGATTATACAATTTTGGCTTTGATCAGCTGCTGTAAAAGATATAACCTCATGGGGCTGCTTGGATGTGGCTTTTCGTGCTCTTCGCTGAGCAACCTCTTTCTGTTCATATAAGCATGTAACACTACGGATTGCGACTGTCTATTATCATATTATTTCTTTCGATGATCAAGCTCTTTGGGTCAAGTGTATTGATATCTTTTGAATCTCAGAGGAGGTATAGGAAATGGGTCCAGGAATATCCCTTTACTCCGAACCTATGCAAACCCCAAACAAGGATGAACGCTCGAAAACCCAGTAGCACACATGTTAAACCTCGTAGTAAAACCCCTTGTGGTAACGCGATAATGGGAATCAAAAAGAAACAGTCGAAAGGGTAAACCTGCAGATTGTTGCCCAAACGTGGTAAAATCGAAAAGGACATTGCTCCATCCATGTGTTATACCTACCACGAGCAAAGCAGCAGGCAAAGTGCAGGGAGATTCCACCGAGTTCTATAATCGCCGCGCAAATGGGTGACACTGTCAGCCTCCAAAGTGCGCAGCGCTTCCTATCCAGACGACAACCGACCCGCGCATTGTCACCAATAAGGAAATAATCGGGCTATCCATGAATAGACCCAGGGGGGTGGAAGAAGACAAGTAACTCAGTCATATTTCTTATCCCATCCATTCGGCTTGTCCATTTTGTTGACATCGAACCATTTCTTGGTGCCTGTATCACAATTAGTGCTGTGCTAGGGGCATCGATCAGAGGGGTATGGACATACAGGAATAATCCTTCCAGTCAAAGTTGTCCTTCGGTTGGCAAGAACATCTCAAGTCCAGACGTTTCTTTTCATCTGAGGGGCAATGCGTGAATGGGACATGGTAGTAGGCGATATCGTCCCAGAAGTGGATTTCATCTTTCTTCAACATCAGAGAAGCGGCGATTGAGTGAACCGGTGCGTCGCCCCATCTCTCATAGAAGAAACCGCCTTCCTTGTCCAAAGACGTGAAGTAGTCAATGTATGCGTCGGATCGCAGCCACTCCAAGCTGCCAATCTCAAAGTTCGACCACTGGCAGAAATATCAGCAAGGTCCAAGTTTGACCCAGTTTGGAGTACTTACGAAATGGCAGTTGTTATAGGTTTCTCCACCGTCATTGCTGATGAATTCCATGGCATTTCCCTCGGCAATATACTCGGGGTGATTGCCTGTGAACCTCTTCACGCTATCCCACAGGGTAGGAATAGTCGCCACATATTCGTACAGACTGATGACAAAGCTGTACTTCTTGTTGTTCTCCTTCATGAAGCGGAACGGATCGGAGTCGATATCACAGAAGAGCTCAATGCTAGGCTCGACGCGCCAGTAGTATTCATAGTTCAGCATGAGCGGGTGGCGGAAGAAGAACCCAGACTCATACCGACACATGTGGCGGTAACTCTCCGAGCCGCCGTAAATGATCTTCTTGCGATCCATCTCCTGTCGCGCTTCCTTGGCCTTGTCCTGGTCGATCCACTCTGGGTATGACCAGTGTTCCTCAGGGATGACACCATAATGAGTTTGTCCCGAGACCAGGGCGGTGGTTAATTTCTTGAACTCATCATCGAACTCGTCGTCATTCAGGAACACCCAATCATAGTTGTAGTTGTGGTTGAAACGGTCTTCGATTGTTCGGATGGACTTGACCATTTCCCAAAGGTCGGAGTTGCGCGCGAGGGTGACAAAGGTGGCATTTATACGTTCGCCATGGTGTGGACCGATAACTTGAGGTTTTTGCGACTTGACTGAGTCGTATGTGGGTGGGGATTTAGATACAGGAGCGGTTAACCCAGCGGTAGACATCGGGATAGAGGAATTTGAGACGAAGAAGAAGACCACCAATGCCTAGTCAACATTAACAATGGATATCTGTGACGGTGAAAGATATACTCACCACAACGGCAAAGAGTAGATATCGCGCATATCGAATAGAGACAGACATGGTGACGGGAGGAATGATGGTTCCCCGTTATGTGGCAAGGCAACAACAGATGTCAGACTGGCGCGGGTTGGAACCAATCCCGATTAAAAATTGAGCAACATCAATAGATGGAATATCAGCAAAAATGAGAAGTCCCCACTGAAAATTCCCAAGGTGATTTTATGGGGGGTGGAGAGAGATTAAAGGTTGAAAAGATCAAAGGCCGCGCAAGACAATGACAACCGCTTTCAGCCAGTTGGGGTGTTACCCAACTTGAGACATTCTAGTCCTCAGGGGGATATTATTAGGTACAAAGTGGGCTTGTAAGATCCGTATTTGATCCTGAAAGCGATGATGTCAATTCCACTTATACTAGAGAGACAAAGGGGAAATGATTCTCGTTATAATAGGTCAAATGTATCTCTTGTTGACTTGTGTTCATTAGGTTGCTATTCGAGTATAGATACATGCTCGGTATAGGGTCAAGATGTATATCAGGTAGACGCTCAAGTCTTGAATGTATCAATCTATAAGATATTATCACTTGATATCTTTCCCTCAATATCTTATCTGGTTTATATATCACAAAGGCTGAAAGCTGCACATCGGAGGAGGATCGACATGGCTTGGCAAAAGGTCCTTGCTGCCTGAGGCACACACCCTCCAGAACTTCCCGTCCATCGATCGCACCTTTCCTCAACTTCCCCCCCACTAAGTCATTCACCTCCCCACCTCTTTCCCATTCCTCATCTAGAGGATGGCTTTCTTTGGATTTGATACAACCCTACCCAGGGACCGTGATGGTTCAGGGGCCAAAGGGTTCTTCGAAAACCCAGATCCCTTCGCCGATATTGCTCGAGCTAATGCGCTGGGAGATGACGACGTGTGAGCTAATCTTTTTTTTTTGAAAATGGTGATAAAATGGGCCATTGTACTCATTTTTAATTAGGATTGATTTCGAGGATACCTATGATGGTCTTGGCGACCAGCTTTCCGACGACCAGGACGAGTTCAACGATGACACGTTTGGCGGAGCCGGCCCTGGGAAATCCGTTGGCAGAGACTTTGATTTCTTTGGGAAGACTGCTCAGGTCTCCGACGCCATTGGAGAGGAGCAGGTTCGATTTAGTCTGCAAAATCCCAATGCAGGCCGAGTCGCCCCCCGGCCCGCTCAAGCTCCTGTTCAGCCAGCTGCGCCCCAGACCACCAAGCGCTCAGGCTATGAGAAGTACTCGGATCCTGGCTACATTCCAGATTTGCAAGCCAAGTCTAGTGTCTGGGGTGTTTCGCAGAAAAAAGCCGAACCCGCTGCCGCTGCCGCTGCGCCGAGCCGGAAGATGATGAGCTTGGAAGAGGTTGAGGCACAAATGCGTTATCATGGCCATACTACCGCGACCCCAGCCGCAGAAGTATTTCTGCGATCTATGGTGGACCAGCCGCAGTACCCACCCCAGCTTCAGCACCTCCAGACGCTCCCTGATGGATTCCCGCCAGTGCATCTAGAGCTCCTCGAGGCACAGATGAAACAGGGCCACCTACCCCCGCAAATGTCACACCCACCGCCTGGTATGTCAGAGCTGTATGGGGGCCCTGGACATATGCCACCTGGTGCACCGTTGCATATGATGCAGAACGTCAACCTCCCCCCCGCAAAACATGCCGCCTCCTGGCCCGCGCCATGGTCCACCCCAGGCCCAGCGCCCTCAGCCACCCCAGCAGCCTCAGCAACCTCTTCAACATCAGCATGTACCACCGCCTCACCGCGTCTCCAGCAATGGAATGCCGGTGATCACTAACCCCCAGCAACTCATGCACCTCACGGAAGAACAACGTAACGCTTATTTGGTGGAGGATGCCAAGCGGGCAAAGCGCAACCACAAAATCTTCCTCCTGTCCCGAGGCAATGGTCTGATGACACCGCAGGACAAGAATTTCATCACCCGTATCCAGTTGCAACAGCTGGTCGCGGCTGCTGGTAATGTCGCAGATTCGGACCCCGAGGCCGTGCTGGCGGAGGACTTCTACTACCAGGTCTACAGCCAGATTCGTGGGGCACCCCGCCAACACCCCCACCAACCTCTTGGTCATTTCGCCCAGACCTATCTGCTCCAGACAGGTAACCGGCTCGGCGGGCATCGTCGGGGAAATTTCCAGAGTGCCGACAACCACATGCAGCGAATGCAGCAGCAGGTTCAGCGTGCTGTGGAGGCAGCAAAGGCTAAGCCCAAGAACAAGCAGCTCATCATCGAGGGCAGCTTGGGCAAGATCTCATTTAGCAATGCCAAGGCACCCAAGCCGATGCTGAACATTAAGCGCCCTGATAGCTCAGAAGGACCCAAGCCTAAGAAGCAGTCGGATCTGAGTCTCAGCGATCGCAAGTCGATCCTTACGAATCTCGAAGGTGTTTACAGTGCCTTGATGGCAATGGAAGACATGGAGCGCACGATGCCGCCACCCCCGAGGAAGGCGACGCCGAGGCAATCCAAGAACACATGGAATGGAGACAGAAGCTTCACTCGCTCAACCAGAAGTTGTGGCGTTCATTGAAGGTGATGGAACCAATTGTGCCCCACTCGACGACACCACACCCCTTTATCGCATTCTTGTCATACCCCAAGGGCAAGAAGGCCATTCCCCGCATCTTCCGTCACATTGACCAGGAACAGCGTGTCACCATTCTCACTATGATTGTCGTCCACCTGGATAGCTTAGACGTGGTTCGTCTTGCCCAGCCTGTACCGGGTGAGGCCCAGCCATCGCTCGGTGTACGCGAAGCCATTGATCTGTTCTCGCTGGCCGTCATGCCCTGCCTTTTGGGATACGTGAACGAGGCGCCATTCAACATTATTATTGGTCTTTTGGGATTGGTCATCAACCAAACCCATGTGCAGACAGTGGCTCGCACCAAGGTTGGATTGGGCATTTTGACCATGTTGCTCAGCCGTGCTGAGATTGTCAAGGAGGCCGGCCAGGCTTCCGAGAACGATTGGCAGCAGTGGGTTGAGAAATTCAATGTGCTGTTTGATACGTTGGAACTCGGATTAAATGAGATTTTCCCTGGATCGATCAGCTCTGGGGACGATATGTATGTCTGGCAGTTCCTTGCTGCCGTGGGCATTGGCGCCAGTCCTGAGCAGCAGCAGCGTTTGGTTATTGCCGTCAAGTGAGTATTTCAAGTTTGATCTCATGCAGAGAAACATTGCTAATCAATTTCTGACAGGGACCGTGTCATGGAAACCGTAGGCTACAGCAAGACCCTTCCTCCCGACATGGGCAGTCAGCGCTTGAACAACGTCAACCTTTTCATGCGGGCCATCGGTCTGGATGTTGAGCTCCTTGGTTGAAAATGGTACCCAACTACTTTCTGGGCTATCTTGATCTTGAGCCTTGGGTATACCCTTGGCATGTCAACACCCCCGAGTTCATCTTTGAACTCAGCCTTGAGTACTTAATAGTCTCAATAGGCCGTTGCTGAAATGCAACAACCATATCAGGGAATCTGGGCCCTGTCAACATCGGGCTGTACTATTATGCCTGAACCCAGCTTATTCTACTATTTTTTTTTCCAATACCACAATTTCACTTCGTTTGTCTATGAACACAGTAAATAATATGCCGAGCATTCTCCGGGCACGAACTCGGCCTTCAATGCCCCCTTGCGGCTGTTCCCGTCCGGCACAGCTGAAACGACGTTGTTTGCAGGAAAGGACTCTCAGGGGATTCGGGGAGATTTAAGGGGTTTCTCTTTGCATCCTTGCCTATCTTTACCCATTTCGATCTATTCAGGGCTGTTTTCACCGCCACGTCGTCGTCATACCACATACAGAATGTACATACTAATGTTCCGCATCAATGCTTGAATAGCAATCGGAACAGAACGGAGAAATTCAAACTAAATAAGCCAATAGCTATGATCATGTTCAATAGTAAATCAATATAAAACAAAACAAAAACGAGAAGATCAGGCCAGGCCGCATCATCATATCCCCACGTGTACGCCGGATGCCCCCCACATCCAATTTCCCCTTAAAAGCTGCCCCTCGCTCTTCACTCTTCTCTCCATACATATTCTTCCTTCCTTACAGACTACAATCATGCCTTCTGGCTCAGTTCTGGTTGCTGGGTAAGTCAACTTCTTTGAATCCCCTGGGATTTTATATTGAAACTCAAACTAATTCCCCGCAAAGTGGCACGGGCTACATTGGCTCGTTCACCACCCTCGCCCTCCTCGAGGCTGGCTACAAGGTCGTCGTCGCCGATAACCTCTACAACTCTTCACCTGAGGCCCTCAATCGTATTGAGTTGATCTGCGGCAAGAAGGCCGAGTTCGTCCAGCTCGATGTCACCGAGGAGGGCAGCTTCGACAAGGTCTTCGAGGCTCACCCCGACATTGACAGCGTTATCCACTTCGCTGCTCTGAAGGTGCGTATCCGATGAAACAAGCAGAACCCCTATATGATCCAATGGCTAATTCAATTATCCCAATCTAGGCCGTTGGCGAGTCCGGCGAGAAGCCCCTCGACTACTACCTGGTCAACGTCTACGGCACCATCAACCTCCTCCGCTCCATGGTGAAGCACAATGTCACCAACATTGTCTTCTCCAGCTCCGCCACCGTCTACGGTGATGCTACCCGCTTCCCCAACATGATCCCCATCCCCGAGGACTGCCCTCTGGGCCCCACCAACCCCTACGGCAACACCAAGTTCGCCGTCGAGACCGCCATCACCGACGTGATCAACGCCCAGCGCAACAACGCTACCAAGGCCGGTAACGAGGAGGAGGCCAAGAAGTGGAACGGCGCTCTGCTCCGCTACTTCAACCCCGCCGGTGCCCACCCCAGCGGTATCATGGGCGAGGACCCCCAGGGTGTCCCCTACAACCTGCTCCCTCTGCTTGCCCAGGTTGCCACCGGCAAGCGCGAGAAATTGATGGTCTTCGGCGATGGTAAGCACATCTTCCACGTTCCTCCTTATTAGCAAAGCACCCAATCTAACAAACACGCTAGACTACGCCTCCCACGACGGAACCGCCATCCGCGATTACATTCACATCCTGGACCTCGCAGACGGCCACCTCAAGGCCCTTAACTATCTCCGCGCCAACAACCCCGGCGTGCGCGCCTGGAACTTGGGTACCGGCAAGGGCAGCACCGTCTATGAGATGATCCGTGCCTTCTCCGCCGCTGTCGGAAAGGACCAGCCCTACGAGGTTGCTCCCCGTCGCGCTGGCGATGTCCTCAACCTCACTGCCAACCCTACCCGCGCCAACACCGAGCTCGGCTGGAAGGCCGAACGTACCCTCGAGCAGGCTTGCGAGGATCTCTGGCTCTGGACTAAGAACAACCCCCAGGGTTACCGCCAGCAGCCCCCTGCTGAGCTGCTTGCTCAGCTTAAGAAGTAAATTTACTTCGCATGCTGATGTGCTGACGTCTTGTGTGGTTTAAAATGATCTTGCGTCTGTTGATATAGAAGACATTGGTCTAGTTGGTAGAATACATGAAACGAATTTCCTTTTTTGTGATCCTTTGGTCTATAAATTTGAGCTTGTTCTTTTATCACAAATAGAGTAACAGCCCTTCCAACCCCGTCTATACATATATCATAGTGTACCTACAAGGCAGGTATACACCTTCACTTATTTCTGTCCCTTTCGACTCCTCCTCGACCCGTCAGCCTTTCCCTTCTTCGAAGTCGTCTCCGCCCTCTCTTTCTTGACTTTCTCAGCCTCAGCCGCCTGCTTCTCAACCTCAACCGCCTTCTTCTCCAAGGCCCTCATAACAGCACTCTCCTTCTCCGCCTCCTCAACCATCTTCCCACTAAACTCCCAGAGCTTCTTCCCAACCTCATCATTCCGCACATCAGCCCGCGCATAGTCCATCTCCCGACACTCCTTAATCAACCACCCACCCCCACCCCGTCCATACTGCTGCTCCATTGCCGCATACAGAATACTCTGCGCACCCTGCACAGGCGACTTAAACAGCAGCCACCAGACCGGCCAAGTAAGCAAGTACAACGCAAGACCCCATAACGATCCACCAGTCAACCACCGCCGCGTTCCCGGAGTCCGCGTCAACCCAGGATCAACAACGATAACCCGTGTACACGGTGGCAGACTATCCGGCCTCTGGTAAGCATTCAAATGTCGCTGGAACGAGTGCGCGAAGATAGTAAGCGCAAGCTTGCTGAGAGCATACACGCCCTTCGGCTGCTCGTACAGAGGCGGTGAAGTCTTCGTCCGCTTCGAAATAACCTTCTGTTTCCCGCGCGCCACAGAGTCCAGTTTGCTGAAGTCACCGCCTATGTAGCTCGAGCATGTCGCGAAGATCACGCGTACGTCGCGGTGTGCGGGTTGCGCGCGTAATGCTGGGCTGAGGATGCTGAGGAGGTGGAAGTTTGCGAGGTAGTTTGTTTGCCATTCTATGTCGATGCCGTCTGTTGTTAAAGCGCGGGGTCCAGAAGGCTCGGCTGTTGCGCCGGCGAGGATTATGCAGTCTAGTCGGCGGGGTGGGATGTTGTCGATCCATTTTGTTGCGAAGGTGCGGATTGAGTGCAGGGAGGAGAGGTCGACTTGTTCAGCGTGGATGAGATGGTTTTTTGTGCTGGTGCGTAGGTCTTCAATGTATTCGGAGAGGAAGAGATCGGAGGGTGGTTGGCGGGTTAAGAGGATTACTTGGGCGCCGCGAGTTGCGAGCTCGCGGACTACTTCTGCGCCTATTCCGGAGGTTCCGCCCTGGTTTGTTTTGTTAGATGGATAAATTGCATGGTGATTCTGCGCTGGGAGGGTGTGTTACCGTCACCATTATCACTTTTGATCGCATCATTCGCTCAGAGCTGTTGCGGGCTCCTTCAAAATAGTATTTTAGTGCCGCGAGAGCTAGCACCCATGGTGCTATGCGGAGGACTGTCCAGGCATGCGGGATGGACGAGATGCCATCCCGGAGACCCTGGGCAATGATGGGGATGGGCATATTCAATTGAGATGTGAGGATAGGAGAGAGGACAGGTGTGTGTCCAAAGGGATTTCTCCATACGTACACGTATCTCCGCTTATCGAGCTTATCGCCACTTTCTTAATTCCGCTCCACCCCCAACCCTCTTTCTTCCTTTTTTGTTTCCCTTCACAGCTCTACCATTCTCAACCATGGCCTCTGAAGACGAGGACTACTTCCTCCCACCAGAGGGAGTACGCCCCTTCAGCTCCGGCGTCCGCCGCAAACGCGTGCAGTTCGTACCCTCCTCCAACCTAGACACAACAACAGCACCTGCACCAGCGCCCTCATCCTCCGGTACCAGCATTGCAGACAAATACCTCTCTATTGTAATGAACCAGTCGGCCCCAAATACATCACCAAGCACACCTACCCAGCGCGTACCGTCACCACCAATCCGCACACAATCCGCACCGCCAATCCAAGACACAATTCCGCCTCCACCCTCAGCGGCGACTACGCCCGCGGCCCCGGAATACTGCGACGTGTGCAATCTACCTCTCCCACCACAATCTTCGGCGGATGCAACAGACCTAAAACACCGTCCGCATGAAGCATCCCTCGCACATCAAATCTGTCTCGCTCACTCCCATCCACCGTCACATCTCGACCGCACGCGCCCAGGTCTCCGATACCTCTCTACCTACGGCTGGGATCCTGACAGTAGGCTTGGGCTCGGTGCGTCTGGCCGTGAGGGTATCCGTGAGCCTATTAGACCTCGTGCCAGGCCTGGTACTGCTGGACTGGGGGCTGGACTTGATGAAGATGGAGATCCGTTGCCGCCACGCCCACCGCCAGTGAAGGTGCAGAAGCTTAATTCCAAGGAAGTACGGAAGAAGGCCGCGGAGGATAGGAGGAGGGCGGAGAGAATCAGGAAGGCTTTTTATCAGAATGATGAGGTTTTGAAGTATCTTGGGGAAGGTGTTTAGGTGGTGGGTATTGTGGATGGATGGTGGAGGGTTGGATATGGTCTTCTTTGTTTTGTTTTTGTGTTTGATGATACCCCTACTTGTTATTTTGTTATGTTATATGGTTGTATGTGGTTATCAGTTTCGAATGGAGATACTGCATTTGATTCTGTTTCAGTGCTTGACTTGAATACTTGACTTGAACATTTACCATGTGTTAGGTATTGCCAGTGGACACTGGTGTCCAGATTCTACCCAGCGTAAATTGCAATAGAGTGAAACCACTCCCACGACCAAGTCTTGACAGGACCTATCTTGGAGAAAGAAATAAAAAACCGCTGAAAAAAGCGCCTTGAATGCTCGGGACCAGACCAGATCAGCAGAAAGATAAGGAAAAGAATGTTATCACAAAAGCGCTGGAGGGAGACAGCACATGGGAAGCAGGATGAGACCAAGAGAAACGGAAATGGAGAAAGCTACTTGAAGAAACGGTACTTCTTCTCCTTCTTTTCCTTCTTCTCCTTATCTTTCTTGTCCTGTTTCCCGCTGCCAGATGAGGCGGGGCTGCTTGCGCTCCCGTTTGATTTAATTGACATACCAGCCATCAATGCCTCTGGCGGAGCTGGGGGGTTGAGGTGTGCCGTTGATATGGGCTTCTTCTTCTGTGGCGGCGGAGTGGGAGCTGGAGGGGCCTCGCGCTCGAACAGATGGGCCGGAGCGGTAGGTTTGGGACGCTCGTATGGGAGGTCGAGGCGACGCCGATCAACACTAAGGTCGCCTACCTGGCGGAGGAAAAGACCGGGGGTCAGCATGTGCGTCGTAGCGAGGTAGACATCTCGGTTGTATGCCGCTGAAACTTCGTAACAGGCCCGTGACTCGCTATAGGTGGCACCGCCGGCCATAAAGACAATTATGCGCTGTCGAGGCTGATCGACAGATCTTGTGCGTGCCCAGGTCGGTTTTGCGCTGCGCAGAGAAGCCTGCTGTGATTGCATTTCTTGGGCAGCTATGGCGCCGTCCGTCTCGGTCTGCGGGCGTGTGAAAGGGAAGGATGTCGCGTCCAGGTTTCCCTGGATCTGGTCTTCGAGCATCTGCTTGATAGCTAACTCGTAGCGGCTCAAACTGAGCTCCTCTGATTCGGGTGGTGGGTTGCGTCTGTTGAAAAGAGGTTGTACTGGTGGTGGCTTTTCATCCTTGAGAGGCTTCTCGACACGAACTCCAAGGAGCTCAAGGTTGGCAATCACCGCGCCGTCTTGTGGTGGGAGTGCGGCGTGGGCCATAAGTTTGCGAATGTCACCACCTAGCAATCCATTACGATAGATGATGTACAGAAGTATAAGTCGAAGTCGATCTGGTGGGACGACTGCGTCGTCGTCGAGGAGCTGCACGAGCTGCGCTGCTAAGTTCTTTGCCTTTTTGTAGTTCTCATCAAGACCCGTGGCGAATGACTGCTCGGTGGAGCTCACTTCCAGAAGTTTGCGGGACTGGAAGTAATTCATACATTCTTGTGCCATGTTGAGGTGCAGGGTGTAGGCATCCTTGCCCTTTTGAAACTCTGTCAGTCCGCCCAACATATCCTTGATGGTGTTCACATTAGATTTGTCGTTACTAAAACCCCAAGTTAGTAGTCCAATTCCAATATAGAAAAAGCTGATTGAAACTCACTCGTCTGCGAACTGAGGGTTTGCTGCTCGGAATTTGGCAAAGTCCTCGCCCAATTTCCCGAGCACATCCTTCATATGCATATGGCGATAGTCCACCCAGACTCGATCATCCTCGCCGATCTCCATCTCCTTCACCTCCTCATTTGGGGCGCCCTTGTTTAAAACTGTTTTGTAGGTCACCTTGTCTCCATCCGTGACAGGAAGAAGATCGTGGACCATGGCCTGATATGTAAATTCGTGAATGAGGGGTGCGAACAAGTCCATGGAACGGTCCACTATGAACAGTACGCCTCGGGGGCGGTTTGTTTGAGGTGGGAAGTCACGTTGTTGCTGCGCAAACTGATCCAGTTCATTTTGAATGAAACGTGCCAAGTGAGAGCACATAACTCCAGCCTCATGAGTCGGAGATCGGGGCCGATAGTACCGAATTACAGGATACTCGCCCAGGGAAGCGCAAAGAGAGACAACCTAGATTCACGTCAGCTAGCTCACTCATACTCGGAGAGCACCTCTTACTTTCTGAGCCAATTCTTCCAAATGGCGCCGAATCAAGTTGTTGCAACCCGGGTGGAAGAGGATCGGGAAGCTCCACGGATCCCGGAATGTAATTAAGCGCGATTCCCTGGGGTAGAAATTGATGTTCATGATATGAAAGTCCGCAATACGGTCGCGTGCCATTTGAGATCGGTCAATCCGAGATCGCTGTTGCGGATCGAGGGCTAGAAGCTGTGTGAGCGAAATGACGTCGTAATGGCCATGGGGGTCACCAGCCCACTAACATGAAGTCCACACCAAGAATGCCTTTCTGTATCGTCCAACCTCAAAATCTGCCATCAAACAGTCGACCACGTACGATTCCGGGGACAATATGTACAGCGCATCCATATCGGGATTGGACGGTCGTCGGTGTTCGATCTGCTCGACATCTGTATGGCATTAGTGATATTGTTTAAGTCCGCGAAGCATAGAAGGAGCTCACTGGAAACATTGAGATTGAGGATTTCCTCCTCCTTCACAGCGCCATAGACCAATTTCTTGCTGGTCTCATCCACCACCAAGACTTTCCACTATCAGGGGGAGGGGTGCCGTCAGTATCCGTAGAGGGGTTGAACGGAAGGGTCGGGCTCACTTCGTGGCCACCGGCATTGCGGATTGTGTTCAGGATAACTATTCCAGTTGAATGTCAGCTGGGAAATCTTGTAAGAGGAAGAAGGTCATCACATACAGTCGCGTTGAATGTTAATTATTGAGGAGCCCATTGCTGACGGGGCAGCTCACAACTTGGGAGCTTTCAGCGAGACAAGAAGGGAAGATAAAACAAAAAGAGACAGGTAATATGTTGCAAAGAGGACTTCAAGAGAAATTCAGGAGAGTGAGGTGGCCGTCTGAGGTATATGAAGGGAAGATGGTGTTCCCCACCATTGGAGCTTTAAAGTGGATCGGGTCGATAAGGGAACTTTTTGCTTTCTCTCTCTGATATCTTCCTCTCCCTTCTCTTCTCTTTGTTAACTTGCCAACTCCTCACTTTCTTTGTTTCAATCCTATATACGGGATTGGAGCCCGTCATCCAGGAATGCAGCCATGGATTGGCGGTAGTCGTTCCCTCTGTGCTTTGCGACCCTCGACTCGTTTCGTTGTACGACCTTTCACCACAACCTCGGTTCTTCAGCGATCGAAAAAGGGCAAACCTGGTATCGCCGACAAAAAGCCCGATACAAAGAGAGGAAAAACACCCGTCGGGGCTTCCATCTCGAGATCTATCCGACAGGATATTGCAGCCGCGCGAGATTTCAACGAACTGGTGGAAGCGACTCTGCGCGATGTATACAACAAGTTGAGTAAATCAGGCGAATCGCTAGAGGGATGGACTCAATTTGAACGTCAAATCAAAAACGCCTGCAAAGCAGATGATAAGAAGGCATCCGCACAATGGGGGCCCCTTCGACAAATCAAGGTAGCACTGCAAAAGGCCTACCTTGCCTCCGGAATCCAAGGTTTGCGGGAAGAGGTGGAATACATGCAGTATTCGGAAAGCCTCACTGCTAGATTCTCGGCACCCATTCTGGAAGCACAGGAACACGTGGCCGACCTTCGATGGCCAGCCGAGTGGTATCCGCGCGCACGATCCATGCAACGAACGATCCATCTCCACGTTGGGCCGACGAATTCCGGAAAGACCTACCATGCACTACAGCGGCTGGCGAAAAGCAAGAACGGGTTCTATGCGGGCCCGCTGAGATTGCTCGCGCAAGAAGTATATCATCGTTTCAAGGCAGATGGGGTTCCATGCAGTCTCGTCACCGGTGACGATGTCAAGTTTCCCGAAGGTGATGAAGTGCCGCGCATTACCAGCAATACTGTGGAAATGGTTAGCCTGGGGCAGGAATACGATGTTGGTGTGATTGATGAGATCCAAATGATCGCTAACTCATCAAGAGGATGGGCATGGACTCGGGCTTTCCTTGGTGCTCAAGCAGCCGAACTGCACCTGTGCGGTGAAACCCGCTCCGTACCATTGATTCGGGAACTATGTGCACTCACAGGTGATAATTTGGAGGTCCACCGCTATGAACGTCTGAATGCCTTGGAAGTAATGCCGCACAGTCTGAAGGGTAATCTCAATAGCCTTGAAAAGGGTGATTGTATAGTAGTCTTCTCCCGGAAAGGTATACACGCTATGAAGGCAGATATTGAGAAGACTACCGGAAGGCGCGCAGCCATCGTTTACGGTGGTCTGCCAGCAGAGATCCGGACCCAGCAGGCAAATCTATTCAATGACCCAGACAACGACTACGATTACCTCGTGGCAAGTGACGCGATTGGCATGGGTCTCAATTTGTGAGTTCTGCACTGATTATATTTGCGCTTCCATACTAACCCACGATAGGAGCTGCAAGCGTGTGATCTTTGACACCCTCGTTAAGCGTGTCCCGACTGGACTTCAACGACTTACTGTTCCCGAGATCAAACAAATTGGTGGGCGTGCTGGTCGATATCGTCCAGCCAATGTCACAGAAAGCACAAACGAGGAGCCTAACGTGGGCCTGATTTCCTGTCTCGAAGAGGTCGACCTTCCGTATATCCAGCAGGCTATGAAATTAGAGCCCCCACCGCTGAGTGCGGCGGGCATCTTCCCTCCCGAATCTGTTTTCCGAAAATTCGCCGCCTACTTCCCACCAGGTGTACCCTTCGAATACCTGATCAAGCGGGTCTTGGAAATTGCCAAGGTCAACCCTTTGTTCTTCCTCTGTGACCCTACTAGTCAGCTAGGAAATGCCGAAATTATTGACACCGTTAAAGGACTGCCGTTTGAGGACCAGTTAAAGTTTATGGTTTCTCCAATGGACCGTCAAAGTGCAAGCTCACGCGATGTTACTGGTGCTATGGCAGACTGTGTAGCCGAGCACCATGAAGGGCGACTGTTGGATATCTCCCATCTCAACCTAGAAGTCATTGAGCAGCCTGTTTCCGGCAGCAACGAGTATTTGCATGATCTGGAAAGCCTTCATAGGGCAGTCATCTTGTACCTGTGGCTCAGTTTCCGATTCGGTGGTGTCTTCACTGACCGAACCCTGGCAAGTCATGTCAAGGAACTTGTTGAAGAGCGGATGGTTCGGGCATTGACTGAATTCTCCGCCAACAAGAGACTGCGGAAGGGCGCTTCACTGAAGCGCCAGATTGCGCTGCAGAAACAGTTGTTGGAGCAGGAACGCATGGGAGTTCCTGCAGACTGGAGGCAGGCCTCTGGCGAGGGAGGGGAGATGGAAGTGAATTTGCCCGAAGAAGTTGCTTCGGAGGTTGCGAAGGCTGCGGATGGTGAATCGTCTGACGCCGAACTCTCATTATTCGAGCCATCACCGAACGCAGAGGGCGAGGAAGAGAGTTCTTCCCCCGATTTGGAGTCTGACACAACGGAGTCGTACTATGACACGGAAGTCCCCAGAGAGTGATGAACATGTATACCACAGAATATGTATATTAGATGTATAAAACCGATCTCCAATACTTAATACCCGATCTCTGTAGATCTCATTACTATCATCTTTCGTGCCATTGTGTATCTTTCCGGCTTGCATTTGCTTTCCTTGAGAAGTTGAATCTTCCGACTTTTATTATTATATTGTCCCCATAAATCCATCAAGTCTCATTGATCTCACTTCAAAATTGAACAACATACAAAAATCGTGTATACCGCCCTATCTTATCGGTGGCAACTTCGGCTGTACTAATTTTCCGCTTCAAGATCCCGAACTGCCTCCGAGAGCTACAGGCAGTGTTTTGCGCGCTCGCCAATTTATAAGTCACTTGTCCAGTTTTACTGGCATCAAATTTCATTTTGGTTGGATATTTTTCGCTCCACCGCCCATCATGGATGACCTCGAGTCTCTCGAGCTGTTCTCGCTCGTCTCGCGCGTGACGAACGAGTTCGAGAACCACTTGGGAATCGCAGACAAGACCCTCGCAGAGTTCGTGATTGACCAGCACCTCAAATGCAACGGCAAGTTTGCAGATTTCAAGAAATTCTTCGACGACATGGGCGGCGAATTCCCGCAGAGTCTTTTGGAGAGTGTCGACCGCATGGTGCTCACGATGCATCCCAAGTACAAGGGAAAGAAAGCGGCGAACGATAAGGGAGATTCTCATGGCAACGAAGACATGGACTTGCTTGATGCCCTGGAACAAAAATCGCGCGTGTTCAAGGGTCTTGCGGTCCCCGATACGGTGAAGCGCTGGGCGGAAGAAGACTACATAGATCGCCAAGCGGCAGACGAGGCCGATGCAAAAGGAGATGCGATGGACGACACTTTCGCTATGCTTGAGGGCTTGGCAGGAAAAGCGAAGGAGGATAAACCATATGCACCAAGAAACGATCGCGGGACTAGGAAGCGAAGCCGCAGCCCCGAACACAACGACTACGACCGTGGACGGCGCAGAGACAAATACCGCTCACGATCAAGATCTCGAAGTGGTACGCGATATAACAAAAACCATGATTTCGTGGATGAGTTCGGTAGATCGATTGAAAAATACGGCAGCCGAGAAGACAGCCGTCGCAATGGCCATAGTGACCGTCGGCGACGCCGTGATCGCGACGAGGATGATGATTTCCGCCGTCCTCCCCCTGTCGAGCTGGATGACCATCCGGTTCTTTTCAAGGTCTATGATGGAATCGTTACGGGTGTGAAGGATTTCGGTGCTTTTGTGAATCTAAAAGGAGTCAAGGGCAAGGTAGACGGCCTTGTTCATGTTTCAGCAATGCAAGAAGGAGCCCGAGTGAATCATCCCTCAGATTTGGTCTCACGGGGCCAACCAGTCAAAGTCAAAGTGGCTAGTATCGAAGGGACTCGCATCGGACTGTCCATGAAGGAGGTGGATCAAGCGACAGGCAGGGATCTTGTTCCCCAGAAGCGTCTTGCCTCTGGTGCAAATATGGAACGTCTTGATGGCGGTTTCTCAGATAACAATTACGGCAGCCTCGCCTCCGATGTGCCCGTCATTGAAGGGTCTGGAGGTCGACCAATGAGGAACCGAAAGCGCATGACTTCGCCAGAGCGGTGGGAGATCAGACAATTGATTGCATCCGGTGTTGTCTCTGCAGCTGATTATCCCGACCTCGACGAGGAATATAATGCAACGCTCACCGGCGAAGGCACCTTCGAAGAGGAGGAAGATATTGATATTGAGGTCAAAGATGAGGAGCCTCCCTTCTTGGCTGGCCAGACAAAACAATCCCTCGAACTTTCTCCTATTCGCGTTGTCAAGGCCCCCGATGGTTCAATGAACCGTTCTGCAATGGCAGGCACCAACCTTGCCAAGGAGAGACGCGAATTGAAGCAACAGGAAGCACAAGACAAGGCCGCCGAAAAGGCGGCGGATGTCGATCTGAATGCTCAATGGCAGGACCCCATGGTTGCACCGGAGGAGCGAAAGTTTGCTGCTGATCTTCGGAGTGCTCAGCAGCCCAAGCAGGATGAGGCTGTACCGGAGTGGAAGAGAGCGACAATGGGCAAGAACACATCGTTTGGAAAACGGACGAACATGTCCATCAAACAACAACGCGAGAGTCTGCCCGTCTACAAGTTCCGCAAGCAATTGCTGGATGCAGTGAGGGACAATCAAATGATGATTGTCGTTGGAGATACAGGTTCTGGAAAAACCACGCAGTTGACGCAGTACTTGGCCGAGGGCGGATATGGAAACAATGGAATCATTGGTTGCACCCAGCCTCGTCGTGTTGCTGCCATGTCAGTGGCCAAACGTGTAGCTGAGGAAGTTGGTTGCAAACTCGGAGCAGAGGTTGGATATACCATCCGTTTCGAGGATTGTACCAGCCCAGACACGAAGATCAAGTACATGACCGATGGAATGCTCCAGAGAGAAATTCTTCTGGACCCAGACCTCAAGAGATATTCCGTTATCATGCTTGACGAAGCGCACGAGCGGACAATCGCGACTGATATTCTGTTCGGATTGTTGAAAAAGACAGTCAAACGAAGACCCGATCTCAGATTGATTATCACTTCCGCCACACTGGACGCTGAAAAGTTCTCCGAATACTTCCACGGTTGTCCCATTTTCTCAATTCCCGGCCGAACTTTCCCTGTCGAAGTCATGTACTCCAAGGAACCTGAGTCTGATTATCTGGATGCTGCTCTCATCACTGTCATGCAAATTCACTTGACAGAACCGCAGGGTGACATTTTGCTCTTCTTAACAGGCCAAGAAGAGATTGATACAGCATGTGAAATTTTATTCGAGCGTATGAAAGCTTTAGGACCTAGTGTCCCTGAATTGGTCGTCTTACCTGTCTATTCTGCACTACCCAGTGAGATGCAGAGTAGAATCTTCGATCCGGCACCCCCAGGCGGACGCAAAGTCGTTATTGCAACAAATATTGCGGAGACCTCGATCACAATTGATCAGATTTACTACGTCATTGATCCTGGCTTTGTGAAGCAGAACGCCTATGATCCAAAGCTCGGCATGGATTCCCTTGTGGTCACTCCAATTTCCCAAGCGCAAGCTAAACAAAGAGCTGGTCGTGCTGGAAGAACAGGACCTGGAAAGTGTTTCCGATTGTATACGGAGGCTGCCTATCAGTCTGAAATGCTTCCAACATCCATTCCTGAGATCCAGCGCCAGAACCTCTCACATACCATTCTCATGCTCAAGGCAATGGGCATTAACGACCTCCTCCACTTCGACTTCATGGATCCACCACCTACCAATACCATGTTGACAGCCCTCGAAGAACTATATGCCTTGTCAGCACTTGATGATGAGGGTCTTTTGACTCGACTCGGACGAAAAATGGCCGATTTCCCCATGGAGCCTGCGCTTGCCAAGGTGCTCATTGCATCCGTGGATGCGGGTTGCTCCGATGAAATGCTTAGCATTGTCGCCATGCTTTCAATCCAGTCTGTCTTCTACCGACCCAAAGAAAAGCAGCAACAAGCAGATCAAAAGAAGTCCAAATTCCACGATCCACACGGCGATCATCTGACCCTCCTCAATGTCTATAACGGGTGGAAGAATGCAGGCTTCAACAACTCCTGGTGTTTTGAGAACTTCATTCAAGCACGACAGATCAAGCGTGCCCAAGATGTCCGCCAGCAACTGCTGGGCATCATGAACCGCTACAAGCACCGGATTGTCTCTTGCGGCCGCGATACCATGAAAGTGCGACAGTCCCTGTGCACCGGCTTCTTCCGCAACGCAGCGCGCAAAGATCCCCAGGAAGGATACAAGACCCTTGTGGAAGGAACACCCGTGTACTTGCACCCCAGCTCCGCGATGTTCGGCAAACCATCCGAGCACGTCATCTACCACACTTTGGTCCTCACGAGTAAGGAGTACATGCATTGTACCACTGCTATCGAGCCGAAATGGCTCGTGGAGGCGGCGCCTACTTTCTTCAAGGTTGCGCCTACGGATCGATTGTCGAAGCGTAAGAAGGCTGAGCGTATCCAGCCTCTGCACAACCGCTTTGCTGGCGAAGACGATTGGCGTATCTCTGCCCAGCGGCGGCAAGGCAGAGGTGGTGGTGGTGGAACTTGGGGTTGATTTTTGTTTTTCAAGATACCAGCTGTGGTTGCAATCGTACTTTTTTTTCCCTTGCGTCTTACTTTTCTTTACATTGTGCTTCTGCATAAATCACTTAGCTTAAAATATCGGAGTTCCTTCTTTGGGGCTAGTTCTTGTATGATATCTAAATGGGAATACTTTACTGATTGTTTCATTCACTACTGAACTCCTAAATACTACCGGCAGTACAAACCTCAAATGTGCAAAAAGCCTTATAATGACTTCCATCGGTACGGACAACTATTGAGACCAGCGATACATAACCCTCTTTGTGGTTTATATGAAGTTCATAAAACCAAAATACTTGAAATTGAAGTATATTAAACAAGAGTAGACTTACAATATTTTCAAGGTCTTTTGAGAGGTCTTTCTAGAGGGTTTTCGGCCCGTTCCTTAGATATCTTTTTTCAATGTCTTGAAATCCCATCTGGCCGTGTCAGTAGCTTCCACAGAGTTGTAGGGGTGTCAAATCGTAGAAAATTTGTCCACATTACTCGCGTCAATTCCATGGCCCCTGACCTCAATGATATCGCGAAGACGGCGAGTCATAGTCTCTTTGCAGTGGACGTCCATTGCATCGATCTTGCACTCGATTTGTTCAACAAGACTCTCCATCCGGGAGGTCTTTCTCATCCTCTCCTTGCACAATACGATTTGTTTATGGGGACCCGCGGTGGTCATCTCGGTATCGAGGGCTGCGATATTCTTCACGAGGTCCTTCAGCTCGGCCATTTAGCCTTTGATGGCTTCGATGGTAGATGGTTTAGCCATAGCCGAGATGATAGAATGATAGAGAAGTTCAAGTTCTTGATAGCGGACAAGTAGATGAAGTAGGTGAAGTTGAAATACCAGTTGCCCCCAAAGAACCGAAAGAACTGGAGAAGTTGGAAGAGCAGGAATAGAAAGGAATGGATCGAACAATTAGACAGCATAAATAGCATGTTGAAGTCGTTTTCTGGTTGACAAGATGGGACGAGACGCGAGTCTCCGAAATCTAAACATAACACCATGAAATGTACGCCAAAATCGAAGTCAGGTGCTATACCATATGTGGTAACAAGAGATTAAAGATACACGAGCATCCGCTATTGCATAAGATGAGAGAGAATATATATTGCAACACACATCGTTTTCATAGCACTCAGCAACATAAAAGATGTTGCTCGTCACGCGTCTTTGGAATCTACCTGAGATGGCTCTCGAATAAGGAAATACATCACCATGGGTTCCGTTCCGCCATACTGGGAGTAGTCCACTGATACCGTATCTACCAGTTGAAAGCCAAGGCTGAGATATAGCTTCAGTGCAGCTGGTTCCGACATCACATAGGTCTTCATTCCTTGTTGATCCGCAATCTGCAGTCCACTTTGCACAAGCATTCTGCCGATACCTCGGCGCCAGAAAGAGGGATCTGTCGTCAAATAATCAAGAGCTGGAGAGTGTTATCAGTCATCCGCCTGGTAAGGGTATATCGGCATGCATCTTACTCAGAAAGGGTCCACCTGGCATAATTCGAGCATCTGCTTCCTCAAGAGGCGCACTGCGATAACGCATCATCTCGCCGCCCTTTAAGCCTATAGGCTGCCCATTCCGGGAATTCTCTTGATACTGTTTCTCATACACTGCGCGTTCGGCAGAAGTCCCTTCCTCCACCTGTGCCTCCAGCCAAACATCACGCTTCTTTGCAATGATTGGAGGGAGGGACCATCGCGCATATCCCACTACTTGACCAGTCTCAAGATCGACAACCTTCTGATGTCGTTTTGTTTCTCTGCTAGTCATCAGAGTCCAAGGAACGCGCTCGATAGCCTTAGGAATGATACTTTCGGCAGATGGATGTTCCCACAGAAATCGCCAGTGAGGATCGGTGAGACGAGCACCCATCATAGTCGTTGCAAGACCCGAAGCATCTTCTGGGAAACAAGGCTGAATGATAAATGCCATGGAGAATGAGGATGATGTTTGATCCAATTTCTGCCTGGGACGACGGACTGGAGGAGACAGAGAGGAAGTCTTACAAGAGACTTTGGTGAGGTAGTAATGTACAGGGGTCAGGTAAATTATCACGCTAGTCTGGACACAGCCCTGGGGGGCTCTAAAATAGTAGTCAAGTACTAGGCCATATCCCTCAGCCTAGCCGCTTTATAGGCAATATGATTGAAAAATCTGCCTCGGAGTCGAGTACCCCGTAGTATAGCTGATAATGATCGGCATTGGCTACATGAATGAACATGGCTACATGAATGAACAGCCTGTCAGCTTTGTCAATGCCGGTGGCTCCGATAAGCAGTATGTGTCGATGTTATTCAACTTCCCACAACGGAGGATTAGGCAACATTTTCAAACGGGGCTTTCGCTGCCATTCCAGCAAGTTTGCTATCTCAAAGAAGTCATTAAAAGAGAGGAAATCGAGATGTATACTCCGTACTCCGTACATGAGATGATGTAAATGCCACTTATCGGAGACTGATAGTACACCGCCCTAGAATTGATCCAGCAGAAAGAGGCGGTGTATCCACCCTTTTGTCCCGGGCGGGGAGACCTCGGCCAATCAACAAGCTGGAAATGTCGATGGTATCGGATCTGAAGATAAAAAAAAATAAGTTACAACACCCAACCCATCAAATCATGTCGCACGTCACAGAACATCCCTCTCGGGCGAAGAGAAGAAAGCTCGATGATCCTAAACCAGAGAAAACGAATGTCACATCCAATATCAAGTCGGCTGCTTCATTACGCGAACTGTTGGCTGTTCAGCAGAATGCCCCGTTGGCAAAGCAAGGTGAGGCAGATCACGAGCCATTCAAACCGACCAAAACTAACTAGTGGATAGGTATAATCAAGTTTAAGGAGTTCTTGGTGTCAATTGCACAAACGGAAGAGGCGAGCGCAAAAGCAGAGAAATTGCGTGTTCTTAAGCAGTATTGCGATAAGCAAATCACCAACTCTGGAAAGGAGGATGAGACCTCAGTGTGCTTTGCAGACCTGATTCAATCGTGGTCATTCGGCGATAGCAATAACAATGAGCCTTTACTGACCAGCGTGCCTTCTGTTCTTGCGATCTTCCTCAAGACAATCTCATCGGAATTGGAGTTCCGAGAATTCGGAATCGCCCTGTGCAAACACTTGCTGCAGAAAGATCAGTTGAGATTATTCAACCGCGGCCTGACAGCAACCAAGTCCAAAGAGCACTTGATCTCACCGTGTCTCCGTTTGCTTACGGAAATTGTGACTTTTGATGGAGGTGCAGTGGCACGCCAGCTGTACCTCCGCCGGTACATTACCTTCAAGCGACTGGAGGTCTTCTTGACCCCCAATAAAGCACAGGAGATTTCAGAGGATGAATTTCACAAGTCTACTCTCAGACGCAACGCTCAGCGATACTTGCTAGCGAACTTGAGAGTTCAGCATGCCTCCGAGAAGGACGATATCATTGAACAGCATAAGATCACCAGGTCTTTCCTCGAATATATTCGGAAGGATCCGCGGGATACTGTACTGGAAATTATCAAGGCTATCGAGAGAGACATAGTACACGACTCCGCTCTGTCCCGCAAATCGAAGAGCAAGTTCTTCAACAGACACAATCTTGAACGACTGGTGACGCTTTATGGCTACGATCGAGAGTCGGACGAACCTAATGCTGGAGGCGTTGTCATTGCCAATGAGATCCACCGAGTCATGATGAATGTGTGCAAAACCGCTGGGCTCGGCGTTCTCTTGCCCGAGACCGGCTGGTATCCCGCCGGAAGCGATCCCGAGACCTTGGCTGTTGATGATGATACATGCATTGAATTGGGGCTCGATTCCCCTATCTACGTTGACAAATATAGAGATTCTGTCCCCGTGCGGAATGGCTCCCTCTCATTCCTTATCCAGTGCCTTCGACCTGATGTGGATAGCCTTCAGATTGAATTATTGGTGTCAATCTTCAAGGTGGCACCAGAGCTCATTGCTGATTACTTTTCAAGGAAAACCATGTTCATTTCAGATCCCAAGGCTACCCCTTCATGGATGGCCGAGTCGGCTTTCCTTTTCTCAACTGTGCAGCTGCCTGTCCCTGCAAACTGTGGCTGGAAGGATAAGCTGCCTATCCTGCCACCGCCCGTTTCTATTGTTATTGAGAATATTCTCCCTCGCCCCCTTAACCAGAAGATCATGACCCGCTGCCTCAACCAGAATGCGGAGATTATCACTTTGTTCGCCGTGCGAATTCTGACTCTCGCTTTCACTAAGCTGCGAGCTGTCCTCAAAATCTTCCAGTCTGATCACGGCCAAGGTCAGCTATACTGGAATCAGGCTTCTGCTAAGTTACTGGCCGAGTTCTCCCGCCGGTGCCCTGCCGTCAAAGATGTTGTTGTCCTTTTCCGACGAACAGACAAGGAGGACCTGACCCAACAGGAGGCTGTTGCAGAGCTCTTGACCTGCTACTATGAAGTGATGCCGGACATTGCTCTGGAGGAAAACTTTGATGTCTCACTAGTCCTGGTGGATGTTCTCAAGCGACTGGAAGCCCCAGATGTTAGCGCTGATGATTCCGAGTCGCTTTTGAGCCAACTTCAGAGCATTCTCCAGATTGCACAGCAGTCTGCCTCATTGCGTTGGTGGCAAAAACCAGCATCCATGCAATACTCACCCTTTACCTCCATTCTCAAGGTTCTCATGGATACTTCAGATAAGGACTCTTCGCGGCGTATATCTACCCTTCTCAAGACCGTTCTGGTTGAGAATTCTGTTCTTCAGAGCTCCCCACACGCGTTTGCCTCTGTCTTGTCAAGCCTCGAGAATTCCGAGGCTGATGCCTTGCATCAACAGCTGGTCTTCTTTGATAACTGTGTCTCACGTGTCGCCAAGAAGCCCGTTCACTACCAGGACTTGCTACAGTCATTATCCGATGATGTGTCCAAAACCACTAGCGCGCTTGTTGCTGCCATTGTTGAGCAATGGCCATTTGTCGTCAAGAGTGGAGATGCATCTACGGAAACTGCCGTTGGAGCCTGGATCGCAAGTCTGTTGGGTAATTTGAAGCAGGCAGGTGAGAGCACCAAGGTCCTCAAAGCTGCTCGGGATGCGTTGATTGAAGCAACTGAGACCAAGAAAACCAAGTCTCTTCTCAAGAAATCATTGAAGGAGGCCGATCATGCCGATAATGAAGACAAGATGGACATTGACTCTGGCTCTAACATACCTAGTTCATCCAATAAAGCCTCCACTGTCGACCTCGATGAGATCTTTGGATTCCTACCCACCGAAGGCACGACCCATAATGCCCTCAACAAATGGGAAAGAGAAGACATCGAAGAGGCAGTGGACCAGGGTCACGTTGCTGAGTTGATGCTCTGCCTCTGTTCCCAGCACGAAGAAGTCCGAAGACAGGCCTTCGCCAACATTATTCGTTTCATGGCCAAACTCAAGGAATCCACCTACGCAGAATGGCGCACCGTGTTTACTCTGGCTGGTGAACTCCTCGAGACAGTCAACAACATTGGCATGGAGAAGCCCGTTCCTTGGATTGTGGGCGAGTGTGCCTCGAACTGCCTGGCGGTCCTCACAGACCCCCTCCACAAAGTTTACGGTAAAGTCAATAAGTTCCTGCAGAAAGCACCATCCTGGGAAGTTGAGAAGATCCCAACATACTGGGTTGATAAAATCCTCCTGCACGAGCCTGAGTTGGATGATGGGTACTTCGAGGAGATTGACTGGCTCCTGAACCTGTTTATTAGGGCACTCCGCACCGAGGCTGTAAGTGGCTATCTTTCGGTTGTACACCTCAAAATCACCATTGCTAACACATTGAATCTAGGATATGGAGGTTTACCGCCGAGCTAATGTCTTTGAGCGCATTCTTTCCCTTTACCAGTCCCCAACCCTCGTCCCAGGGGCTCGACGAAAGATTCTGCAGATTGTGTACCGTGCTGCCCAAGTCGGTGGTAGTACTACCCTGATCACCCGTTCCGGTGTCATCAGTTGGATTCAAATCCAGGCTGCAGAGGCTGATGCAAAGGAGGCTGCTCAGCTTGCGGCACTTGCACGTGCTTTGTATGAGAAGTGTGACCGTGAGCGAGTCGATGCCTGGAGTAATGGGACTCTTGGGCGAGTCGTTGATGAAATTCAAGCGCAAGTTTGAGATATTTGACTTTGTACAATAGCAGATTGTTTGGAAGCATGGGCTTGGAGTTGCCTTTCGGGGCCTATACAGCTAAAATTCACTTGAATCCCCGTTTCTCTTATTACACTATACAACAAAAGAATAATAACTTGTGTCTTATCTTTTTTAGGTCTTTTCAGAAGTCTTTTCCTATACTTTTGCTATCTGTGGTTTTCATAGATTTCTCTGCTTGCCAGCACAATATGAGATATAGGTATATCATATGGGATATATGGTTGATAACCTTACCTTTTTACCACCACCAAGGAGCAACAAAAAGCAAAAAAAAAATACAAAATTATATAACAGTGAAGATTCGCTGGTGGTCACCCATTCAACTACTATCTCACCGACGTGTGGTTTATATACAGTCATCAGTTGGGTGGGTGTCATACAACGAATGCCTTGTGCGGTAAGAAGTCTCGAGTGCTTCACCTTTTGTTGAATCACCCTATTACCGTCCAAAGTTAAGCCGGTTGTGATACGGCAGACAAAGGATCGCCCTTCTGGAGTAAAAGGACCGTCTTTCCATCTGATAAGAATTCGAATTTGTGGATAGGTTATGCCTTTAGCGGGTAGGAGTAAGTTGAGAGGATTAAGCCCCTATTTATCGTCTTCTTCGACATTCTACCCAATACTAATGAAGTCCTCCACGTCTTTTCGCCTATATTTCCAAAACTCCTCATAAAGCCCGTTCCTAGTCCCGGTCACTTTAGCAGTTCCGCGAGTCATCGTGGTTTAAACGTATTTTACCCGACTTAGGTTGTAGCTCTTATGTGGCCTAGCACGAATTCGATAGATCGGAGGTCGAGTCACCACTTCAGTTTTGAGAGAGACCAAAATCCAGCTTCAGTATTCATTTTTGCGTCCGCTGTACATGGATCGAAATCAGATTCACCAGCTACACACAGAGATTCTCGAGTGCTCTTTTGAGACTTCGCTGTACCTCTTACGGTTAATCTACCCCGAGCCCCTTGACAGTATTCCAGTGTGTAAATGACAGCGTAAAAATAGCATCCGTAATGAGCTTGTATGGTCTCAACGGCCTCTAGAACGTAGATCCTGCAAATTAAGCAAATAAAAGGGAAATCCGCGCGAGTTTGCTTCTGGCAACCACTCATCCTCCACAGCTCCACAGAAGTCTTGGAGTCTCTTTTACCCAGGTGGTTGCAATCCATGGAGGCTGTACCATTCTGCGGATCCGTATTTCTTCTGAACAAGATCCACTATATGAGCCTCAGGGTATGAATACCAATAACTTTCCTGGACCGACTGCCCAATCTTTGCCAATAGTCTCCGCAGTGCCGCGCGATCCTCATCGTCACATTCCGGTGACGGTCTCCAGTTAGCCCTATCGTTTGTAAGGTCTTTGGGATCCAGACCTTCTATATAAGGTGAAGGGCCATATCCATCATAGCAGCACATGTACCGATCGTGATACAGCCCGACCTTGATATCCCCTTCCTGCTCAAATGGAATATTTGGGTGCCATTTACTACGGCCGATTCGAAAGTGTCGTAATTTTGGCAGTCTTTCTGCAAATAGATCGAAAATATCGTGCCATCGCTTCTCAAACGAACCATATAATGAGTTATCACCCTCGCGGCGCACTAAGGTATCCCTAGGTAAAGCACAAGCGTCCACATTCTCCTCCGTCATACGAAAGTCGTAGAGCACGGGGCAGTCATCGAAGTAAATTTCCTCGAGGGTGTCGCTATGCTTCAGAATCCAGTCGATTTGGCAATCATGGAAGAAACCGAAGTTTCCTAGTGATAGCGTCTTCAGGCGTGGAAAGAACAGATTGGAGAGATTCAGGTGAGGGTAAAACCCCATGTATTCACGCGAGCAGAGCGAGAGATGTTGGAGAGAAGGCGCAGCGGGACTCAGCCACGTGCTGGGTAGCTCCTTGAAAAAGTTGCGGATTTCCGGATACTGATATGTTTAGAAAAAGCATCTCGATGAAGCATGGGGTGGTCTTTACCTCAAGATCATGCTCTTCAGCGGCGTCATTTGTCTCGCTGGTAATGCTTAGGCGAAGGGACCGTAGGCCCGACAGGACCTTTCCCAATTTCGCAAGTGTTTTCGGATCTTTGGGGTTATCTGCTTGCAGGTTGCGAATACCAAGATCTTGGATAGGGTGCGGTAAGGATTCAAGAAGAGAGAAGAGTTCATGCATTGCTTGGAAGCGAAATTGAGGCGTCTGGGGGAAGTCCTGGTAACGGAGATCCCACGTGCTGTCTGAACTAAAACCCTTATCGAAGCACAGAACGGCGGCGTTCAGTCGAGTCAATTCTTTCAATTGCGGTACCAGCTTGTCCCAACCTTGGGGCCATTCTTGCTCTTCTTCATCTTCGTAATTCTGTATGCATTAGTTGTTGCTTGGAGGTGGATTCAGATAATCGTACAAGATTCTCGTCCACGGTGTCTATGTAGATCTTCCGCGGAGCACGACGCAGACTAGGATTGTTCAAGATCGTTTGTAACAGATTCTGACTTGTCTTGCCGGGCTTCAGGCGCACGGTCCTGTAGAGCTGATCGGTGGCTAGCTGTGATGTGAAACGGCAGGATTGGCGTAGCGACTTTAATGATGATCGATTCCCATAAGAAAATGTATGAGCGAGCAGCTCGCTGGGTACATTGAGAAGGCGTGACATCTAGGCGTAGTCACAAGTAGGATCCGCAAGTTGATGAATCGAAAGGTGACATGTTTCGCTTAGCCCTAGGCTCTCATCGTGGCGTCTCAACTTCCTAATTCGGTAAAGCCTTATTAAGTCACATGACTGAGAAGCTATGTTTTTGGATAATCTCGAGACTCGCCTAAGCGACAGATCCTCACGGACTGGGGAGAAGATCTCGAGGAGGCTATTCGTGTAGCACAGCAAGCTGTCGACATAACTCCGACCACCCGGACCGAGCCAACCGGTTGAATAATGTCGAAACTAGTCTTCGCCAATATCCGCCCCTGAAAACCCAACCCAAGACCCAGATGGGTATTTATAACCCAAGCATAAAAAGTTGACTTGTGAGACACTTCAGCGACATATCTTCCAGATTGGGCGTCCTAGATTATACCACTCAGTAAGAATCCATTAACAGCTGTATGATATGCGTTTTTGAAGTTTCTATTGGGTGGACCATGTTTATCTTAGCGGATTATATTCATTTCAGAAAGCTATCAAAGTAGAGGACAGTAACTAGTGAATCGCTTTCGCCACGACCAACAAACAACATATCTATTGTGACGAAGCGCAAGAGTTCAAGAACTGATAGGAATAGAAGCCGTTGACTGTGACTGCGGATCCCAATCTGGGCACTGGGAGTGAGATACCAGGCTTTGGGTTTTCGATGACCCCAGCGGTCTTGCACAGCTACCTTGATGTTGTGAGACCTGGCCTCAATTTAGGAAAGTCCGTGTCTCGCTTTCCAACAGCGATCTTTCGACATTGGATCCTTCATGTCCCACTCGATGCCAACCATTCCCGCAAATTTGAGCCCAATTAGATATATTGTGTGCAGATAACGATGTATGGTCGTGATATGGCACGTGTGAGACACTCCCAGAGTGCATTCGGGATATTCTGTTCGGAGAACATATTTTGAGTGTCAAAGACAATCAAAGAAAATCATGGCAGGGTTAGAAAAGGGCCTTTGGGCTTGAGCCTTGGATTATGTATTGTTCTTAGAGTGGGTATAGGCTTGGGGTGAGTTGGCCCTATCACCCCGTTCTCACCTCTCTTACCCTGGAGTGCTGCTTAGGTGCTAAGAGCGCATTGAGTATTGACTATGCAGAATAATGGGCTTAAGTACGGCTGGGCGGACAGGAAGACCTGTTTTCCACACCCTATGGTCCTATGTGATAGATTATGTGTGAGAGAACATCATACAAGATGGAAAGCAAGTAGTTGTGGGGTAACAAATGAGAATGATGTGATACAAAACGAGTGTGATCGGCTTGAGTCGCACGATGATCTGACTCTCTGAACATTAAAATACCATGGGATCATATTGTTCCCCAACTGTACCTTGGCATATACATATGACTAGAACTGGAAGGAAGGTACTAGTAGGCACATTGGCTGTATCATGTGTAAGCTTCTAGGGGATATGGACGATAAAAGACAGAGAAATCCCCGAGGTTGACCTTTATATACAGCTAACATGAATTAACTACAGCTATGCATCTACCGTCGGCTTATGCTCGATCAATATGTGCAAAATGACTATCCTATTAGCATTCGCATGACTGCCATGATATAAAAGCTTACCGCATCCTCAACGCCCACAGCAGCTCTGCACTCCCAGTGATGCCTCTACTAGCATTATCAAATACTCTTAGGTCTGACAACGGGCGCTTTCGCTGCGCAAACCAGACCCACTTGAGCTGCGAAAGGCTAGCGCTAAGAGGGAATGCAAGGCAGCCCTTTCCAACCGTACTCAGCCATGAAAGTAGAGTGTTAAGCGAAATCCACCTCCAGCTGGGTTGTTGTTTGCCATCATACAGGCGCAGGATGACGATGATGGCGATCAGGACTGCAAGTGCCAGGCCGAGCCCAAGTATATCCCATCCCCACCAGTGGTCTATGTTTGGAGAAGCGTGGTGTGAATCGCTGTCTGCGGTTTTCTCCTGCGTCGCGGCCGTGGCCTTTAACGATGGAGCAAGAGAGTGTTGTTCCGGATCAGTGTCGTTATTCCTGTCTGACTCCATACTTGCTACTCCGTACTCGGTGGAGAGAATGGGGAATCAAACATATTTAAAGTACTCTCCTCTGCGAACTACTTTCTTCTGCGGGTTAACTGGGCATCTCTGCACACTGGGCAGAGGAGGCTGTGAAACTGTGAGACTATATGTCAATTGGCTCAATGATGATCGGCAGCGCCCAGCCCGGGGTAATTCGGAGTCCGTCCCGTTGATATTTTTGGGGCGGCAGGCCGATCTTTACTTATTGAACGTGAAGTGGCACTTGGCAGGTAGAATCCAAGGCTGATTTCAGTTCTGGAGCAAACTGCCACAGCATTGAAGGTGCTTGTGGAGACGATTCGATATACATCACCAAGTGAATTTAATAGGCTAAGTCCACAGTAGACTGTGCCTATGTACAGAGAAAGCAAGCCTGACATCACATATCTTTCAGCTGGTCAAGTACGGGTCCCAGGGTCCGAGCAGTAGCGCTTGCGTGCTCCGCAAAGGTTGCTAGATAGACATTGGGAATTAGTACACGTCAAGCAGAGAGGGTTGTGACTGGGTTGTACCATCAAAGGTTCCATCTAAAACTAGTTCGTCCATCTTTCCATCCAGTAACAGAGTTGCAGGGCTTGTATCCAGCTCTGTTTGACGAGGTAGCTGGTTTGGGACATAAAGGCGGGGATAACTCGACAATTCTAGCATGAATAAAATATTAGTATCGGTTATATGAAAGACTTATACACTACCAACTTACCAAATCCAAAGTGTTGCGAAGCATGAAAAAATGTAAGCTTACATCTATTTTCAGCACTAGCTATAAAAGCTGATGCAGAGGGATCAGCAGCGCTGAGTGCGCTACCAACCTCTTTCTCAAGTAAAACATAAGCTTCTCCCGGGTCGCCAATAATAATAGGCACCCTCTTAGTGAGGAGGTTTCCTCTTGTATCATGAGTAACGAAATCTGTTGTGACTCGATGAAAATATCGTGCGGTCCGAGCACCTCTAGCGCTGCTACATACGGAAGAGAAGGGTGGGAAAGCACTGCGAAACATATGGAATCGGACTAATTGAGAACTCGAATCAGTCAAGATACAGGCAGTTCTTTCGTACTTGTTCGAGTATGCAGGCTCTACGGGTTCATGGAACGTACAAGATGATGATATTGTTGATGGTTATACGGAGTAGTGCCAATGAAGATAGAAAGGGGCTGGAGTAGGGGAGAGACTATCGGTACAGAACGGTCATGTGACTCTGGGGGACTTGAACTGTACTTGAGACGCATGATGATAGAGATTTATGACAGATTTCACTGGAATAAGTGCTCAATACCCATCTTTGGATCTTTGATGCAACTTTGTCTCGGAGTGGAAAAGATATACTAGCGAATCAGCGCGTTCCGGGAACATAGGAAGACAAGGGAAATTGATGTCATGAACTCGCGGCGATCAAGGCGGTTACGTTGGTGTTCTCCAGTTTTTGCCGGCTATCACTGCGGTTTTGGTTATATGAAAGGTCTTGGGGCGTATCTACATAGTGGATCGGGAATTTTGCCGTGTCAAGACTCCACTCAAAACCCGGCGAGAGCGCTATCTACGTCAGGTGCCAGATAGTACTTCGTATAGTCCCCCGAGTCACAACAGTGGAGGTGATCCTGAACTTTTCAGTGGGCTTGGAGGAAGGTTATTGTACGAGATGGCGTACTGAGGCGCACCCACTACTCTGAGTGCTCGGCTGACAGTAGATTGTCACTCTATTGTTCAGGCTAATGTTAAGATGCAGGGTCCCGTTGTGCACGGTCATTATATCATCACATATGACTCGGTACAGCGCCTTTATTTCTAATCACACGATTTCAACTGGCCCAAATATATCGGCTATCACACCCACTGATGACCGACATCATTCTATTTCCCTCTAGATTGACCTTTATCTTGCAGCCAGATCGTCATGTAGAATGACCTGTGTGTTGCATAGTTCTAAATCTAAAAACCTTGCACTTTGCTATCTATCTTTCTGGTCCACCCTTCTTCACGTTATATAACTCAGCTAATCTCATGCAAAGATATCTACAATAGTTGTGGGCTAGAAGTGACACATTGCCATCGTGAGGGGTTTTTTACGAAAACCAAGTAATACTAGTGGAGTGACATCCATCCCCTTCCGAGAGAGTTGCCACCCCTTTTTTACTCCTTTCTCACCCATGTCAGCTCAGTCGCCGGAATTATCACCCGTAGCGCCCACATTCAGCCTTAGACAAAATTCCTCGCCACTTCATTGTTCAAGGCACATCGAGAGCTAGCCACCCGGGGAGAGGGGGCACTACTAAGTGCCGCTAAGTGGATGGGAAGCCTTGCTTTCCACACCCTATGGCGGCATGTACTCCGTACCAGGGCATGTGTGAGAAACTTATGTATTATAGTGGATATGTGCTTTCTAAGTGACAGAAAGGCAAGGGCAGGGTCCTAGGGGTCTGATGCTTCATCCAATACGAACAATAGTTGCTCACCCCTGTCGTTGAGGGTGGGGTGAATCTCAATGTGATAGGCTTGGGATATTGAATAGCACAATAAACATTACCAATAGCCGGCTTTGTAATCATCTTCGGACATTTCAAATTGAGTATTACTCTTTTCTTTCTCTCGTATTCAACTTTGTCCTTGGGTTATCAAGAGTTGAGATGAAGGTGTGGCTCGATATATCTTTGCAGAATGCTGGAAATAGTTGGACAACAGATACGGGGTACAAAAAGAAAATATGCAACTGCATGCAACTGCATGTCACTAGCTGGGCCCTCTAGCTCTTTAAATCGTTGAATGAATGAATAAAGTGACTGTCTGTGGACTCCAAGGTTGGTACCTAGAAGAAATCGATCGAGACTTAAATCTAGTTCAACCCCCAACCATTCAGGTATAGCGATCGAATACGGGAGTAGATTGCCACCTGGACGATTATCTCTGCTTGCATGTAGTGTGACCGCCTTAGTACTGCATTTGGTCATCTACATGAACGGGTTGGATACATCTTCCATTACAAGTCGATAGGTGCGTAATGAAGCAGCCATCACACTCATCACCAGTCGATTGGTGCTTAATGAAGCAACCATCACATTCATTGCCAGTCAATTGGCGCTCAATGAAGCAACCATCGCATAGTGCGTGGACCCTTCTAGCCTCATCCAGTGGGGTTTCATACTCTGATAGTCTAGTGTGATTCCTATTTGCGACATATGCAGTCGGCTAGCAATTGAGTTTGCATCATGGTTCGTCATTTTGTCTGTGCAATCGTCACCCCCATTACTTTGATACTGAAGCCCTAAGAGGGGAAGATGAGCTGCATGTGAACTGCACAAGGTTATAAAAGCCGTTGAAGGGAGAAGACAGAAAGAAAAAATCTGGACCGAGAACCCTCGAAAACAACATTGAAGGATCATGATTTCTCTTCTGGAACTTACACCGAAGCTCGCCCTGTCTGTGGCACTTCTCGTCGTCTCTCACTTCCTATGGAATTATATTCGGTCCCCACTGAAGTCATTTCCCGGTCCTAGCCTGGCAAGCTTTACGAACATATGGCGCATGCAAGATGTATTCAAGGGCCGTTGTGATATCACGCAACTCAAGCTGCACCGCATGTATGGGCCCGCTGTTCGTATGGGACCTAATATCCTCAGTCTCTCCGATCCAAACATGATCAGTGTTGTTTATAATACTAAAAGCCCATGGGTTAAGGTAAAGTACATACCAGAGAAAAGAATGGCCCCCGTTCTAATATTCATGTGATATAGAGCACAGCGTACGGTGTTGTTGACGTTATCATCGGTGGTGTGCGACTGTCAAATCTTTTTTCCAGTCAGAATGAGAACTGGCATTCGACGTATATCCGCCCGGTCAAGAGCTTGTATTCTTTGAGCAAGGTTCAAGACTTTGAGACAAATCTCGATATCACTATCAATCTTTTCATCGAAAAGCTCCGGGAGCGGTTTGTCCGCCTGGGTAAAACCTGCGAGATGTCTGATTGGATCGACTTCTGTGAGTACATTTCAAATTGGGGAACAGGGTAGAAGTTCACTGATTCGTATTCTAGTTGCGTGGGATGCCATGAGCCAAGTCACATTCTCCCAAGATCTTGGTATCCTCGAGGCCGGTAGTGACTATATGGGTTTCCTTGGAAAGTCCGTTCAGTCAATTGGCTACTTTGCTTTAGTCAGTGAAACGGTTGTTGGTGATAAAAACTAGACTGATGCTTATATAGATCTCCCAAATCCCTCTTCTGGACCATTTTCTAGCTAAGAACCCAATCGTTCGCATTGGACCACCGACCTTTGTCTGGGCCAATGACTTCAGTCTTCAACAACTCAAAAAGCGATATGAAGAAGGCGATCACGAGAGCTCTGATTTCCTTTCTAAATTTATGGCTGCTAAGAAGACACATCCCGAATTTGTTGACGACAACACCATCATTATGTGGCTACTCTCCAATGTCCTTGCAGGTAGTGACACAACCGCAAGCACCCTGTGCGCGACAATTTACTACGTGTTGAAGAACCCTACAGTGTACAAGAGACTTTGCGATGAACTCCGTGCCGCCAATCTCTCTTTCCCCGCCGGGTGGAAAGAGGTCCAAGGACTAGAATACCTTGATGCCGTGATGCGTGAATCAATGCGCATTAATCCCGGAGTCGGCCTCATGCTCGAGCGTATTGTGCCTAAAGGTGGTTTCACCCTACCGGACGGACACTTTGTGCCTGGAGGGACTATCGTGGGCATGAATCCATGGGTGATCAATAGAAACGAGGCGGTCTTTGGGGCTAACACAGAAGAATTTATCCCCGAGCGCTGGCTGCAGAACCCCGGGGAGCCGGATGAGTCGTTCCAGGCGCGCTTTTCCAAGATGAAAAGCACTGATTTTACATTCGGTGCTGGGCCGCGTGCCTGCTTGGGAAGATATATCTCCCAGCTTGAGAGCTATAAGCTGATTGCGACCATTTTCAACACATTTGATGTAAGCTAAAACTTTGTGGGTTCAAGGTATATTCGCTAATTGGCGCAGATGAATCTCCCCAGTCACGACCATGAGTGGCACCTCGAGAACTCGTGGTTCGTTAGACATCAAAACATTCCTGTCCGCCTGGTAGAGCGGACATCGACCCCTCAGATCTAATTTGTTGATTTGCCAGCTACATCATATTATGATATTTCTCAGGTTTTATAGGAAAGGTGGGAATGATCACGCCGTATTCATTGCTCTCGATGTCGGAGTCTCTTGCGGAAAGGGAGCACACTGTTCCACGCTGGCGAATTATATGGTTGTAAATTGTATCGGGAGGCCCTTTTCTGAAATTATAATTCATCCTTTTCTTCGCAAGCCCAAAAGAAAAATGAAACATGTAAATGACCCAACAGAGACAACAAATACAAATACAGTAACCATGAGAGGCAAAAAGGTTATCACACCTACCACAGATTGTGATTGATGTTCACGATACATTAGTGTATTACCTATGCCGCTTAAGATTTTCCACAACTCTGGTATTTTGGGGGAAGTCTTCTTGGTAATCTTTTGCGAAATCTGGACTCGCGGACTAACAGTAGTAGACATGCCCACCTGAGGATCTAGATCTTTAGTCGGCAATCAGGCCCCCGGGCCATTTTAACTGTAGATTTGAGTGTTAATGCCCCTCGATGTCATATTAGTGTTCGGCCTTGAATGTCGCCTGTCCACACCGTGGCAGGGACAGCAGGCGATAAGCGTTGAATTCTCAGCAGACAACACTCTTCTCGTCCTTTGTCCATGAGGGGAACATACAGTGCAATCCACCAGAATAAAGAAGCGCGACGTCCGTGCGTATCTAGAGACATGCTCTCCCCTGCATCTCGGACCATTAGATTCAGTGATGTGGAGTGACTATTCAGCGGGAGCCAGAAGGGCAGTAATTGAAACGGCTGCCACGGATCAAAATCACAAGCTTGATGGTCTCTTGCAGTCCAAGCTAAGCAGCGTCCTAACCCTACTTATTTGCCACACTCGCCCGATCCCTAGGCACAAGACCTTCGATGCCACGCCAGAATTCGACAACATGGACTACGCGAAGTGCAGCGCAGGCACTCCTCGGCCACCACTCGGATACAGGTACCACTCGCATGATCTCCCGAAGGATAACCTTTGGCTGGCCTGTATTTCCATGGGCTAACAATAGTACCCCTTCTCTGGGCGCAGACGGACTTTTGTCTCCCTCGGACAGCATTTCTGACAGGTCACCTGACCGGTATTACACCGCTCACAATCAGACCGGACGACAACAGCCTCGGCGTACCGTCGTCCAGGTACTACCCAGCCATATTTCTGTGGCTTTCCTCGGACGAAAACCGCACAGCGTTTGTGTGGGCCCGGCTCGTTGTGGTCTGGCGACTCTGACCTGCTCGAAAGATGCATGCTCAAATCTGCACGTCCCAATCCTGATCTGTTTCCCTCGCCAATTCACCCGGCTATCAATTGCTTGCGTATTGCTCTGACACGGGCGGCGAGGTGTGCGGCCTACCGACAGGCTAGCGCAGAGGTAGCGCGACATGAATTGGGGGCGAGACCGGGTTGGCGACCTCAGCAGGTTTCAGCACGGCCGACAGTATGATTCTCGTGGTGTGAATGTTCAATGGTGGTATCACGGTGTACAACGTGCTTGACGAGGGAAGGAGCCGGCCGGGGAATGGATACAAACGAGCAGCCAGCGGAAGTTCGAGCGGCGATGCTACCATTCGAGGTCACAGAGTAGACGCCAATGCAATTTTCGTGAGATTGGGGATATGAGAGGACTGTAGCAACATCACTCAAAGCCTAAATTGTGTTGTTAGTTGTGCAGACGCGACTTTGAAATACTACAGGTAAGGTTGGAGCCATGTCTGCCTTCGTGTGTAGTTGTGAAACACAGTTGCTATATGTAGTCTGAAGGATCAAATATCGATGACGCACGCCAGTGGATGATTTCCTGATGAAATAAGTTCAGGAACATGTCGCTTGGCATTAGAGAACCATCTGTACCCTGAAGTTTCCGATTGGCGGGTGCTTATATAATCACGACCCCTCGGCCTCAACGTCCCCATCAATTCAGAATATCTGCTTACTGCCCTTGTGTGAGACGACCCAATCCTTCCAATCACCCCCAATCTCTACACCCGCTTCTCCAGCATTTCCACAACCTGACAAAATGACCTCCAAAGCCAATATGCACCGGTACCTCCGGCAGTCGCTCGAGCACATCTTCCAAAACAACAAGAAATGGGTCTCGTCGAAGAAAGAGACGGATGCCACCTTTTTTGACAAGCTTTCTGCTGGACAATCGCCCGACTATCTGTAAGTAACATAGCTGTTACCTCATGCCCATCGTCAAAATATTCATACCGGAACAGGTACATAGGCTGTAGCGATAGCCGTGTCCCCGCCAACGAAATCATGGGTCTGGAGGCTGGTGAGGTTTTCGTTCATCGTAATATTGCCAATCTGGTGCCCAATGTCGACCTCAACGTCATGTCGGTGATCAATTATGCTGTGCGCCACCTCAAGGTCAAGCATATCATCGTCTGCGGCCACTACAATTGTGGAGGGGTCAAGGCGGCATTGACTCCTGCTGACCTGGGATTGCTGAACCCATGGCTCCGAAACATCCGCGACGTTTATCGCTTGCATGAGAAGGAACTCGATGGAATCCCCGAGGAACACGCGAGATACAATCGTTTGATTGAACTCAATGTGATGGAATCCTGCAGGAATATCATCAAGACCGCTGCTGTCCAGCAGAGCTATGAGGATAACCATTATCCCATTGTTCATGGGTGGGTTTTCGATCTGAAGGACGGCCTGCTGAAAGACTTGAAGATCGACTTTGAAGCTGAGTTGGAGAATGTGAAGAAGATCTATTGCCTGTCGTCGGGTAATCAATCTGAAAACTGAAGGCGTAGGACGATAATTGTCCAATGCCAGTCATGACTCGGGTATTTGGTTTGTTGCTCGGGTTGTGTTGTTCATATTCGTCTTTTGGCCTGTTCTCCCCTTTCCCCATGAAGGAATGTCGATGGCTTCATGGGAGTGAGTGATTCTTTTTGTAGGACAGTTCTTCCTTTTTATTGAGCACTTTTCCTTCTTGTTTCTTTCTCTTTGAAGACAGTAGAAACCCATCATGAACTGGAGAATTCCCGTATTGTGGAGAAAGAAAATGGGAAAGAGAACGGTGGAACTGACCGATGCCTTAGCACGTGTTCTGGTGGCTCTGCTGCTCTTCCAATACTCGGCAGGCCCTCTCGAACTCTGGATCGTACACTAGCCCATGGATCTGTAGGTGCCCTATGGTAATTGCATCAACCCCTTCGGAGAATTTTGGTAGCTAACATATCTGATCAAGAAGCTCAACTCAGCAAAAAAGCGATCCCGCTCGCGCGCTGGTGGTTAGTTGATATCTTCTTCGTGCACCGAATGCAGAGCGTTGAGTTTACTAGCACCTGAGGTATATACCCCATAATTAGTAATCAAGTAATCGAACAGAGTTCTCAAGGGGCAGAAGGCCTTACCGCGACCAATGACCTTTCAACCCGTCTCTCGAGGTTTCATTCACACTGCGACATCCGTAATGGCCGCAAATAGCGATGTGCCGCACCTAAGGAACATAAAAAGACCAACCTCGCAGTGAGCATAGTATCAATGGCAGACTTGAAGGTCAAGGAGGGCATTTTTATAGTTGTTTCGCAGGCTAGATCGCCATCAATGATCATATTGCCGAAATTTCTCAGCACGAATTATTCGTCAATAGGAATATCAAGCACGGTGAAGTGTTTGGTATTACTTTCACAGCATCCAATCCACAGAATTTGCTGTATTGCCTGTCGAAGGCTAGGTATATAGTTTTCCTGGGGCTCGCCCCTTTGAGCTTTCATACTTGAAAGGGTGAGTACGCAGCGTTATGAAATGCTCTAGGATTACCTAGGCATAAGGAAGAAAGAAGTTGAGTAGCAAAACAAGACTTTTCAAAAGGAGACAAGTTAGTGCCATTGCCGATCGTATCTTTATGTATTGATGTCGAAGAGCCGGAGCCGGCTGCACCGAGACATTGCCGCTTCGGCCGAGTTCCCACGTGGGCACGAACCGTTTCAAGGAACCCTGGAACTTGGACGATTGAATTGCCTAGAAAGGATAAGCGGAGGCTCTATAGAAAGATGGAAGTCTCTTTATCTTAACCTCAAGGTCCACGGATATCTATTCTAAAGTCATGAAGTTGATATGATAGATAGATATATATATATAATCCGACCGATCACATAGTGTATCTGACCAAATTACGGTTTTCAATGGTATTCATACCTCGCAATATGCTTCCAGCAGACCACGAAAGGATGTTCTTAGAAAGTACTTGCCTAAATAATGGAGAGCCCATGGTAGATGGGGCTCATGTCTCCACGCTTCTTTCTCGCGCCAATCGGACATCCAACTGTAAGAATTCTGTCCATGTGGCTCCGCCGAGCCTGAGCTAATTTTGGGTTATGCTCTGTAATGCATTTACTATAGAATATGTGATACAATGTAAACCTACATTTTTTCAGATGTGGTTTGAAGGGATGGATTTCCCCTCCCGTAGAGATGAAAATAGTAGAATGTATACGGACGGATGACTGAGTAGCTTCTGTCTCTCTCCTGTCTCTCTCTGTGTACAGCTTTTCCTCTCTTCAAGGTCATCGAACATTTTCTTTCCTGTCAGTGTGAGAGTGTTGGTCGGCAAGCCGTTCACGAAATGAAAAATCTTGCCAAAAGTCCCTTCCAACTGGCGAACTGCTCTCGTGGTCGTGTGTGGCTGTGTCACGCAGCACTCCGCAAAGCCCACAGATGGGCCCGGACCCCAGACCCATAGCTCATTCGTGGGCGCCCATAAGGTCCCCATGATAGCCCATGTATGGGGTTCAACAAGGAACTTGTAATCAATATACTCTAACCCTTCTCCCCATTTGCAAAGACTTAAGGTTGCATTATAGATTCACAATTACTGCATAAGTGTGTTGTTCAAATTTTAATAAAATCCAATCAGTAAAAGTCGAAAAAGATATTATTATTTACTCCGACATTGAATATTTATCTGAGATCTATATGGGAGTACTAACACTTTAGTAAACCTCTACAATTTATAACTTTTCTAAATAATAGCGCGTCCTCTCACGTTTTTCAAACGTGATTAATATACTCAATATACAAATTACATTAATCATACATTACACCAAGATAAGGGCGAGCAACAGGACCTATACATAGAGTAGACTGCGACAACGCCCATTCAAGTGGAGACATTTTTGGCGTCGCTAGGACATGGGCGGGCACTCTGAGCAAGGGGGTACTGCCCACCAAGAGCTAGTTATGTACATAAAACAGACTAATAGGGTAACGTTGTATTACTTTTGCATAAGAATGGGCGATGGGCTTCAAATTTCAAAGGCCCACGGGCCGTACAGTAGGCAATTCTTAGTGTCCATGGACGGGCGATGTCGCAGTCTAACATAAACGCCAAACACGGCGGTGTTCGAAGGCTGTACTTTAGGAATCGACCGTGTTTAGTATGTGACTTGAGTCTGAGTGGGCGGAAAGCCCTATTTTTCACATCTTATGGTTGAATGTGATAGGTTTGGTGTAGGCAAACAGTATATAGAGTTGTTAAATACTGGTGACAAGTACAAGGGAGAGTGGACATAGATTGGATTGCAGCATTCGATCTGAAACACCTATTTTCTTGGCAACTGCCACCAGCCATCGTAGCTCCAACTCTGTGAAAACCTATAAATTCGAGATGAAATACCTTTGCCTGTGTTTGCGCCTATCCGGGCTGGTATGAATCCGCAGAGGCTTAGACAGCCTTCAACTGGCCATCTTGCCGCCAATTCCCGTGTCTGCTTCTACTAAAGGAGATGCATCGGCCCCCTGTGTGATTTGGCGCTAATCATCTCAGCCCCCTCAGTCCCCGCAATGTCTCTGTCCTTCATGTTTCTGTTCATGTCGCGAGTCCCCCATGGACCCGATATCTGCGATCGGGTTTGCTTCGGCAATTGTTCAGATTCTAGGCGCACTTACTTCGACTATTCATGGCCTCCATGAACTACATGGGAAATTCAGCGATGCTGACTTTACGATCCATTCGCTTATTCAAGAGCTGGGCTGTATCCAGACAGCACTCACGAGTCTGAAGGAATGGTATCGGCTCAGTTCTTCCAATGTGATGGTATCGGAGGAATTCAATGAACAGCTCGTTACAGCCATGAATGGCTGCCAAATCATCATGGAAGTTCTATCGGCGGATGTGATGACTTTAGTTCATGGCAGTCGCAATGGCGGTACAGTTGGGTTTAGATTGCGCATTCGAGTCATTTGGAAGGAAGATATTATGAAAGCACACCAGGAGAAACTACATGCACAAGTAATGGCATTGCAGCTATTACTCCAAGTCTGCCAGTGGTGAGAATATCCCCTCGTGTCTGGAAACCCCACAGAAGCTAATGAACCTTCAAGTCATACATCACAAGAGCAGGTCCGCTTATTGAGACAGGCAACGACTCTTCGCATTATGCGCAGGGTTCGCGACGACACCGAAACAATACTATCCACGCGAAGTCAGCCTACATCTAGCGCGGGAAGCATCTCGCAGCACAGCAGCTTCACCGCCAGTGACCAAGTTATCGATTCCAATGATGCCCTTCCAGTCTGGCCAGTATATCACAGATCACCCCAGCAACTCGTACCGTCAATCGGGGCTCCAAGTAGCCAGACCGACACCAATTATAGCCAAAGTCTATTCACAGATGAAGGCTATGCAGACACCCCTACGCGCAATAGCAGCGTTGCAGGGCCATCTGATACTCCTCCACCCCACCAGCATCATCTCCTCTTGCCTACTAGCCCATCGGCGCCGGTACATCCAGCTCACAGGAGGACAACATCTTACCAAGATACACCGCGTCCAGGCTTGCAAAATATGCCCCGGAGCAAGTCAGATAGTAAGACACCGAAGACACTTGAGAGATCTGCCTCTAAGCTTGAAAGAATATCTTCCCTACTTCGCTTGAATACCTCAAGTCGTCTCAATCTTACCTCTTCGCCTTCTAAGGGCTCGCCGAAAGTAGGCACTGGCACACCTCTCACAAAAGTGAAGCGTATACGAGAGAAAAATCCCCACATCAGCATTGACCTGACCGGCCCGGATGCTGCCTTTATTCCACAGATTGTGAAGGCTGCCCAAGCCGGTTCCCGAGGTGAGGTAGCACGGCTTATTGAATATGGCATTAATATTGAAGAGCGACATAAAGCATCAGGTCGAAATGCATTGCTTGTTGCTGCCCACTGCGGAAAAGATGACGTTGTTGAGCTTTTGATTCAACATCATGCTCGACTAGATGTTACCGATGGTTCTGGCTGGACCGCACTCCATCTTGCAGCTTCGCGTGGTCATTGCGGTGTGATAAGCCTACTGATCGAGGAGCGCAACATTATAGAAGTTCCAAACTATCAAGGCCGTACGGCATTGCGAATTGCTGTTGACCGAAGCCAGCATGAGGCCCTACAACTGCTGCTTATGCACAATGCAAAGGTCAACACTCGTGCTGAGAATCAAATGACTACTTTGCACGCTGCAGCAAAGCAGGGTGATGCGGAAATTGTACACATGCTTGTGTCAAACGGCGCTGATATCGAGGCTAAGGATGCCACCATGATGTCGGCATTGCATTATGCATGCGAAGGAGGTCACGTCGAAGCCATTGCAGTGCTTTTAGCTCACAGGGCTAATATAGAAGGTGCCGGCCGTAGTCGAAAGACACCATTGATATGTGCTGCTGAAGCAGGCCGGTCCCAGGCTGTCGATTTCCTATTGAAATCCAAACAAAAAGCTTCTTCGAGTGCTGTAGATGACACCGGGATGACTGCCTTGCATTGGGCTGCCTACAATGGCCACGAAGAGACAGTGGAAATTCTCAGTCAGAAGAAAGGATCTATGGCGAAGGTTAATGCAATGGGACGAACGGCTTTGCACTTGTCCGTTATCCAGACCAAATTTGCTGTCGTTGAGCCACTACTACGCAAAGGTGCCGACCTCAACAGCCAATGTGCAACAGGTCTTAATCCGCTCCATTATGCCTGTATGGCAGACAGTATCGAGATTGCAACGCTGTTACTCTTAGAAGGCGTTGATATTGAAGCACCGGAATATCAAAACCAGCAAAGACCTTTGCATATCGCAGCAGCGCGGAGCTCAATAGCCCTTATAGATCTTCTTTGTGATAAAGGAGCTTCTTTAGAGGCTCGGGATAGCGTTGGAGATCGCCCGCTTAGTGTAGCATGTCGCTGTGGACATGTGGCTGCAGTGGAAAAGCTGTTGGATCGAGGATCTCCTCTCTACCAGAAGAACCCAGCTACATCACGCAGTGACTCCCTCTATGCTTGGCTGCAATGGCAGGCCATCTACCCGTGGTTTCGCTCCTGCTAGAGCGCGGCGCATCGGCATCCAAAAAGGACGAGGGCGGCTGGCAGCCTTTCCGCTATGCGGCATATCATGGCCATCAAGATGTCCTTCAGGTGCTCTTGTCTCGTACGAGTATACCCGACATGGATGTCCCAGATATCATTCGCATGCCGGAGACAATTGGGTTCTCGCCCGATGCCACAATCTCAGAGGACTGCAAGGCTCGGGTGAAAGAACTTCTCAACCAGGCTTTGGCAGACTCTGGTCTGATGCCTCCACGTCATACCCCAAGTATGCCCCAGAATGTGAATCAGGGGACTGATCCCGCTCAATATTCGCAGTCTCGTAATTCACGAGATCGCGAAAGCTTTTTCCCTCAAGAGCTACCCGCAACTTTAGAGCACGGTCTTCCTAGCAGTCGTTCAACAACTCCTGAGCGTGGCTATCTGACTGAACCTCCGCAGTCGATCGACCCCTTGTGGCATATTCGTATGCGAGCCGGTGAGCAAATGTCACCGCCAGTGAGTTCGCAAAATGCTTCCGTTCCCAATGACTCTCGTGGGGTATCTCCTATACGTCAGCCTAAACAGGATCCTGCTAGGAAAATTCTTAGTCGGCCTCCAGCCAGAGAAAAACCGCCGGTGTCGGCCACCTTCATTCCGCGGCAAATCCCGGTCTTTCCCTCTCAGATACCCCAAAGACCTTCGGGGGTACCACCTCGCCCGAGGGATAGAGGCTCTGCCGCTAGAATCACACATAATCATAGTCAAGAGAGTCGTGTCCCTAGAACAATTTCTCCTCGACGTGAAAGTGAGTTTCCGACTCCAAGACCCGAAGAGCCATCTGAGCCAACTGAGCCATCTGAGCGCACTCAAGAACCCGTCGCTGATTCCTCAGACTCGGATTCAGACTCGTCATCTTCGGTATACACGGTACCGGAAGAATATATGGACGCTGTTGTTGTTTCAGAGGATGAACCGCCGCGTGGGCCGTATAAAATTGCTGCATAAATACCATCATAGTAACCTCAGACAGTTTGTTTGCGTGGGAGCCTTGATAATGCCGCAATAGGATGTGCAACTGTGCTCTAGACAAACGCAGCGCTACTGCTACTTCTTTGATGATATAGTGCTTGGATCATCGGAATATCCACTTGGCTCACGGTTATAGCTGAGACATTAAAGAAAGCATGGTGAAAATGGTTAGCCAATTCACGAGTAAACGTGCTGTCAGAAACGACATGGCGGCCGCATTCTCCGCGTCGAGCTCGGTAGGATTGATATTCGGACAGCCATGGATTTGTTAGTCAATGTTTCTAAAACTGTAGGGTCCCTCATGAATGCTTTACACCTATGAATGATTTAGCAGCTCTGCCTTGGGCTAAAATTACTGAACTTACTATACACTCAGGAGACTGAAACTCTTTGGAATAACCATTAACTTAAGATACTGCACGTAGACAGGAGTGTGGATGTTCAAGTAAAGTGAATACTGACCAATTCATCCAAAATATAAAGATCTGTATGCAGTCTCCTGAGAGTCCTTGTACATATTTTACACCCAGGGGTAATTTCGGAGGTTTCGGGCCTACAAGCTGTGGCTTTTGCGGCCGCATTTATTGCCACAGCTTTGCCTCTTCCGTGATTTCACCAATAGAATCGTATACTCTGGATCCTTCAGGATGAGATATCTCCTCCTAGCAGCAAATAAAACCGCAATGATGTTCCTGACTTTGACTTCCAGCAAATTCCTATTGCATATCCACCAGTGTCCTACATTCTTTCCGATCATTGCGCTCCAAAGACAAATACAGACAACTATAAGCGTCATGGTAAACTTGCAGTCTGTTGACCTAAATAACAAAGACATGCACGCCTTCGGGCCTGGTCTAGTCGCAGTTTTCGGTATGTAAGCAGAAATCCTTCAATTGTGAGTGGTTGAGAGAAGCAGAACACCACGCTGCTACTGAATGAGTCCAATGGGAGATAGAAAAATAACTAATTTCTCGTGGCTATTGTCTACTGGTAGTTGGAGGAACTAGTGGCATTGGCGAATCCACGGCGCGGGCTTTTGTTCGACACGCTCTCTCGCCTCATGTATACCTCATCGGACGAAATGCCAAACAGGCATCGAAGATCATCAAGGAGATGCGCGAATCTAATTCGTCGGCAGAAGTGAGATTTATCAAGAAAGACATTTCTCTCTTACGGGCTGTGGACGAGGCTTGCCGGGAGATCCAGCCACCGAACGGCGTGAATCTCCTATTCTTAAGCTCTGGAATATCAAAAGGAGGAGAAGGTATGGTTTCCATACTATTCCACTTGCTTTTTATCCGAGACTTGTCATTCAGAGATTAATAATGTAACAGAAACGGAAGAAGGGCTTAACAAAAAGCTCAGCCTTCATTATTACGCTCGCATGCGATTTGTCGTCAACTTGCTCCCGCAGTTAACAGCGGCTTCTCCTCGGCTTTCTAGAGTTGTCTCCGTTCTGGGGGCTGGAGGCGAAGGCCCATTGATTCTCGATGACCTGTCTTTGAAGTCGAACTACTCCCTGCGCAACTGCTCCAATCATGCTATCACAATGACATCCTTGGCAATGGAGGAGCTTGCTCAGGCTCATCCTTCGATATCTTTCATCCACACGTACCCTGGGGTAGTTAACACCGGGCTGACACGGGATCTAGGCTCGATTGCTCATATGGGCGCAAAGGCCTTTCTTGCCCTCGCCTCACCCTGGGTGATTCCCCTTGAAGAAAGTGGTGAGAGGCATTTGTATATTTCAACAAGTGCGAACTACTTGCCCCAATCGAGAAAGGGCGATAAGCATGCAGACATTGAGCCTGCGATGAACGCTTACTTTTTGGATTCGTGTGGACTTGGGCGCCCCAATTTGAAAATCTTACGGGCTTATCACGCGAATGGTATCTCAAAAAAGGTTATGAAACATACTATGGGTGTCTTTGATCGTGTTCTTTAATGAAAGCTCCAAGCTTTATACCAATCAATGAAGACTGTGGTACACGCCAATGTGCACCCTAATTTGAGGCCACTGTTTATTTTGTACAAATTTCAAGAACATCGAAGCTGCCAACAAGCAAGAGCACTGGCGACTAAGTCTGCCACCTCATAAATCATAATCACCTTATTGGATGATTGTCTAGTAGTGAGATATACGTTCTTACCACCACCTTTTCTAGGCCGATACGATTTCACTTTCTCTTTCAACTATACCTGGTACTCTATGGGGTATTTCTTCGCTCGCATCTTCGTGGCTATAGGTGTATATTCCCACAGTGTATATAGGTCAGAACCTGATTTGCACTACAACTTGCCAAATGCGCTAATACGTATCGTGTTATGTATTTTGTTGTAGAAATAAGTGTCATCCATAATGTTGTAGCGAAATACGACAGTGAAGCAATGTGAGACACCTGGGTAGTTCAGAGGCTTTTATAGTGTCTGGTCGCCCATAAAGCTATAATCTACCGTCGCGCGGCTATAGACTTCCTCAAGGGAAAGATACTCTAGCGACAGCTGCCACCGGTCCCCCAGCTTCCCCATACACTCTTTTATATCTCCTAGGCTTGATCTGATTGCTTCATCCCCAGATTCCCGGAGCACCCAATGATATGTCGCCATCGCACAGTAAATTGCGTCAAGCACAAATGGGCTGACCTTCCCAAGATGAGTTCCGTATTGCGGACTAGCCTCTAGAAACCCTATAATACTTAATGCTGCATTATGCACTTGGTCACTTATGCTCTTCACAATGACAGTCGCCTGGACCTGGAGGAGCTGCTCTTCCGAGGTTTTAGCATCTCCAGCAAGATTATAGCCGGGTTCATCTCGTAACTTTTCCGGACAACAGAGGTTGTCTAGATGCATGAAGAGTGCGGACCAGGTCAGGCAGCGAGGAGCGAGAAAATCCAAGAATTTGTCCGGATGGTGATAGAGCGATAGACTTTCGTCCAGTGCTGCACTCAAGGAACATAGGTTCTCAGTAATGGCAGTGATACTTTCGAGCGCATGTGAAGATGAACGCCTACATTCCGCAGCTCGGCTTATACAAAGAGCACTTTGACACAAGCGGGCGAATGGAGACTGAGCAACAGAGTAGGGGGTGGAGACGGCGCTATTTAGTGCGCGCGTCACATCGCCGGAATTCTAAAAGAAGCGTCTCATTGTCAGCAAGTTGAGCTAATGCAGTCACATGTAAAAGACAATGTACCCATGCGGAATCATTCACTGGCAAAGTATCAGAGTCTGTCGGCTCCGAGAGGGAGAATCTTCTCCTACTACCGAGCGAGATAATCCGATCGAGGATAAATATCGCCCACCAAACGCGTCTTCGCTCTTCAACTTCGGTCCAGGTTGTCTGTTTCAAAGCAGAATTAGAATATCATGTAGGAATGGACAGTGCCAAGATGAGCCTAATCATAACATACATAAGGGCTCAGAGTTCTCGAAGTTTTCCCAGCAGATGTAAGTTCCAGCATGTCGGCGTAACGGGAGCAAGCGCCAACTGTCATCCACGCGGCAGGGTAGATAGAATGGCTGTATTCGTAGAGGGCCACCAAAACCATGGCCTGAAGGCAGCGAAGTGACACTACACTGTTTGCCTCGAGGGTCGCCAGAAACGCTTTTGTGGTTACGTACAGCGAGTTGCTGTTGGCGAGCTCTGTTGAAGAAGAGGTATGAGCAGTGGCCAACTTCATTGCAAGGAAAAGCATTGCAAGATCGGGGCCACCATCCTGGAAAGGAATGCCCAAATCGATCCTTTTCCTAGAAATTATTGGCATCCAACAATGGATAGTTTCAAAATAGATTGTCGAACTCTCCAAAATACCGCCCCCATCGTTGAGGATGGCGAGGACTTCCTAAACGCCAGTCAGCATGCGACGGCACAAAGGCTTAGAGCCCCAAAGTACAAGAAGCGAGAGCCGTACTAGTGGTATGTTAATTGTTGGTCTCGAACGCCGCATCCCGGCCCACTGATAACAGTCGGCATCCAGGAATAGTGCGGAGGGAAATCGGTCGTCCCGCTGTATCTGGTTGGGCCATGTCGAGTTGTGAGAGTCGGATGTAATGCTAGCCGACGAAGAGATTCGACTAGTACTACTAAGACGATCTTCAAGCTCTGCAATCCTGGATTGGAGGGCTACGAATTCGTCGGCGGTTGGGGGTGGTTTGGGGCTATGATCATAATCGCAGGTGCGGCCTGTCCGAACACAAAGACTGCATTCGGGCAAATTTTTGTCGCACTTGCGCTTATGTTTTTTACAAGGACCACAGGTCTGATGGGCCTTCGATGACGTATCGTTCATCTTGGACAAGTACAAAGAAGAAACATTGAGCAAGCAGAGACCAAATGTCTTGAGGTTGTCGGTGGCGAGTGGTGCGGCCGCAATCTCCGCGCGGTATCCCGCGCAGCACACATTCCTACCCCAGGGAATCGGTGACCGCATGAAACAGGCTCACAGCGCTGAATTTTTTTTATATTTTGTTTACCAGGATCTGATCAATGGGAATATTATGTTCCTTGATCTTTTGCGGCAACATAGTGTTCGAAAATGTCCTTGTCAAATTCCCAGTCAGCATTCTATGTATGCTTTATCCACCCCTGTGGAGATTTCCAAAATTCGTGACGCGAAACTACAAAGTAAGCCAGCTTTTACAGAGAATTTCAGTGTAGATATCACGGCCGCAGGTGCTATTCAATCCACAGTATCATTTTTATGCAATTCACCCGAACACCTGAGGCTACACTGACAACCTGTTCAGGTATTGGGTCTCATTTCAACTTGGACTCTGTATGGCTATCTTCAAGGTGATGTGCTAACTGAGGCGATCATTTAACATGCTTACATGTAAGGCTTCACCTGTTCCAAAGTCCAATTCCAGAACTCTTCTCCGAGTTGCGGGTCCACCAAGTCCTTTCGGACCTTCTCAAGCTTTCCGAAAGGCGAAACTAGATGGAAATTGTTAGAAATATCGGTTCCGTGGGGCACAGGAAATACGCAAGAGAGGCCTACCCCATGCTCCGTTGTCCTCCTCTGTAATCGTATCGCTAAGGCCTGCGAACAACTCGGTGTATGCACCATTGATCGGTTCCGATGCGATGAGTTTCTATGTTGTTAGATTTGGGTATGGTGGCAAAGAAAGCATGGGTAACTTTAGGAAACATACAAACATGTTGAGCTCCATTTTCGACATGTTCTGCTGCAGATTTGTCACAAAATTGCCGGGATTGAGAGCCTGGTTTGTGGTCAGAAAGGAGGAAGCCAGCGCGCGAATGAAGTATGGAATGCTCACCAGGCTAATGATACCCGTCCCTTTGGTTCTTCGTGCAAACTCGGCTGAATGAACCACACTAGCCGCCTTGCTACGTGAATATTTCGTCCAAGCACCCTCCTCTCGATGGTAATCCATATTGGTCAGATCAATAGCAGGATTCGGTGCAGCGTCGGCAGCACTAGAAGAAACCCAGATAACGCGAACAGAGTTTTTGGGTGCTGAGTTTGCAGCAGTCTCGAGTGCCGGACGAAGAAAGTGGGTGAGCAAGAAGTGAGCGATGTTGTTGACGCCGTACTGGAGCTCATAGCCCTGCTTTGTCTGGGAGCCTTCGGGCGGAACCATAACACCTGCATTATTCCACAGAACATCTAAGCGATTCTCCTTTGCCAAAAACTCATTGGCTGTCTGCCTGATAGTGGTCAAATCGTCGAGTTGAAGGTTGAGATATAGCAGCTCACCCTTTGAGGATGGATGAGCCGCCTTTATCTCCTCAATACAGTCCTTTGTCTTTGACTCAGACCGGGCAGCAAGGTAAACTTTTCCATTATGCTGATACAAGATGGTGGCGAGAAGTTTACCGAGTCCCCCGGAGGCGCCTGTCACAAGAAACACCTACTCTAGAGTTTAGTTAACTGATCAAGAGGGAAAAGGGCATTGGTGCGGAGGCCTCACCTTGCCGCTCTGGTCTGGCAAGTTCTTCTCAGTCAATGTTGCTTTATTAGGCAAAACAGTGCTGCATCTCATTCCGAGGTTAAAACCCATGATGGCGGCTGGCAAGGGTGAGGGTGAAATCAAACAAGGCAAGGACAGTTGCGGTAAAAGGTTTAAGTAACTTCTCCATTAGCATCGGAGAATGATTCACTGGCTATTTAGCTTTGAGCTACCGACCATTGGAGCATTCCCGTCTAATCTTGCCGAACTGTTTTCTCCAGAGCTGGATGCGGCCGCACTTCCCACTGTGCATAACATGGGTACGGGATGAATGACGTCAAAAAAAGGCCTGGACAAAAGCGACCCAAAATGACTAGCTGACCGTGCCAAGCCTTACTGCAATCATCTTGAGAGAAAAAATACAACACTCTAAAGTGACGATTGATAAGTAGCGAACCCCCTGTGGATCATCATGAAATGGATGTGATAGAGCTAGCTCTAAGTTTGATTGGCTCTCAACAGAGATATAAGAACACATTATTCGATGCCTAAACACTGGGTCTCTTGGCCTCAAAGTGAGACCTACATAAGAGGTTCCGATCTACGTGATCTTCATGCTGATCAACATACTAATAAGTGTTAGTGCTATGCAGTAAGCCACACTGATCAAGGGGTTCCAACTTGGCTTCGTTGACATCGCCTTCTTATACCGAGAATCTTGAAGTGCATACGGAGTAAATTATTCCTTGATACGGAGTACCGTAGGCTCTCCAACACCACCTTGGCCAAATTAAGTATACCATCGGCCACTAAGCCCAGGAAGCTTTACCAATGGGTTTACATGATACTTGTTCCAAAAGAGCAACCAAAATGAATCAATGGAATTCCTGTTGCCTTGATACTTGGCGGCTAGAGACACTTGCTACTGTATTTAGCATCGCTTGCTTTATTGCCATGTGTGGTATCCTATTCGCCTATGACCAAAAGGCCCGACCCGAGCTTCGATACGGCTTATCCTTGAACGCTATCATCTCAATACTAGCAACAGGTTGCAAAGCCTCCTTGATGTTTATGATAGGAGAGGCTGTGAGTCAATTAAAATGGGTCTGGTTTCGTGCAGAGCCGAAGCAGCTCCTCCACCTGCAGCACTTTGACAGTGCAAGCCGAGGATCCCTCGGCTCTATTATGATTCTGTTCCAACACAGAGGACGGACTCTCGTCTCTTTTGGGGCAGCCATCATTGTTCTTTTACTTGCATTTGATCCATTTGTTCAGCAGATCTTGAGTTATCATACTCGGTCAGCTGCTATTCACGATGACACCGGGGTTGCAGTAACTAAGAGGTTAAAACATTTTGTTCCAGACGCGAGCGAAGTTGAGTGGGATTTAGCCTGGGTATCAGGAATCTGGTCTAATGATAATATGTTCCATCCAACCTGCTCGTCTGTGAACTGTACATGGCCTCGGTACCGCTCTATTGAAGTGTGCAGTCAATGCGCGGATATCACGACCTCTGTGTCGTTGGATTGTCATAAGGATGACCGGGACGACAGCTTTTGGAATAAGTACGATCATGAAACGGAGTCCTATAATTACAATGCATCATGTCATCTCGCCCATCCACAAGGAACGTCGACCGACTTTCACGTCAAATTCGGAATGGCGTATAAGAGCCCGAGTGCTGGTCGTGTGGGGATACCAGAAAATATTACCTGGTATGTCTACTCTGCTTTCGATCAGAATGCCGACATCAGAGTGTACCAACACATCGAAAACTTGACGTTTGCCGAAGTTGCCAATCCTTTGGCGGTGTTCGCGCTGGCCAAAGTTGGGTATAATTCAACTTACTTCGACTCAGATCCCATCAAGGGGATCAAGCTCGATAAGGTTACGGAATGTAGCCTTGCATATTGTCTCAATGAGCATGATGATTCAGTTACCAACGGCGTTCGCATGGCCAATATCTCCACCATCGATTACGGCCAATTGTTCTGGCGACATGGGAGGACGTTCGCGGGAAATCAAACACTCTGCTGGAGGCCTACATCCAGTCCATGGAACATCACCTTTGAGGGTGATCCGGCGCGGTCCACTTCATTCCAATTGAGCCCCGTTGAATTTGCATTTTGTGGTATTCGACCGGGAGTATTATTGAATGTGGGCCCTTTTGTGGGCTCCTCGGCCTTCATCTATCACATGTGGGACGTTGACAACAAACCTGCATCGTTTAAAGATCCTGACCCTAACACGGAGCGCATTGGCGTTGTCGGTCTTGAGGTTATAATGTCTAACGTTGCCGACTCCTTGAATAGTATGGCATTGCATACCAGCGGTGAACGTGTGAATGGCACCGCGTATGCCATCGAAGTATTTGTGGAGGTGCAATGGGCATGGTTAATTTTGCCAGCCCTACTAGTTATTTCCGGGACTTTGTTCTTTGTCTTGGTCATCCTTATAAACAAAAAGGACAATACATCACTCTGGAAGTCATCGGTGTTGGCATATATCTATCACGGATTGAATGATGTTGGTCCCGCTGATTATACAACTGCCAGTAAAATGGAAGAGAAGGCAGAAGACATGGATGTTCAGCTTCAATTCTCCGATAAAAAGGGGGATCTGATACTAGGGAGAAGGCAAAGTAACACTGCGACAGATTGAAGAAGATATCAAGTCCCTTCAGACTCAAGCAATTTCTATGCATTTTCATTCAAACTCATCCCTTTCGCCGCCTTGATTGAATCGAGATCTCATACTCGACAACGAACATTTCGGCGCTTGCTTGCACTGTCATCTTTTTCCTTTCTTTCTTTCTTTTTGAATTGGTGACAATTTTATGGCTCTTTTGGTCTTGGGCACAAGAAAACCTATCATATATGGCGAAAGAAGAGCATGTGAATATTATCAATGGTCTTCCTCGTCTGTGTCTTTCGGTTCTCACTACTTCGTCGGGCTCAGTAGCAAAAGATGCGCTCTGGGCTTCCCAGTGCGTTTCCATGTCTTTCGTGAATGTAGCTTGCCATTTTTTTGGCATTAGCGTAAATTGCTCATGCTCCACGAAATAGTTTCTATGTTACAATCCCGTACCTCGAGAACTATTTCAACCCGTTTTACCATCTCTAGGTCCTGGCGTCGTGGCCCAAGAAAATGATTGCGGTAAGTGACCTCTTGATCACGTTCTGTTGGTTGTCATTTACGGAATGAGTCTCGTCCTCCGTCGACTCCATCTACAGATTGTCAATGTTCAACATATAAGAATGCTATCTCACAGCATACCGTCAAGTCTTGATCAGGCCGTTAAACCGCCATGTTACAACATAAAGAGTGCTATCTCGCGACACTCTGACTCGCATATCGGGTCATTGGATCGAAAAATCTCGAACTTAACAGTATCTGGGACCCTATAAAGATTGCATAATAAACGATCGGGTTTGGGCTCCGGCATATCACATTCAGTCCCAATTCTAACATGAGTACTTACTAAAACAGAGGTCCATTCCACAATCTTTGCGATTATCAATGAGATGTCCTGTTGGCAGGGCAGTACCGCCTTTTGGTCTATCATCCTGGGGGCAGATATTTCACCATAGAAGCTTTTTCTCAGCGCGTTAAATCGGTCGCTGTAGACCCTTATCCTGGACTCCAAATCCTTCGCAGTGCTTTCTTAAGGCAGGTACGCAACTCTAGTGTATGTAATACAGGCGTTATCCTATGACTCGAGATGAAATATTGTTACCCATCTCCAAGTAATAGCTGTCTTCTAGAAATTTGTTATGAGGGATGCTCAGGCTATTCTACACTGGTTCTAGTAGTTGGATTCGCTTGTCTTAGAGATAGGGACATATGTATATACTACCGACGTTCGTGATATTGTACCATTTTGTTTGTCTCAAAATCAAAATTGATCAGATCAAAGGATATATGTCGGATCAGTAGTGAAAAATTGCCCCAATCAGATGGTCTTCGCATTGTTATAGATCGTGTCTGCTTTTCAACCCATTTTTTAGATGCTTAAACGAAAATTTACCTGCTTATGCAAGAGTCGCATAGTGATATATGGCATTTGCCGTTCAAGAATAATATTCAAATTGAAAAATTGACAAGCAAATTAATTATAATTCCCATCAGCACCTGGGCAACTGGCAAGTGGAAAGTTGGCTCCCAAGACTCTGGTCACCGCCATCGCCACAAGGTGGCTTGTGTGCTTCTCCTCATCCAACCTCTTTTCCATAACCACCCAACGCTGCCTGCCTCCTATTCACCATATTTTACTTAAATTCTTCTATTCACATATACTCTTTGATTCCCTCATCCGGTTTTGTTACTCCCTCAACCAATGAACCGATCATCATAGTGAAGAAGACCACACACACACAACCACACAGACCGAGCCGCTATGGCGCGACGGTACGAGATCGATGAGCTGATATGGCTTCGCGGCTCGCCCCTCGTCGCAAAGCCTCCCGGCCTGCCTCCAATTGAAGAGTGGATGTATGTTGGCCCTGATACCTGCAATGCTTCGGATGTCCCGCACTGTCAACGTCAAGACTGACCGCAACCTCTAGGCCTCAACCTGATCCGACAACCGCACAACGAAAAACCCATGGCACCCGTGATACCAACAATCCGACTGAAACCGGTACGGGCAGAAGACCTAGCTTTTTTGAAGCCAAGCATATATCTCGGGGGTCTAATTCTGGTATTATTATCTCCCTTCCCCTCGATCATCAAGTACCCTGATCGATATGCAATGGAGGCACTTGCTAATTTGGATTCCTTATATTCTTAGAGGACATTGTACTCGGCCCCCCGAAAACCGCGTTCGCCTCATCTCGCATTGGCGGCAAAGGATCGTTCGATCTGACGGACCGACCAGCGGCGCAGCCCAATAACTCGGATGAAACGAAGAACGACCGATTCAACTTCAGAGACAGGTTCCTCAAGGATCGCGATGTCCCGGATAAGGAGTTGGATCGACGGGAGGCCAAGCCAGCACCATTGAGTGCCCGGCGTGGTGAGCGAGAAGACTGGAATGCCGGGCGCCCACGTCGCACATTCGGTCCAGATGAGCAGGAGCGTAAACCCAGACGAAACGGAGAGTTCGACAGATGGGAAAACAAAGAAGCACCCCGCGATCCTAATGCCGAACGGGTTCCCCGTGACAAAGATGGCCGTTTCCCCACTCGAAAAGAAGGACAGCCCCCGCGATCCAAATATGAAGGAAGCTGGTTCCGCGACGAACAGGGCCAAGAGGGTGCCAGTCCGGCTGTTGATGTTGATGACGATAAACCGCCCTTGCGCAACCGAGAATGGCGCCAAAACCAGACCCGACACGGCACCGAGCGTGAGTGGAACCGCGGTGCCAAATTTGAACAAGAACCCGAATGGCTGGATGCCAATGACCGAGACGAACCGCGACGAGCACACACACAGGAGGATTTTGAGCGCTGGAAAGAACGTATGAAGGCTGGATCTGGACCATCCGCACAAACTCCGGCACATGCCGAGGAAAAGAGAGAAGCACACGTTGAAGAGCAAAAGCCAGAGGCCCGTCGTACTGATGGTGAGATTTTCAGTAATTCTGGTGCTCAGTTCATGTCCGACGATTCGATGGAACGATTCTTCGGGCTCCTGGGTGATTCGAAGGCGCAGCCTCAAACCCCAGAAGTTAGTACTCCTGTCGCTGCAGACCCAATCGTCAAAAAGGAACCCTCCCCCTTTCCCGGAAAACCTGGAAAATCATCTCGTTTCGCTGGTCTCTTTAGTCCCATGCCAGAGAGCCCTGTCAGAGAGCCCGAACCAACGCCTTATTTCAATGCCCCGCCACAGCACCAGCCCCAGCATTATCAGCAGCCCCAGCCGGCACCCGAAAGTATGTCTTTCCCATCCTACAGTGCGGACCAAGAAGGCTTCCAGCGCATATTGCAAATGCTTGGTGGGCAACGTTCGGAGAATGCTACGCCTCACGAGATGGGTATGCCGCAGCAACAACGGACAATGTCCATGATGCACGCCGAGCAGCAACATGCGGCTCTATCTCTGTCATCTCCCTCCAGGGAACACCCTCACCGATCCGATTACATGGGACCTGGCCCCGAGAATCCCATGGCTCAAGGTGGCCCCAAGGATCCCCAGGCACTGGAGAGAGCGCACTTGCTTCGTTTGATGCAGCAAGTCCGAGTCGGACCACCGCCTGCGGGCCATTTATCCCAGCAGTCTCCCAACCAGGGTATTGCCCCACCTCCCGGTCTGATGCCAGAGGGCATGCCACGGCCTCCGCCAGGGCTTTCTGCTCAAAAGACGCCCACTTTCCTCGACGACCCGGCAATTGCAAACATGCAGCGACCAGATAGCGAGCACCTCCGCCGGCGACCTGCAAATGGTCCGCCTATGGGATTCTTTGACGATATGCCGTTCCCTCAGGGTAATCAAGGGCCGATGACCCCAGGTGGACCTATGACTCCGGGTGGATCGCGCCCTCAAGGTGCTAACCAGCCCCCCATGCCACTTCAGCGACCCCCGGGTCTCGAACATCTGCCACCCCCTGGATGGACTGGCCAGCCTGTCCCCCAGCAGGGAAATGTACCAAGCCCCATGGGCCCTCCTGGAATATCCACTCCAGGCCGCGGCATGAACCCCAACTTCCCCCTGGCATGCTTCCTATGCCCGGCAACGCGCCTCCAATGAATGAGCGCCAAGGCTTCCCTCGCGGCCTGCCTCCAGGCATGATGCCCCCTCCGGGCTATCTGAACGGTCCTCCCCCAGGCTTCCCTCCTATGCCACCAAACCCCGAGGCCATGATGGGACTTGGCCCCGGTTCTCAGGGCCCCTTCGGACCTGGCAATCCTGGCCCACAAGGCCCTCCCCCTTCGTCTAGACACCTCCTGGAGATGTTCGGCCAGTCCAATGGCGGTGACGTCCGTGGTGGCATGGTCGGTCCCGGCCAGTTCAGATAAACGGAAAATATCGGAAACGGATTTCTATCGCCTCGCCTACATTTACGCATCATTTACCACTACCCAATGACCATTTATGATTATCTACGCTAGCTTGGTGAAGCCGATGTACAGGGGCTCATGATCATCGTTTTTCATTTTCTAACAACTCCAGATCTCACGGCAATGTCGCAATTCCTCTTGAGAGAACAAAATACCCATTTTCTTATTTCTTTTTTCCTTCTCGAAATGTATTTGCCCATGGCCCTTTCGGCCAAATGATGCCGTGTTCGATCAATGCCTCTTACTCCTCCGCGTTTCAGCCTTTGCTGCGTTGGCTTTGGGCTACCCTGGTGTGGTTTTGCTGCATCTATTATCGGGCCTTTTCTTTTCCTCTCATATTTTTCCTGGTGTTCTTGAAATCTCTCAAGGGGCGATGCTTCCGTGCTGTGTCTTCTGGTACTGGATCTGATGACTATAGTCGAGATGACTATAACTTGGGGGTTGACAATATTGTGTGGATAAAGTGGTGGATGGATGGTCTTGAACTATGACTTCATTGGGTCTCTGGTCTCCGCTGTTTGTCAGTAGATTCATGCTTTAGTTTCATAGATAGCTGACCGATGCCAATCTATCCGTCACTTGTTGAGGTTTGGGATCCTTGTAGAAAAAAATTTTATGTCAAAGCCTTTGCGGGGCCGGTGATATCTCTTGGCCCGGTATCAAGTCAAGTCATTGTCAATTTCTATGCGGCTTCTATACGAACCAAATAAGGTACCATGTCCCTACTCGAGACCGTACCTCGTTACATGCTACTTTTCCTAGGGTCAACCGTTTGTTTGCTATAGTGATTTTTGTGTTTTCCATGTCTAATTGCATATACTCCATATGCTGTATTGTCTGGAAGCTTTGATTATGTTTGTAACGTGACTGGGCATCAGTGATTGCACCCCGCCGTCTTCATCCCTCATACCGCCTTTCTCAAACGTATGGCCATGAATCGAATCTTCCTAAAACAGCACATGAAGCTACTTTTTCTTGACGAAAACAAGGGTGCGCTCTTCATAATCATATGTTACCCTTAGTCAAGATGATTGAAATCACTGGAATTTCTCTGCCCGGCAGAATATTGTGTAATACAAACATGTGCCCAAGTCGGGAGAGCGCAATTACTTAGATCCATTGACTGTATCTATATGTTTGGTGGTCTTTTTCTGCTTAAATTTATGAGAATTCCACATAGTAGAAATTCTCCGGCTGCGTGAACTACGCACATGCCTACAAAATTGTAATGTTCCTCCTGTGAGAGGATTATCTTTACAAAATTAAAACACCTTTCCCCGTAATGTGGCCTCGGCAACTGGCATGATACTTTCTGTATGCTGTGGATGTACCCATGAACGTGACTCCACGTGACCGAGCTTGCCCCAATCGATCTATACAAAGCGATCTGTACAAGGATTACCTGTGCTAGAGAACATATGGAAACCCATCTATGGAGGACGCTTGTATAGCAGAACGCTTAAAAACATACCTGACAATATTTAATGATTAATCCAGTTACATTGGGGTCCAGGCACCTAGAAATCTACTAACATGCTGACTCTGTGGATCCCCAGCTCCCAGACGAGATCGACGACTAATCGTGAGCCTCATCGCCGACTAATCGAGGGCCTCATGAACGACTAATCGGGGGCTACATTGACGACTAAGCGCAGCAAGCCCCCACAATAGACTTTCAAAAGAGGTAAAGTACAAACCGTGTAATTCCATCTGTGATTCGATCTTATCCCTTCCCTGTCGTCACCCAACAGAGCGCCGGCGATGCCTCTACAAGAATAGACGACACGACCGAGTATCGAGGACAGATACAGATACAGCATCAAGCTGTCTCATCCTACAATTGAAACAGTCAAGTATATCCCTCGTGCTGATTCCAGTCCTTGAAATATTCTTTGGTCCCATGCTAACATCCTCGAGACATAGCCGAGGTGCTTCAGCCCACCGACCACCCTCAGGCCTACCCGATACTTCGAATCAAAGATATTGTTGCATCCCATCTTGAACGGTATGATCTCTATTTCAAAATTCACAAGAACTCTTTGGCCAGAGATAACCGCAATAGAAGGACTTGCAACGCTTGTCGAAGGGCATTGAATGCTAACTGAATGGCCGAGTAGATTTTCAATATGTATCCTGCAGAAATGGAGGTATCTCCTGATGTAGACGACGACAGGGTACGTGAATGTTCCGGCGCTTCCCCTGTTTGCGCGCGCGCATCTTCTCAAACTAACTCTCGACGCTCTCCGCGTTCGTGACCCAGCTCGCTCATCTCCAGAGCGATCCCGCAATTCCCTTTTGTGCTACCCTCAGTTGAAGACGACTTTGAAGAAGCCTCTTCCGTCTCCTATGCTACCGGATCAAAGCGAAAGCGTGACACTGTCACTCCGCCCGCGCAGAAACGTCCAGCTTCTGAACCCGGTGCACCTTCCCTTCCTCAGGACCGACACCCTCCTCACTACAACTGGTCACGCGACTGCACTCCTATTCTTGACGAGTCTCTGCTGAGTCGACGTAAGTCTCTTTCCCTCTCATGCCATCTTGCCTTTATTCCCAAATGCTTGGACGAGCAACTTATTGTTCCGAATTTAGTAAGCACTGAAGAGCCCGAAGACCTCGAAGAACTTGTTAGGACACGTCCGTTTGGCTGGGCTCGTGCTCTTCACGGAATGTCTCCCCTGCGGCCCCTGGAGCTGCCTAGCAGTCCACACAGTACCACCAGCTCGCGCGTTTGGGAAACAAACCGGCCTTCCAACTACCACTTCACGATCTACGAAGACTCACAGGGCCATGCGACACCAAACGCCAGTCCTCTGCAGGAAGGCTTCCACCCACAGGAAGAGGATAAAGAAAACATCTTTGTTTCTCGCTCTGACTTTGATAGCTCTGATGATGAAGGAGATCAGTCTCACCCTGACCTCGCCTGGAGTGAAGCTTCCACCGGGCCTCGTGATGCCTTCGGTCTGCCACTCAATCGCGAGATGTCTGACTTTGTCCCGCCTCGCAATGCGCCATTCTCCGAGCGTCCTATGCGTCAGGGTCGTGAGGTTCTGCGAACCATCTGGGTTGACGAGGCGCAAGCCCCCGAGGAAGATGATGATTGGCTACACGATGGCAGTCTGACTGATACCCAGATTCGGGAGATTGAGGATATCGAAGCAAGTTACCAACGAGGACAACTAAGCAGAGCCCGCTCTAACCGCCACCAGGCTTTGCGTGATGATGCTCCTGTTCAGGCTTCGACCAACTTCCACACCGATGTTCGTCGCGTCCTTCGTTTCCAGCGACACGAGGACCGGTCTACCACTCCTGAGGATGGCCCCGTCCCTTCTCAGGATCGCCTGGTTACCCGCGAGGGAAACGAGGACGAGCTTCAGGGGGAGGATCAGGAGCAGGACCAGTAATCTGAGGTCAGATGAATTTCTGCTCTGAAACTGTTCGCGATCTAACACTATGCATCACACGATCTTCACTGTATCTTGTGATAATCTTCGTTCTGTTTGACGCAATCTGCAATTTTCAGATCTGTGCTCTTTTTCAAATATGCTTTCATGATTCACGGCATGTATGACTAGTTTATTGATAGCCGATGAATCTTATTATTTTTTCAAGCAAAAATTGCTGCGCAAGTGGAGTAGACCTAAGCATTGACATGGCTTTATAGGAGCGTATCATCACCAATGTCAAATATGTCTCACATTCAGGGTCTTGTCCACGAAGAAGAGAGCGCACAAATCTATCCCCGAGTACCAGTCACACAGGGTTTGAAACACCCAGCTAGTTCTGGGACATAGGTATACTCGGGCATGGAATTCCCGGATATTCATCTAATGCTGGTCTTTCTAAGGGTTTTCTTAGAAGTCTTTTTAGGTGTCTTTCTTGGTGTCTTTTGAAGCGTCTTTCTACGAACCTTTCTATGCGTCTTTCTACAGGCCCTCGAATGTCTTTTGAACGTCTCTTTAGATTGATCAAAATTTCATGCCGGAGAACAAAATGTACACTGCAATCATCTTGTGTCCAGTTTCTACAAATCGATTAGATCTACGATGATATTGAAAATGATCCATTTTGACCAGCATAAAGTGAACGTCGCTTCTGCTATGTAAATGAACCCATCGTCCTAGAAATAATTTCCACCACTAAGAATAAATGTCCCTTCCAGGCTCAAGTTGCAGATCTCAAATCCATCCATCCTGCGACGCACACTGCCATGGTCCATATCTTCATATTTTCCCTTTTTGGGGGTTTGTGATTTTCATAATTTTTTGGTATTTTCTCTCCATCTTTTTGCTCGTGCTTCTTCTAAAGATTCAAGCAAGCTAGCTCCGAGGTAAAAATCAAATGGCGATTCGTTTGGCGGTGGCTTTGGGCGCGAGCTTTTACGTAGTCGTGGACGCATTTTCGGAGGACAAGTGAACTCTGAAGCCCTTCTTGGGGTCCTCAGTGACTTCACCAAACATCTCCAGCAACTCTTTGAGTGTATTCCGGTCCATGAGAACATTCTGGCTCATAACTTCGCCGATCTCCTTAGCTTTCCGCTTCTGGGTTCTGTCCATCCAATCGTCAATAGAGTGATTGACCATGAGCATGACACATTCGACATCTCGTTGTTGGCCAAGACGCCAGAGACGGAAGAATGCCTGTCGTTGCATTATGATATTAAAATACTAGATTCTTCAATTCTCAGTTCACGCGCGTCCACATACCTGGTCTTGTACGGCCTCATTCCACCATAGATCAATCAAGATACACTTGTTGGCTACGGAGAAATCAAGACCTAGACCCCCTGTTTTGATGGAAGCAATCATAATCCTAGTTTCAGCGTCATCCCGGAAGTTGCTCAGACTGATTTCTCGTGACTTATTGGCCATTCGACCGGTCATCTGGTGAAGTCATATTAGGTACGCGCTCTGTCCATGGCCTGGAAGAACTTACTTGAGAGTATTTCCACCCATGTACTTCACATAGGTACTTTAAAAGCCTAGTGCTGTTGATGTACTGTGTGAAAATAACGATTTTGGCCGTGTTGTCGTTTTCGAACCACTCTTTGACTTGAGCCGTAAGCGCATCAAATTTGGCTCCTGGCATCGATTTCCCAAATATCGCGATCCAATCGTGACTTTCGTCAATCTCTTCTTCCTCACAGGGAACATCATCCTCATCGGGGGATATGTCTCGCTCTTCGTCTTGGCTCCCACGTTCGCTTTCATCTTCGAATACACCTAGGCTTTCGTCGGCCAACAGCCATTCTGAAAAAGTAGGAACAGGATCCTCACCCTTTCGGCGCTTCTTCGTTCGAGCTTCCTTTTCTGTTCTTGTCTCTGGTGTGGCTGGCCGCTTTTGCGGGCCCATCGGTCTAGCAGTCTCGGCATCCTCCGGTGGAGGTGTGTCGAAGTCATCGTAGAGCCCGTAGAATGCAGCCTTTTTGATCGTAATTCTGCAGGCACGGCATTGTCGAGTGACACCATCGGTGCTCCCTTCTTCGTCACCGAGTGCGTCGAAGCATTCTTCACAATAAAGATGTTGACAGTCCGTGATAATTGCCCTCGTTGGAAGTCCATGACATCCAGGACAGAACCAGGTGCGATGATCGCTCTCATAGAAGTCGCCTGCCTCAAATAGCTCTTCGTTCTTTTTTCTGAACTTGGAAACAAGCTTTGTGCAATTTCCAGGTGGCCGCGGTCGAAGATTCTCGCTTTCTGTCCGAGGTCGCAGAGTAGGCATGGGCATATTGGTTTGGTATCTTCCGGAAATACAACACTTTGCGATAGTGCTTGACGGAGAAGGATCTCCTGAACTCGTCTTATTTTTCACCCAGGTCTTCAGCTGTGCGTCCAGCTTTTTGTCGAAATTGCATACTCGCTTTAGGTAATCTTCTGCGGCAAGTGGATGGCTGGTGAACATCTGCAACTTTAGGATCATTGTCAAAATACATTTGCTCTGGGTTTTTAATTCAGTGGCTGTGGCTTTTGATTAGCGAATTCAGTTGATCACAGCCTTGGAGGGCTTCCGAGCTCACTATTGACTTTCTCGATAAACCTTTCCACAATTGCCCTGTATATCTGCCTTTCGACTGGGTAAAAATCAATTCTTGTTTCTCGTAGATCAAATTTTTTGAGCTCAATAAGGGGTCTCCCCATATGGCGGCTTTCGTGAGTCTTGCGATGGATGACGGCGCGAAGCATATTGATCAAGCGGTCTTTCGCATCTTCCGTTCCCTATATTGGCAAAAAAATGTTTAATGTCCATTTTTCTGAACCAGGAAATAACTTACATCGCAAAAGTTATGCATGAACATGTGGTACGGGTGACTGTTGGGCACACCAATGAACGCGAATAGAGTATACAGATCATCAACGGAGCTATGTTCAACGTTAATACCTGTTTGTATTGATTTGAACGAGGTTTGTACTCACTTGTGCAAAGGCGTTCCAGTCAAAGCCCATTTGAAGTTCCCACTTAGAGCACGAACTGCAATCGAGGTTCTTGTGGTCCGGTTCCTGATAATGTGTGCCTCTGAAAGCTATGGTTAGTCGTCGTCTTTCTCAGGCTTTTCGGTGGGATTTTCAGAGGGCTTCTCAGATATTCTTCTTGGATCTCCCTGGACTTACCATCGAGAACAATTCTGTGCCAGTTAATCTGATGAAAAGCGCCTATCTTCTCATATTCCTGGTCCCACCATTCTCTCACAGCGGCATTCGTCCTGAGTTCAGGAGGCGGCTTTAGATTAGGGTATGAGGAAGAGATTTCCTGGTACGTTGTCAACCTGTATATTATTAGCACTCTTGTAGAATTATGCTAATTGTAACCAGTACTTACACAATACCGTGCTGTTTGAGATGGTGGGCGAGCTCATCGGTTTCCACGTGTGCACCAGAGCAATGTGCAATGATGCTACCAGCTGCTCCTTGAACACAATGTTGTCGAATCTGCGACATCCAGGTGGGTATCAAATTTCTCGGGGCGACAATCAGAGTGGGACCTTCTGGCTCAGATGGAACCTTTCGGTTCACGATGCACGCTTAAAATATTTAGCTCTCTGGCGACACGGCCTGTCATTTTCACTTCTCTTACCTAGTGCCGACAGAGTCTTACCAAAGCCCATCACATCACAGAGTAAGCCCCCATTGGGCTTGCTCAAAGAGGTTTCGCGTTTGCACTGTATTGATCAGTAAACTTGAGATTGGAAGAAGGCACTCGAGCTCACCATCCAAGAAGCAGCCAATATCTGTCCTAGATGTTAGTTTTGTAGGAAGTACTAAATTTGGAAGTCAACACAAACCTGGTTGACCATAAGGCTTGTTTTCAGCCCTCTGATCTTCCATTTTCCTTGCCCGTCCGACCGTGCTGATGGATTGAAGGTTTTTGTTGCTTCATCCAGGAGTAATATGTCTGCTCGTGCTCCAGGCTTTTCCGCAACTGGAATACTAGCAAGCATCTCTTTGAAGGCTTTTTGCTTGTTTTTCTCTGTAGAGACAAAACTGGGGGGTAACGGATCCTTTCCTCTTTTGCGGCCACTGTCGTTGTTAAAGATACTGCGGATCTCTTGAGTTGTCAAAACCGTGGGTGGACGACGATATTTTTTCTCGTTGCCTCTTGGACCAGACGTCTTTTGAATTTGGGGCTCGCTTTCATCGGCCTTACCACGCTTTCGAGTGCCTTCCTTCGAAAGCAACTGAGCAAGGCCAAGCTCTTTGGCCCTTTGAATCCGCGATTTTGATAGTCGGGTACCCGGTAGCTTTACTGTGATTGGCTTTCTCAAGTCTGTGTTGGTTTGCTCTTTCCATTGAGGCTCCTTAAGTTGAGGCTTTTCTTCCAAACTAGAAGAAGAGGTATTATCACTCTCTGGTGCTTCAGGTTCCGCGTGGACATTCAGGCTGCAAAGCCTGTCAAGCTTGACTTTTCTCCTTCGTTCGAGCTCTTTCTGTCTGCGCTTTTCGAATTCAACCTGCTGCTCCATGGAGGGAGATTGTAGGCTTTGAAACTCTTTCTGGTAATCATTGAATCTAGGTCCATTGGTTATTGTTCTCTTGAGGCTTTCATAACACTTACCCAGAAATATCATCCTCGCCTGGCTCAAGGAAATCATTGGTCTTAGGGGTGGTTGAGTGCGAGGAATCATCACAACTCTCAACTGGCTGTTCAACTGTCTCAGTGGTCTTTTTTGCGGCCTTCTGTTGTTGGTAGATAGCCAGTAGTTCCATGCGCGGGATTGAGCGTTCTTGGACTGATGGATTTTCCTCATTTGTGAGGTCAATAACGATATAGTGTTGCACCCGCTGGCCGTTGTTGAACTCTGGTGGTTCCATTTGGATACCAGATTGCTGTCTGGTATTGGATTCTTCTTTGAATTTCACTGGCCTGAACTTGTCCCAAGTCTTGATCTCCTGGGCGTTCTCATCGGGAAATTCTTTCTTGATCCGCGGACGATTCAATTCGGCAGAAGTAGATTGGTCATTACCCAAGCTCTGCGCGTCCGGGTAAATTGTGTTTTGAGGCACATATCGAGCCCCCTCGGAATGTCTAAAAGTGAGCTGACTGTCACTCGGTTTGGACTGGGAATGAGAGACTTTGGGGACTCTTTCTCGGTGTATCTCTCCGGAAGATTGCATTGTGACGGTTCAAGCATGCAGTGAAATAATGAATGCAGTAGGGCCGGGTCAATTGAAGAACACAAAAGGTATAAGCTGTGTTGTAAAAGGATATTGTAGCAATAGGGGGATGTGAAGGGAAACAGAGAAGTATGGTGTGAAACAAAAGAAAGCCTTGGCGATCAGCTCTAGGGCTTGAGATAAAACATGGGGAGAGGAAGTCAAACAGAGGATTGATGGCTTGTGTTTAGATGTAAGATGCCGAAGGCCTTAGCAAGTGACAATTGGGCCTGGTCATTCGAAGAACGCGCGATGAAGGATCAATGGTGTGCAGCAAACAAAAGGCTCTTATAATCACTGCCCCTGAGGTTGAGAAAGGAGAAGTAAGATAGAGGAAGACTAGTTCGTGTTTGGCAAGTATTGAACGACGTTTTTAGTTAAAGCTGTAACACTGGGGATATAATTGAGGGACGATACTCATTGTATGCTGTGAAGGAAGTAGAGCCTTCTAGTCACTAGCCCTAGGGGTTGAGATGACACATTGGAAGACGAGATATGGAGGAGAGGATATAATGAAGGTACTGTATAAAAGATACGTGGAAATCAGGACCCGGATAAGATGGGGCTCATTGAAAACAAAAAAGCTGTAAGTTATGTTATAGAGGGTAGTGCAGCAATATAGCAATGGGCGATATGAAGGGAGATGAAGGGTAAGTTCTGCGAAGAAAGCAAGCTTCTTTCTTAACAACCACTCTAGGTAACGAGGTAAATTTAAGCATAAAAAGGTATAAGCTAGGTGATTAAAGATGGTGCATGATATACGCGTAATGTGAAGGACGTAGAGCCCTTTGATCACTGCCCCTATCAACCGAATGAAGCTTTTGGCCTTTCTGTAGCGGAGATACAAAATAGCAAGTATTAGTGGTGATGGAGAGAATATTTGGCCAAGGAGACTGAGAAAATATCAAAAACGATGGAACGAGATATCCATTGAGCTGCTAAAAAAACACCAAAAACAAACACTCGAAAAGCTATTGAGCCAGACACACAAAACAAGATATTGAAAAATATTCTAAGAGAGGTGTCGAGAATATGCTGTTATGCTTCGACTTTGTAGAAAGACATTGAAGAACTTCAAGCACGATCTGAAAAGGTGCTACATGGTTCCTAAAACTTCTTACCTGGCATTGACATGTGTGATGTTCACTTCATCCGGACATCTCGGGCATATAAATTCTCCATTCTTATAACCTTCTCGCAGACTCTCTGTTCTCCTTGATTCTATACTCTATCCTACCAAGTTCATAGTCTCCATCTCTATAATCCTTCTAATTTGTGCATCATTACCTCTTCTTCCTTCGCTGAATCTTTGTCACTTCGTGGTTCAGACTGGATCTTCTTCCTTCACTGCGCTCGTTAATGCCAACCTTTCCCTATACATTCTCCTTCATTCTGCATAATATTCAACCGTTCATCTCAACCATTCATTTTAACCTCTTTCATTACCTCCATTCTGAATATCTTCTGCACAACTTCCGTTATCCTCGCACTCTGTGTTATCTTGAGCTCTTGCTTGATCTCTAAGGCTCGCCGAGTTCCATTCCCACATCCCCCATTTCGGACTTACGCACAGTCCAAATTATTTCACTTTGTTCATTCAAATCCGTTCATTTACCTCTGTTTCCCCAGCATCTCTATCCAACTCTACCCAAGCAGAAAATTTAAGGACAAGCGGCCTGTGTTTATCCTTGGGCCTCATTTTCATCTCACTGCTTGATACTCGAAACCCCTCAATGCATATTATGATTTGAATATGCAAATTCAAGTCACGATGGATCAGCCAACTGAGAACAGCCCAACCAAGATGGATCAATCGATTGAAAACACCACCATTCCAATTGAGGATATCTTAGAACAGATTCCAACTGCCATCAATGACGTGCAGGTTAAATCTGAGCCAGATACGTTGAGCCCGGTGAACAGTCTAGCCAAGGATACAAACCTGGAAGTCTGTATCCCGACTTGCAAGCCAAATCAAGAGCTACGTGCAGCCTACATTGCTTCAAGAAAAGTCCGGAACCAGAGCTGGGCACAAAATGATTTGCCCGAGGAGCCCGAGGAGAAATCACTGGATGAAACACACTTGAAAGCCCCTTCCGATGACGAGCAGCTTTCTGGGGACAATCAGCAGTCTTCTGGTGAAGATGGCCAGTCTTTGAGTGGTTATGATCAACCTCTTAGTGACGCCGATCCCTCTCATAGCGAAGATGATCAGTCTTTCGGCGAAGATAATCGGTCTTTCGGTGACGATGATCAGTCTTCTACAGACGAAAAGTCAGACCCTTCTTCTGGCAGTGAGAGTGACTTGAACCCCATAGATAGTCCTCCGAAGCCAACCGAAAGGCGGTCGGACAAGTCGAGCAAGGCTAAAATTTCGTTGGCCTTGGGTGAAACAGTCGAAGGCTTGATGACAAGCAATATACTGAGCTCTGCGAATGCGGATGGAAATGGGACTGATGTGCAGCAATTTGTCCCTGTTTCTCGGAAAAGGGACAAGAAAAAGGCTCTCGCGGAGGAGATTGATAAGCTTCCAGTTGCGGACCAAGCGCAGGCCAAAAAGGACGCGGCTGGATTGATCAAGGACTCAAAGAAGTTCAAGCGTCCGGCGTCAATCGTCGATATGCACTGGAAGATTCGGGGTGTCAAAACACTTCTGAAGCACCATCAGGTTCGGAATCTCTCAGACTCAATTTGTGATATGTGACTAACAATTAAAACAAAAGCTCAAGGCTGCTGCGTGGATGGTAAGATTGGTATCTTCGATGTTGTGACATGATATAGCTGACCTGCATAGCGCGATCGCGAACAATCAAAGAAGGAGCCGAATGGGGGCTTGCTCTGCGATGAGATGGGTCTTGGAAAAACTCTCACAGCTCTCAGTAAGAACGACAGATTTAGGGCTATCTTGTCAGACAGCTTATTTTTTTTTCATAGCAATCGTCGCGCACGAAAAGTTCCCACCTCGTTCAAATGCCCCGACCCTAATTATTGTCCCAAGGAGCTTGGTTTCCCAGTGGTATGCCTCCCTCCTCGGCTCAGAATATAAGGAGAATGTTGCCTAACTCGGCTATTATAGGATGGGCCAAATATCCCTCCATTGCGTGAAAAAGATAAGCAATGACGTTCTCGAGCACTACTCTGGTTCCCGAACAGGCCAGCGCGAAGTTGTGAAAGTGATGCAAAAAAAGCGCATTGTGTATGACAATATTTGATGCTGTTTCTTACGTTCGCTGACATGATTAACCTAATAGTTTGACCACATATCAGGAGGTCTGCAGTTCGCATCCGAAGTTGAAGCCGCCAGTCAAAATCAAGACCCCTGAAGAGCTTGAGGCTTGGAGAGAAGAGGAATTCAATCGCAGAGCTGGACCTCTCCATAAGGTTAAGTGGCATCGGATCATTATTGATGGTACATATACGAAACTGCCAAAGACATTCATCTTTCTTGATACTGATTCAAAAATTTTGCAGAAGCTCATTCGATCAAGAATAAAGATTCCGCAACCTCTATTGCTGTCCGAGCCTTGCAGGGCAAATGCAAATGGGCTCTGAGCGGAACGCCTTTGCACAAGTAAGCACAAGCTACTGGCTTTGAAATGAGGGCAATCCTTCACACTGACTGTATGTTTCAGTGGCGTGGAAGAGCTTTACCCGTACCTGCATTTCATCTATACAACAGAGAGAATGGGATATGAGTCCTTCTTGAAAAGGTTCTCCACTGTGAGTCTCGTGGACCTTTGCTTCCAAATCCAAAACTAACCTCTCAGGGATTGAATCATATTCTTAAAACCGTACTGCACCGCAGTACATACAGTACCCGGATCCTCGGAAAGCCCATTGTTACGCTGCCTGGCATCAGCAATCGAGTTGTGGAAGTCGAGCTTTGTCCAGCTGAAAAGCTTCTCTACAGGGAGATCCAGGATCTCGGCATTGCAATGATTGATGGTATGTTGAGCAAGGCCAGTGATAAAAAAAATTGAATGCTAACACACCATAAGGCTTGGCAAGTACAAAGAAAGAGTAAACCAAATGCATCTTGGTCGTAATTCTAATGCTTAGAATGTTTGTGAGCCACCCACTCCTCGCTCAGAGGTTTCTCGAGACCGTGCTCAATCAGCGTGTGATTGAAGAGCTCAAAACCATGGCACAACATGGAAAACAAGATGCGGCCAAGACTCCATCAAACACCATCATCAATTTGCTTCTCACTGTGGCAGACAAGGTTGCTGCCCGACCAAGGCCTCCAGGAGACTTCCACGTGCTTCGTGACATGTATCACAAGCACATCTTGCACATCCGCGAAAATGGCGAAAAAGAGTATTCAAATTATCAAGAACATTTGCGAAGGATATGTCCTTGCTGCAGGAGCATGGTTTGGGAACCCAAGCCATATGTGGTTACATCTTGTCGACACGTTTACTGTCAAGGCTGCTTTGATAAGCTGCCTGATCAAGATGGAAAGACCGATTCTATCACCCGTATCTGCAATTTCTGCAACGAGCCCATCGAGGAGGCCGGATATTCAGAGGGTTCAGCAAAGACCTCCCCCAAAAAGTCACCAAAGAAAAGAAAGCAGTCCACACCGAAGAAAAAGGGCAAGGAGATATTCGAAACAACAAAGCGGCGACGAAATTCTTTCAAAAACCAAGTTCTACTCAGAGATATATCGGATGACGAGTGGGACGATCCTGATGATGATGAGAGTGATTGGGTTTCGCGTATTGGCGATCGCATGCCATCAGCAAAAACCGTAGCGGTTCGGGACATTGTTGCAAATTGGGTGAATGAGGATGAGAACACCAAGATTGTTATCTTCGTTCAGTTTCTCAAGACCGTCAAGCTTCTTCAGTTCATGTGCGATAAGGAGGGCTGGAAATATGCGCTTGTATGTCAAATATGGGAACGAGAATCACCAAGCCACACAACTAACTACGTGAATATAGATAACAGGAAAAGTATCCCCCGCCGCGCGTGACGACCAAATTGAGAAATTCGGCAATGAGAAGGACATCAAGGTCTTGATCTCTTCCCTGAGGATTGGAGGCGTTGGTCTCAACTTGACCATGGCTAACAAATGCATCCTCGTGGATCCTTGGTGGAACGAAGCAATCCAACATCAAGTGAGGAAAATTTAGGACTCAAGTCTAATTCAAGCTAACAATCAGTTGCTAGGCATACTGTCGCCTGTACCGCATTGGACAGCACCGCGCAGTGGAATACGTCCAAGTCATTGTCAAAGGATCCATTGACACGTGGATGATTAGCTTGCAGAAGAAAAAGACTAAGAACATTCGTCAGTTGCTGAGTGCGGACTCACTTCAGGAGATACTCCGACCTTCCGGGGATGTCCGCGAGAAGCCAAATGGTGGATTTTCGATCTCCACTAGCAAGGAAAACAAGCACCTCCAGGCCTGGACACAGGTTGTTGAATCAGGGGTCCTTGACGACGTGGATTCTTCGGAGGAAGATTAGGAGGTGAACAGGAAAGAACGAAGGAAGCGTGCAGAATGAGGGGCTTGAGCAGTGGCTTGCTTCAGCTGCAAAGGACATTTATCATTACGGTTATTTTGCTGCCCAAGCGGCTCTCCTAGGGTTAGCATCTACACTCATTTGACTTACAAGAAGTGACGCTCGTTATCAATGGACTAACCCTATGATAATCTGTATGCTCTTTGGATGTCCTTTTTGGTACACAATAGCGAGGATATAGGGCTTGGTCAGTCTCTTATTCAAGCAAAATGTTCATCGTGAGGGCTAAAGGTCAGGTTACTAATGAAATTGGGGCAAAATAGGTCTGACCAGAAAAAAAAAGGGCCTCATTGTCGATATCGTGGAGTCCATTGACTCCATAGCTCAATGCCGGACATGAAATATTCTAGACCTTTGATGTACAATTCCAGTTCAGGCCTCAAATTTTCCGAGCGAATTTCTGCCATAGATTGCTTGTGAGCGAGCTCCAACTCGCGACAGTAGCTATACATCAACCGCTTGCAAGCTGTGTATGATAGTCCTGTCTCATTGGCAAAAATGTAAATGGCAGAGAATGGCTGGGCACCATCGGTTGGGTTCGCCTGGTATACTTTCCATTCCCGTTCCCAGCTATATATATCGTTCACGACGCTGAAATACCGAAATGCGGTGCTCTCCAAAGCCGCGGTCTTTTTAAGTTCAGGCGTAGTGAGACAGAGCTTGGCACCGAATCTAATAAGAGCTGAGTACAGTCTAAATGGCCATCAGTCCTCAAAAATGTGTGAAAATAGACAGATACGACAATACATACGGTCTACCCACATCTGTCTCCCTGAGCTTGAGGTATGATCCGAGAGTTTTTATTGTGGTTCTTTCCTGGGATGTCTGGGCCTGCAGAAGTTGACAAAATCCTTGGGCAACATCATTTGCTAGAAGCTCGTCTATACTTCGCATGGCCATGATGGTATCGTGAAGCATCCACTCCAGGCAGATACTTCTGTCGAGACTCGCTGTTCCAAGGGCAACTTTCATGACCTGGTCCCGATATGACAGCATTTGTGTAAAGCTCATTTTTTCGAGTTGGTCTATCATGGAAGTCAATAGATGTCCAAACCCAATTACCGATCCAAGGACTCACCATCAACGAGTAAAGACAAGTAAAGCATTTTGCATGTCACATCAATGCGATCATCTAGCGTCAATGGGAAGAAGTGACTGAAGGCACGGGATAAACCAAGATCAAGGAACCCCTTTTTCTCCTTTTCGCTGGCAAAGCTCCAATTGTCACCAAAATATGGTTCAACTTGAGCCTGAATGTGCTCCCATCCTAGTGGATGTGTTTTGGATTCTAGTTGGCTAGCTGGGATCTCGCAAGGGATATTTTGTGCTGTCGAATACTGCCTGTCCGGTTTGTTTATTGAGTGGATATTGGGTAAAATGACCCCCCGGTTGACAGCTAATGTCACCACAAATTGGTTTTGATTTACCAATTGCTTCCAGGTGCATGCTCTTCGAAATCGATGCATTGCAACTTCTGTTCAAAGTGCATTTCATTGAAGCCTGGGTTCTTTGATTGGTGAGAGTCTCCATAATAATCACGCACGGACCATCAAAACGTGATGTCATCCACGTCAACCGTGGTCCATCTCACTCTTCTTTTTACGCTTATCTCTTGAAGATCTCTAATTCTACTTCCTTCATACAACCCAATCGACATCCATTCCATAAAACTATCAATTTCCAGGCTGAGTAGAATATAAATCAGCCATACCCGCACCAATTCGATCAGCGTTTGCCCGAGAGAGAGGCCGTGAGCTTCCTACTAACATATGGTGCCAGCTTCCGCTGCTGTCAGTCATCAAAGCTCTCTGCAGGTGGCTCTCCGGCGCCTAAGTGCACTTAAATTAGACATTGGAAGATCTCCCTGCAATTCTTTGGCTCTCTCAACAAAGGCTGGCACCATGAGCACAACCTCAAAGAACCCACAGCGTGCCCCATGGCGCGATCTCCTTGACTCTCAACTCAAACAAACAGCTGGATATGATTTCACGGTTGCAACAGTTGGCTACGATGCTCAACAGCGTCCGGTACCTCGCCTGCGGACTTGCGGCTGTCGTGGGTTCTTCCCAGAACTTGAGCTCAATTCTAAGGGCCAGGAAGCTATGGATCAGCAGGTGGAAGGTGGTGGTAATCCACCTATATTCGAAAGTGACATGCTGTCGTTTACCACGGACCCTCGAATGGAAAAGCTCTCTCAACTGGAGTCCTCTGGTCATGCGGTTGAAGCTGTGTTCTGGCTGAAAGATCTCATGACTCAGTGGCGCATCAAGGGAACGGCATATGTAATTGGCGACCCCAGTGGAGAAGATTCACAGGAAGAGAAGACATCCCGAACTGAGATAAGAAAGGCATTGAGGGTGAAGGGGGGTGCTGACAGCGATGTTGCGAAGTGGACATGGCAAAATGCTGTCACTAAGTACTTTGCAAACCACTCCCCTGTCGCAAGAGGTACGTTGTCTCGGGACAGGTGATCGGGTGCAAGTGTTTTATTTCCACATTACTTTTATGCCGGATTGAAAGGCCATGTTACCCATCAGAACAAGCTCATACTGACTGAGAGTCTAGGTTTTTTCCGAAATCCTCCCCCTGGACAACCTAAATCCTCAACTCCAAGCCAATCGGATCTGAAACTGGGCCAAAAAGTGCTGGACCTCTATGACCCTGTTGCAAGGGCAAATTTCCGAGTTGTTGTCATTCGCCCCGAGCAGGTTGAGCGCTTAGATCTTACTGATCAAGAGAATGCCAAACGATGGAACTGGACATTCGTCGATGGAGACGACGGTGCTCAATGGGATGAAATCGAGGTGTGGCCGTGATTCCATCAATACTCCATGATTTTTGTTCTCAGAACATTTGATCACATTGTATTCAAAAGGAATGTGTCACCGCTGCCTTGTTTTTAATTATTATGACATGATCTACCTATGCGGGATCTTCCTGTCTCGGGTTATAGGGATTTGTATCTATAGGCTTCAATGGAACATTCTTTAAAGGCAGTAAGTAAAGCGTTGGTATTTTCCGTGGGGTCATTATATTTGAAGATACATCGGGTGACTGGGCTTCCCATCTTTGCTTGATTTGTTGGTTTGTCGGTTTGTCGGTTTGTCGGTTTGCTTCATGGTTGTCGCATGCCTAAAAGAATCTTCCCTTTTGCCAACTCGTCGCACCTCGCTGCTGCGCTTACTTTGCAACCCCACGACAAATACCTTTCACTTCTCATTCAATCCCATCTCATTAGCAAAAGTGACTCCCCTTCGAAACTCATCTTTTCACCTACCTTATTCCATCTTAATACTGACAATTGGCACGTTCACACAGTGTCTGACATCGAGATGCCTAACGATAACCCTGCCTGTGCTGACTGTAAGGCCAAGAAGAAGCGGTGCATCCACCGGAACCAACCCGTGAAGGTCGCCGAGGCTGAAGTCGTTCCAGCCAGCATGTCTCCCCTCTCCGATCCCGCCGTTCCAACGCCTGCTCTCACCCCTGCGCCCACTCCTGCTCCTACTCCTGCCGTTGCCCTCGGTGCTGCCACTCGTGGACGCCGCAAGGCCGCTGAGGCTGCCGAGGCCAAGCCCAAGGTACGTGACATTGACCTCTGACTTCTATTTATCTTTGTCCCCATGCTGATACATGGACATAGGAGACGAGCCCTGACCCCGCTCCCGCGGAATCCAACGACGAGCTTTCTTCTGTGCCCTCTGGACCTGAGGAGCAGCCGGTGGTCAAGAAATCCATCAAGCGTCGCCGTCCCAAGTTCGCCAAGTCGCAGAACGGGATCCCTGACTTCCCCGCCGATTCTCTCCAGGCCGCTTCCACCATGTCCGTGCACCGCGTCTGGGCCCGTGAGCTTGAGGGCAACCTTGAGGAACTTCAGAGGAACTTGCAGGCCTTTGATGACGCTCACCGCGCTACTATGGCCTCTGCCCAGAATATCCAGCGTACTGTCGACGGCTGGATTCAGACTTGGGCCGCCACTGGTCGTTAAGTATTGTGAACGTTCGTCATCGCACCTTTTCAGCGCCTTGGTCCCGGTTTGGTTCTTATGCTATGGGGAGGATATTTCCGATCAGTTATGTTGTTCTGGGAGATGTTACTAGGTTTGATCTGAGAAAATCAGTTCCAGACGTGCTCAACCCAGGTTTGGATAATCCACGTGGCAAGACACGTGAGCCTGGCCGACACCCATAGATGAATCGATCTTTTTCTCGATGCCCCTTGACACATCAATGGATTTGCATATTCGAATCGTATGTAAACATCAAAGCTCAGTAAGGACATGTATGTTGTCCGAGAGGCTGTATGGTGTGTCCCAATCTTGGACCCTAGCCTTCAAGAATCATAGCACGTGTAAGCTTAGTATACCTACAAAACGTTCAAAGTGTGTATATAGTAGTTATCGAGTCGAGTGAGCAGGGAAATCCAGAAGTTGACACCAGTCGATTTATACCGATCACCCAATCGCAGCTATCGATCGGGCGGCTCCCTGCGGGAGTTTGGGATCGTCCGGCTCCCAATGTGGCCCCAATGTGGCCCCAATATGCCTACAATCCAGGTACGGAGTAGTCCCAAGGGGGTCCCCATTGTGTTGGTCGACTTTCATATCTGGTCCCCGAATCCCCGGTTGGTCCCCGGCCGTTACGTGTCAAACCTCTCTTAGGAAAGGTACCCGTTGATATCTACAGGGTTCTCACTCTTTTTGTCTCTCCCTATCTCGGTTGGACACTTAACGTTCTGATGGAATCGGTCTCTTTATATCATATTTTATCATATCAATTTCTTTGTGTTTAGAGCATTCATTGTCACAGTCTAACATAGATCTAAAGTAGTGCACGGAGCTCTAATAGTTTGCACAAACTGACAATTGTCTATTTTGCTTGAGTGATACAAACATAGAACATTCCAATATTGAAGCTCTCGGAATAACCACAATACAGATTTCTGTACCGAAACTGCCCAGATCTGTCTAGCCCCATATGACTTGATACGACCCACCAAACACGGTATTTACCATACCAATACCAATACCATACTCATCTTCAATTTCTCTTTCCGTTTCCCCCCCTCTCCCTATGCTTCACCGTCACTTGCTTTGCGCAGATCCTATTCCACACTTGACCTTAAGAAGCCCTCTCTTCCTTTCTATATTCCTCTACCCTTCTCGAACTCACGATTTATGACGAAACGATCACCCGGAATTACACGTAATACTTGGTTTCTTTGATTGCGACCTGTGCAAGTCTGGATCGGGGGATTTCAACTATCGAATATTCATTATGGTCATGGCCTCAATGGATGCTCTGGGGGCCTTTACCCACATGAAAGACAATATTCCTGCCTGGATCACTCGCGTTTCAGAGCTTGCCACGCACACCCATAAGAAACACAATGAATACTCGGAAGCTTACAGACACCACGCAAACTTCAAGCCTCGCCGACGGAAGAACAGCTCCGTTTGCTCCATTCACGTCGACGATCTCGTTCCGATCGCACAAAGAAAGAGTCCCAGCCCGGAGCCCGCGGAGACACACGATGCGCCCGAGCAAGGTCAACGTTCAGGTCGCAAGCGCACTACGGATGAGGCCCCCTCAGTCGAGTCCAACGAAGAATATGCCTGGGTAAGCACGCGGCACAATGTCATCATCGAGTATGATGGGCATACACAGCAGACGCTCGAAGCAATTGTACGGGATATTGGGATTGCCAGGAACAACATTAGACGAGGCCAGATGGCCATGATGCCGCGTACAGGGCTGCGCGCGGGCTTGTTAAGCAAAGGCATTGATATGAATCTGTCAAGTGCATTGGGACAGGCAGGGCCACTTTCTTGTGTTCGCAGCACCCGGACTACAGCTGGACTTGTTGGAGTCTCCGGGACCAGCGCACGGAAAGACTCCCCTTTTGATTTTGCCGACAAACAACTCGAGCTGGCCCATTCGCTTTGCGAGACGGCAGCTTATCAAGTCCTTCGATCTGGCGACTGTGGAACGGAATTAGACGGTGTGGAAGAGAAGTTCAAGATGCTACTTGAAGCGGCTATCAACGAGGTCGACCGCATCATGGCAGAAAAGAAACAGCAAGAAGAACACGAGCAAAAACAGCAAGAGGGAACCGCGGAAGAAGGTCCACCCAAACCGGCCCCTACTCCTTCTGCGGCACGACTCGCCCGGGTCGCTGCTATTGCTGCGAACAAACCCTCAATGACCATGGCAGGTGCCATCGAGGTCGATGATAACTCGTCTATATCGGCTGAGTCGATTGACCTATCTGCGTTCCGATCCTCTCGCATTCGAGCATAAACACTGGCATAGCCAACATTTGACCTCATCTTAGCGATTTAGCGTGTGTTAAAACCCTTGCAGCAAACCCATTACAGCCATTTGATACTTTTGGATTGTTGAGAGCATCATTTCTTTCTCTTTGATTGGCCTTTTCTTTGGTCTTTCTGATCTTTCATTGCAATTTGATTCGCAGCTACGGGGGCGCATATACACCATCCATTCCCTTATTTGCAGTAGTTTACTCCTTCCTACTGTCTTTGATCACATTTTTTTCAATATTGCGTCATCATTTGGGATACCTACCTCCTGTCTGTCTCTTGCATAGGCTCATGAATCACTCTCAGGAGAGCACGGCGTTGGGCCCGGCGTTTACATTGCTATCTATGTTTCTAATTTTTGTTCTTATCGATTCTCAGTAAATATATGTGGCAAGAATTTGACTTTTCCGTGGACTTTTTTGGCTTCATTGTCAGTCTTACATGCATATGGAGTCTCCTAAAGGACAAAGAATTGTACTACGTCGAAGTCCTCACGGCCCCGACCTCCCATGACCAATTGAGTCAAGTCCTGCGAATGATTTGAAATATACAAATGAGTTTTGATTCTTCTCATTGACCTTGACTTTCCTGTAATAATCCCGGACATGTGTAGCTTGGCAATGTCCCAATGCATGGCCGTTGCCGTTCCGTGTTGCGGCACGGCAAGACAACGGGATGCATGTATCTCAGTGCGATGATTCGCCAAACAAACTCGCCACAGGTATCAACGGGGCTGCTCCGTTGTGGGGTCCGGGGGCCCTTGATTGATACCCAGCCTTCCTAGTTCAGTGCACAGTCTAGTAAGATACACATAGCCTTACCGTGGAGACATTGATTACAAGTGTGGGTAGAAGGACCATCGAAAACTTCAAATCCTTGTCCAGAATACTCCGTACTTTGTACAATTGTACTTGGGGATCACGGAGTATCTCATGTGTGAGTGAATCAACGGCTCAGAACGTCTTCTTTGCTCATTGTGCTGGCATCCACACCGACTGTCGAGGCGGCAATCTTCTTAATTCGCATTCAGGAACGATGTGCGTAGTATGCATGTACACATGCATGGCATATGCTACAGAGTACGGAGTATGTTGTACCTACTTTACAAGACCTGTTCCTCCATCAACAGACCTACGTTGTGCGTCCAAATAAACCATATACACCTTTTTCTTTCGTCATTCGTGAAAGGAAGTTCGACCATGGCATAGTATGTGGCACCGGAAGCTAGATGAGAGGCGTTTTTTAGTACAGAAGTATACTACATAGAGATGTACGCAGTACGGAGGAGGTACCCGTATGTGTGGACATTATATTACCAGGCATGGTTTAGACACATATACCGTTGGTCGATCATGGATGTGGCAGGTGGAATAATATTATATATACTCCGTACTCCGTACGATATACGGATTACGGGGGAGTGGCTTCCACCTGGCAGGATGCAGTGCAGGGTTCTTGCATCCCACATATGCATACAAAAGTCCATACATCCTTGAATATTATACAGTCCATCTGTATGGAGTATTCTATTTCCTTCCATGCCATAGATATTGACGGTACCCATCCCTCGGCATTAGGGGATAGTCATCTCACCTTGAGCAAACTATATTGGAATATCTCTAGCATACTTCATCTCCTCCGTGCTGTACTTGATGGTAGTAACATGAAACATATGGAGGAAGATGCTTAATATCAAAGCGGAGACCGTGAATTCTTATATTAATACATACAATACAGCCAGTTTGTATATATTTCATACATACTAAAGCCCTCGTCTCCGTTGACAAGTCACTTTACCTTCCCCTTTGGGTGGCGTGGGTAATTTCAGTTTCATTTCTTTTCTGACAAAAGTACGCAGGAAGAGCGAGAATCAATTTGAGTTTTTCGACTCCATACATAATGAACTGGTTTTCGAGGGTGAAATATACTCCGTAGGGAGTCCTGCACGGTATAGCAATGCGTCCCCCTTAATAGGAGTCCTATTGTGTCCAACAAAGACAACCCTACCTGAGGTGGTACAACATACAAATAATTTGTATTTTATGATCTCAACTCCACCCCGCTAGCCAGAATTGACAGGTGTCAAACGGTGTAGCAAGCCAAGCAAGCCATCGCGGTATCCTACCGCCAACTAGTCTCGGAGAACCAGGATCTTCTTTACGCTTGACGGCAGTGGCCTTTTTAATATCACCTAGTGCTCAAAAGCCGCAGGGGTGTGAGTGATGCCTATAGTAGACTCCTGCCTTCCTGGGTAAGGCGGCATGATTCTATGCAGGGAAGATTCTCCTTTTCACTGTCAGATGTCAAAATTTTGCCAAGTGCATTGCATGTGGTACGGAGTACACCGCATATGTTGTAGGCTTGGGTGATTCTCCAAAGGAAACTCGAAAGAGGCTTCCTTCGTACGGGGTACTCCGTATTTGGAGTGGAATAGGGTGTGTTTGGGGTCAGTGAATTGTAAATACGAGTCACTGACAACAATACGTATTGATCTCGACAAAAGTACCTGTCACATGTGTATAGACTGTATTTTCTAAGTAAATATCGGTATGCATAGGATAACTATGATACACTCTGCAGAATGAACTGAAGGATATCTCAGTCAAAGAGTGCCGAACTGCTAATACTTCTCAGTTTGATGGTTGTATCACTCAGTGGTCTGCAATAGATCCAGCCCATCCATAGTGACGGGGTCAAGTAAAGATATATATTGTATATATTTATTGCACCGAAGATGAGCATTCATCAAATTAATTTCTCTGTTGAATTGAGGCGGAAGATCGAGATTGTTCATGTCCCACAGTCTTGTAGTAGCTATGAAGGTTTGCTTTATTATTTCTCTCAGAATTTACATTATTGAATCACGCTGCCATGATCATACCAGTGAGTATGAAGAGACCTTACTAGATAGGGTAATTCCATAGCAACTTCCCAAGGTTGATATCTTGCTTGGAATTCGTTCTTGAAATGATAGTCTTTGCTCAACAAGATCTATGAGAATCCAGTTAATTACATTTGAAGTCCCAAAAAAAAAAGCCGGGATCATTTGATATAATGACGACCTAATAAAAAACAAAATGTTATGCATTGACGGGGAATCGAACCCCGGCCACTACTTATCAACACTCCGAGGAGTGATATGGAAGAGTAGTATTCTACCACTGAACTACCAAAGCTGATTTGTTGAATGGATTTCCTTGTAACGTACTGTGAATTCCAATAATTTGAATCATTACTGTCCTCCAACACAACGGGCAGGTTGGTCCTTCAAATGAACAACCATCTACTCCCTTTCCCATACAACATATCACGCCCAACATGGCTGGAGCGTGTAGTGCAACCGCTCTGGAGTGTCCTATTGGGGGGACTCACCCAGTCCGCACCACAGAAACCGTCGACAACCCCGATTCCTCTCCAAAATAACTCAGCTTTCCCTCCAGTTCGCATAATATGCATCTCAGACACGCACAATGCAACCCCTCCTCTACCATCCGGGGACATCCTAATACATGCGGGCGACTTAACGGCCCATGGTACATTTGACGAGGTACAAGCGCAGCTCCACTGGCTGTCCTCTCAGCCACATACCCATAAGATTGTCATCGCTGGCAACCATGACCTTATTCTTGATGAAGCAAGTGAGATGAAGTTTCTTGCACGCCAGGGAATCAGTGCTACAAAGCGGAAGCAATTGGATTGGACCGGGATCCATTATCTTCAAGGCGAAGAAATGACGCTGGAACTGCCAATCCTTACTGCCGGGGAGCAGCAAGTGCGCCGCTTGAAAATATATGGGTCCCCGATGACGCCGGAGTTTGGCCTTTGGGCCTTTCAGTATCCTCCGATTCGCGACGTGTGGAGCGGGCAGATCCCTGATGATACAGATATTGTGGTCGTGCATGGGCCACCAGCTCTATATGGTGACTGCGATAACGAAAAGGGACCGGATGGAAAGATCAAGGTCAAAGGAGATGGGTATCTATTACGCGAGATACAAAGAGTAAGGCCCAAGATGCTTGTTTGCGGGCATATCCATGGGGCATATGGCGTGACTGTCATCCAGCACGATGGAATTGAGGGTGTGATGAACGGTGTACAAATGGGATGGGAAGGCTACGATATAGTTGGAGCGCTCAAAAAGACTCTATGGAGTAGGATCACCCTGGGGAGAAACGTCGAGCGCCCAGAAGAAACTCTCGTCATCAACGCTGCCTTTGCACCAGGTGAGCTGAGAAGCGAAGATAAACGCGCAATCAGTATCGATTTTCACTGAGCGCAAATTTGCATGTGAGAAAAATCCATGAGGTCATAATTTATCGAAAAACCAAGGTTAATGGGACCAGCCTTCAGATAAAATGAATATGCGGTTGCCAATGCAGGATGTTCTTCGCTGCTAGCTGGCCGCTAGCCCTTTCGTCCTCAAACGATTCAAGAACCTCATCGTTATCATGTGGGATGACTAGGGTATCTTCCAGCCGCGCCACCTGCTCCGTCCACTCTGGGACCGACTCGAATATTCTCTCCTCCTTTTGGTACTGCTCTATTTCTTCCCGCGACATGATGGGGTCGGCTTTCCGTGGTAGACCTAATTCGATACGCTGGTTGAATGACTCGACCAATAACCCTGGGATAGCAGATAGAACCGCGTAGCGAGATTCGGAGGAGTCGTGTGGATCAGGAATCGAGGCAATCGGCCACTTTGTGTACCAGAAATATTCGATTTCGTTTCGCAAACCGATATTATCGTTTAGAACCAAGTGCTCGTAAAGTCGATATAGGGAAAATAGTGGGTTGTCTTCGAGCTTGTCTTTAGGGGTCCGATAGGCGCGTTGGAAGAGGCGTTCACGGTAGGCGTTGGGGCGAGCGAGGAGTTCCTCGGGCTTTGGTGGGGGAAAGACAGGGTATTCATCTGATAAATACCTGTGCCAGAGGTATCTTAAGGGGTTGGGTATCAGCCACATGCTGTCAAATTAGATGAACTATGTGCGTTGTATGTAAATCCAACTTTCGTAGGTCCAGCAGTGGAAACGGCCCGATGGGAGTGCCCGTGACTTCTAGAGTGGGTCCCACCCGCTCAATCCCGATTACATAATACGCCTAACGCCTAAGCGCCATGAATTTCTATTATTATCGATAGCATATATATAATTTCTATTTTTAGGGCCATGGCGTGTAGTTAACAAGCAGGCGCGTACGGAGTACTAAGACTAGATGTGTTTTGAAATATGCAGCTTGCTTCTTCTAGGTATCAAGTGTCAGAGTAGTCTCTAGAGGCTGAGTATAAATCATAAAAGAATTTCATCTGGTAGATATAAATAACCTTGGAAGTACCAACAATGGTGGTTGTTTCTGTAATAGCCAGACACCTTCATTGTCAAGCGACGTTTTACAGAATTACTTAGCCAAAATGGGAAATAACACTTCTCAGGAGTCTCGAGATCGCCAGCGTCGCCCTGGCGGAGATAAAGGGCTACCGATGAATATATCAGGCCCATCAGGTGGGCTCCAGATGATTCCGACTCCCCATAGGGATGGAACTGGCCGACCGGTCATTCCCCGATCCTTTGAGATCAATCGTGATCAGCTCCTTCTTGCTTTCCAATACATGGCGGATTATCTCCATGGACAGGGTGCCAATTTGACCATTTATGTGGCCGGAGGCGCAGTCAACACCGTCTACCTTCGTTCTCGACACAGTACTGGTGATGTCGACTTTTTTGGTTCAAACGAGCAGAGTCGTCTTCTGAAAGACGCATCCAAATATGCTCAACAGCATTCCAAATCCCAACTCGGCGCAAACTGGTTCAACAACTCCATGTCGTTGTTTTTGGGCCGCGCCATGGAGCAGGACCTCATGGGAGCATCGCATCTCCAGAATGCAGTCCTCTTCAGCAAGTCCGGGCTCACGGTTTATGCCGTCCTCTGGGAATACGCACTGTGCGGCAAGACAGATCGGCTGACGAAACCAAATAAACGTCCGTATGATACCGCAGACGCCGTGGCTTATCTTCATCAATGCGTGAAGGCAAACGGCGAGCATGCAATCCAAGCCCAGCAGATTGAGACATGGGCGCGAAATTACAACAAGGCGGTTTCAGCCACAGTACTAATGGAGATTGACACCTTGTACAAGAGCAAATATGGTAAGCACGGTATATTGTTTTGACCTCTCTGGCTGGGTCGGATCTATACGGTATGGGGATATGGTGACCCCCTCGAGAACATTGATCCTGAGAGGATCTACTTTTGGTGGTCAAACGCGTCCTCTGTGATCCTTGTTTATATGGTGATATGTAAGTCGATGACTCGCGAGAGGAGTTATCCACGGGAACGAATTGGTTTTTATGTGCTGGGCAAAACTATTTATGTTCATTGAAATGTATTTTGGACCTTGAGTCCAGTATCATTCATGTCCTACTCAGCATAAGAACTAAACGGATATCATCACTCATTACCCCTTGCTCCTTGTATTTAACCCATTGAAAATGCTCAACATAGCCCAGCCCTGGAAGATAGACAGTACAATATAAGAAATAAGAAGATCAAGACACAAGCACAATTTTGTCTCACATCTCGTCGAAGGCACAATCGGGATGCATGACGTAAAGGACCTTTCCGTCATTTTGTTGGGTATCGTCAGTTCCGTCCGTGAGGCCAGACCCGGAGATACGCAACAGGATTTTGTCCTATAGGATATGTTTGTTAATGACATGTCTTGAGAAACCGACAGCTATTGCCGTAGTAAAGGAAAAGCAACTCACCTTGACCATGCGTTTCAAAACCTTGCCTGCTAGATCACGCTCACGCTCGTAATCATCGGCAGTGTTAAGTTCACCCTCGATCTGTTCCAAGTACCAAAGTACAAGATCTTCTTGTTCGACACCTTCGCCCGAGTTCACCTCGTCCTCGTTTACCCGCCTGACGATCTGGTTCAGGATCTTGGCGTACTTGTCATAAGTGATCTTGGTCTTCTGGCGTTCTGGCTGGACAGGAGCTTGAGCAGGCTCTGCGACATCACGCATAGGGCTGTCGCCCTCGTGGTCGCCATCGGCCATCTCCTGGTCGTCATCAGCGTGATTGGTGTGAGCAGGCATATCATCATCGTCAATCTCAACATCGTCTTTCTCAACAGTCACGATACTCTGGCGGAGAAGATCGTATGCCTCGATAACGAACTTGGGATCAATCTCCTCAACACAATTGGCTTTGGCGACAGCCTCGGACAAACGGATCAAAGACTCGAGCTGACGAACGGTGATACGGTATGAAGAGCGACCAATACCTCCCTGAGCATCGTTGGAGCGCAGCTCCTTGTATTTCTCGACCAGCACTGCCTTCGCCTCCTCAGTGAAGACGGGGCGGAATGTGCGTGCGAACCGGATATAGCGCTGCAGTTGTTCTGTGCTCAACTCGGGCTCAACGGCTTCGTCGCGGTTCATGTGAACATTGACAATGTGCTCCGCCAAAGTGCGGTCAACAGACTCCTTTGGATCGTCGCGAATAACAAAGAACACATCGAAACGACTCATGATAGGAGCGCTGAAGTTCAAGTTGTTCCGAAGGGTTTGCTTCGGGTCGTAGCGACCGTTCACGGGGTTTGCAGCAGCGAGGATGGATGCGCGGGCATTGAGAGTAGTATGAATACCGGCCTTGGCAATGGAGATTGTCTGTTGTTCCATGGCTTCATGAATAGCGACTTGATCGGCGATATCCATTTTGTCAAACTCATCAATTGCACAAATACCACCACCGTTCTATGAGGACAAAGTCAGCCGTGAATCCACACCTAATCAGAGGGACATTTGGAACATACCGCAAGCATCAGTGCACCAGCTTCAATGGTGAACTCGCCTGTCTCGGGATCCTTGACCACTGAAGCGGTCAAACCAGCTGCCGAAGAGGCTTTACCACTGGTGTATACTGCACGAGGGTGCAATGAGCAGACGTATCTAAGGAACCCTGTTAGTGACCAATGTCGACATGTGAGGAGTTGGCAAAACTTACTTCAAGAACTGGCTCTTACTGGTCGACGGATCGCCAACAATGCAGATGTTGATATCACCACGAAGTTTTAGGCTCTCAATTGATGTTGACTTGCCAACACCACCGATCAACTGCAAAAGTATACCCTTCTTGATTTGACGATGACCCCAGATCATGGGAGCGATCGATTCTACAAGCCGGGAGTAGATATAATCAGAGTGCACCAGACGTTTGAGGTCTTGAACTTCAGCCGGAGTAAGGCTCTGCAGGAAAGCTTCTTGGGCTGATTCATCCCCAATATCCTCATCCTGATTCTGGTTCAAGGAAGCCAAGATATTATTTGATTGGCCACTCAGCTGTTGCTCCGGCTTTTGGCCAGGAGTTGTTGTGTCTGGGGTAACCATACAAGAGAGGAAGGCCAATCGGTAAGTCAGATCGCGCACGCCCAGGGACTTCAATCCAGAGACTCCGCTACCACCGACCTCATTACCCCGGAAGGAATTGTTGTCGCGGACGGCTTCAGGGCGCACACCGGGAAGACCCAATTGACTGACATCAGGAACGACAATCAAAGTACCCGTAAAGACGCAGCGTTCACCAGCCTTCGCGCGATCAACCATCTCACCACGCAGGATGACATCCATTGTGCGTGGCATACTACCAGTCGGAATTTCGTGCGACGATTCCTGAAGTTTAACCTTTTGCCAATCGACAAATGTACTCTTTCCGATATCCAGGCGCCATCCCACGCGGTTGCCGCAGGTATTATTGGGGCATTCTGTTGGCTCTGTATATTTGAAAGTCTGCTCAACATTCGGGACGACAGTCTTGCAACCTTCACAGATAAAAGTGCCTAGCGACAATTCCGGTCTGACCTCTGAAGTCCTTGTCACAGTTCCAGATACGGAAAGCAATTTTCCAATCTGATTCGTCCGAAGTTGTCGCAACCTAGAAACTAAAGGCAAGTTGTAAAAGGCAAGAGCGAACAGTTTGTCAGTTTGCTGGTGGCGAGTCTTCTCACGAATCTGACGCTCGAGGTCGGGGTTGTCTGAAACGCCCGCATAGGCTGAGGCAACGGAGGTGCTGGCTCGCGAAGAGGCGCTGGCGGTCATTCGGTGGGAGACAAAGTATTCTGGTTCGTACTTCGCGATGAGATTGTGCAGTCCCTTAGTGAGAAATGGCTGGAATCGATAGTATTGGCCGGCAATGGCATCTGCCAACACTGGATTGAGGATGTGTGTGAAATCGACGTAGAGAGTTGACAGCTCAAATTTCTTCATCCCCTTGATTTGAGCGATATAATATTTGTCACTGAGGAACTCTCCTGATGAGGGCGGCGCAGAAGATGAGGGTTCATCGATGTATGACTCGAGCAGTTCTTCAAATGCCTGCTGAACTTTCTCTGCCGCCTCGTCGACCACCGGCGGGGGCCAGCGGCATATGGATTCCGCATACGGCTGACCGTAGAACTTCCCCCTCCAACCACTTGGTCATCTGGGAAGGCATTCATATCACTCATAGGGCCATTGCTCTCCGAGCGTCGAGAGCTGGGTAGATTGTCGGATCGGAGGTTCTCACGGGAAGGCGCAGAGCCCAGCTCGGACTGGATCACGGCATCGAAAAGGGAAGACATGGCAAAGAGCTAATGGCCGGAGAATGGCCAATTGTAAAAAGAGGGTATCAAACTCTCACGTCTTGGAGGGGGGAGGAAATGTGGAGAGATGATATTGTAGACTCAATTTGCTATCTTAGTTTTTCGTGGGTCTCCTTCGCGGGTCTCCTTGGGCAACTAAGGCGCGACGCGAACGCGTGTTCGGAAGAATAGTTGATCCTATACCGACGCGTTAAGTGGTCTCCTTATATAATCACAAATGCTAACTAACCCAAATGAGTACCTGATTTCTTCATTCATCACTGCAAATAACATTATGTGTTTTGCTTACTCCGTAGTGCCCCCACTATCGTTCGTATTAGGCAGTCAAAATATCGGCCCTCGGGTTTCCTGAGGTCATAGCTTAGCTGTTGGTTCTAAAATCCGAAATAAGTTCATCTTACATATGCCTACCAACAAGCGAACAGAGCAACATACACTGGAGAGCTGCAGCTTTGTCGTCGTTTCAAGTGGTTTGGCCTGAAGTATTTGTCAATCCTAATATAAAAGCCGTAGATTTTAAGTGGGCTATGGTCGCGACGCTCACGGCCTTATATCCTTATTTGTCACTTCTACACGAGTGAAAAGGGGGTCTTGATATATCTCACATCTCGGGTACTACTTCGGTGTACAACGTCATGTATACCTTTCAAATGAACTACTCTGTGCGTACTCCTTAAATCTAAGACGATTGCAAGAATGATACTCTGTAATCCGTACTCCGTACATTTATCGGCGATATATTTATAGTTTCAATCATATTGAAATTGACCACGTACTTTAAAACTCCTTGAAAGTTATGAAGTCCTAATAACCGCAATGCTTGTGACGTTATAGAAACCACTTGCAAAAACAGTGAACAGCTCCGTCAAGTACAGAGTAGATTATGCTTGTTCGGACATATGTATGCTTATAGTCAAGTTAATTAATTGGCCGGGGGCCGATTGATCAATTGGGTAAATGGTTGACACTTGGCGCTTATATAAGAGCTTCTTCCCCCGGGGTGCCCGCAGTCGAAGCATTTGAAATCCCGTTTGTTCCCTCGGGGAATTATATTCCCCTCGCATTGTATTGCTTCGTAAGTTAATTACATGCTAGCGTGATTTGCTCCTGTCTTCCATGCAGATTCCCTGAGAGTCTCTGACACGATGACATAGGATTTGTTTGTTTTGCGATGGTTTCTTTCAAATCCCGAGTCCTTGACTGGAGGAATCTTGGTGACCATCGGTTGGTTATGCAGTTTTGACTGCTTCATTGTTTGGACAAAGGAAACCCATGCTTTCTCTCGCCATGTCTGAGAACAAAGAACGGCTAGGATCAACACTGACCAGACCGAGCGCCGTCCCGCCGTCGGGCCCTGACGCGGATGCACTGGGTATGCCTCCCTAGTTCCTTTACTAGCCAACTCCCAGGACTCTCGACGTGTATGTACAAATCAGCTAAAGCTTCTCCAACAGCACCATCTGCCTCAGATCATGACTCCCGAACCGCCAAATCCGGAAGGCGACGACGCGCTGCTGAATCGAAGAACAAATCCTACAAGAACCAACACTTCTATTTTGTTGATCAGAACTCATCATCCAAAGAAAAGCGCGCCCATGTTATGCGCCACCATGTACAGGAAAAAAAGAAACAGCGCAAGATGTCGGGCTCACTCCCGGCAGAGAAAATCCCTGATCATCCCTCATATCCACCGAAGAAAGAGGCAGGAACTGTCGAAAAGACTCGGCTGGAGTCACCGCCGACAGCTATCCAAAACTTCTCCAATAAGGAAACTTCGGTATGGGAATCACCTGTCTCTGGTTAAGTATCTAGGTCACAGCCAAGGCTAGACTATCTAGGTGTAGGCTTAGCCAGGAAAGATGATGGATTTAGATGCTAACGCTATTGTGTGTTATAGCTTCAAATCAGATTCTCAAATATGAGGTCGCAACCTCATACATCTACGCTACCATATATTGGCTCCCCAATCACGATACTCGATGCTTCGCGAAGGGATCCGTTTGCCAGTCTCCCAATCCAATACGACAACAGGGACATTGAATTGGCTGACTACTGGCGGAACAAATTGACGTACTGGTCCGGACAAAACCTTCATGTCAAAAACCAGATTTTCCGTACAGCCATGGGAAGCCCTCTCTCATTCAAGGCAGTAGTGCTGTCATATTGCGTGCGGTGGGAAGCACAGCTATACGGCGTGACCGACAGCACCGAAATTCAGCGCCATGTTGGCCAAGCCGCAAAAATCATCGAGGACGCCACCTCAGGTTCGGCACTAGTCAGAGTGGACGATCTTGGAATGGCCTTATGTGGAATGGCCTTGCACGAAGGGCGCTTTGGGAGCAAGCAAGTGGCCCAGGCATATGTTGACCGTGCGATTCAGATCATGCGACCACGAACAGGAACAAATAGGCCCGTGGAAGTATTTATGCATTATATCCGATACCTTATGATGCCAGAAGGCCCCGGGGTCAGTTCGGCCGAACAGCAATGGCTACTCATTTTTCTCCGTGGAGCCGAAGACCTCATGCAGCAACATAGCTCCCCTGACTACCTCCTTCAAGCACCCCACAGACTCAAGGCTTTCGAGATGGAAAGTCCTCTATTCTCCCTGCTTTCCAGTGGACCGCGACCATCTCAAGTGCCTCATGAGTCACGTGTATATGTTGTTCCTGGTGCGCATACGCAAGAAATCAGCCGAACAGCGGCACTTATTTATATCACGGCTGCGTTGTGGGATTTCCAGGGGTCCCCAGAAAAGACCGAGCGTTTCCTTTCCTCTATATGTACTGCGGCGAAACAGCACCACCTCGATCGTGATCCGGCTTGTGAAACCCTACTGTGGTTGTTGCTGGAGGAGGGATATGATTCCGATTTACAAGACCCCGAACGCGGATGGTCCACGGGCGAATTGCTTAAGGCACACAAACAGCTACGGCCGGACCTTCAATTTCAGTTTAATGAGATTCTCATGAGTTTCTTCTCTTTTCAGACCCCTATCCGCGGGGTCACTGCATTTGAAGAGGAGCTTCGACATGATTCACATAATTCCCAGTGAAATTTTTTTGAAATGTATTCAAACATACCCCGTACTCTCGAAATACTACGTCAACCTAGTGGAATGTCCACGGGTCTTGGCCTGGACCCGAGTACCAGGATAAGTTTAAACGTCATTAGGTTTCGGGGACTCGAAGGGGCAAGTTCCAGGTTACAGACTTTTAGATTTGATATTCTTTGCATGTGAGTAGACAGAAAATGGGAAAAATAATATCCAACATACCAACTTCGCCACACCAAAGCGAGATCGGGCCTGAGTACCAAGCGCATGCGTAACGCCGAGGTACATCCGCTAATCAGATATCAGCCGTACCGCGTCACCCACAGCTATCCACAGATGAGATCAGGTTGTCATGCAATTTGCTGTTTGGACATGTACGTTGTCTTATCATTACAGTATTGGATTATGATCTTTGAGCTTAGAAAATTGAATGGAAAATGATTTTCGGTATGTTATCAACCTCTGCTGTTGGGGCGCAGCTGAGGTTCAAGTGGTGACTTTTTAGGCTCGCTAACTTTACCTGCAACATACAACATACACCTATGAAACCTTTTGACTCGCGAAGGGGCCAATCTTGACCCACCGAACACACGGGTCAATAGTGCAGTCCACTAGCCTTACCGCCCTCTTGCCACCAATTTCTCGATCTACAGGAGTTAATTGGATTCAACTCGCGTATGAGATCATTTGATCGTCTTATGACTTGGCAGGAATTGGCAATGACACGACTGCAATTGAATGGCGGACAAAGCAGGTGGGGAAAAAAAAAGCAATAGCGTCAAAAAAGCATCATCACAAGGAACACCTCGTGTCTTTCCGGAATGGGACTTGGGATCTGTGGAGACACGATAATATGTATACCCCTGGATTCTCTAAGGGCCGAACGATAAATTCTCTTGAGCCTTTCTTTTTTGATGTGCGACCGAGGAATCGAGACGGAGTATTTTTTTTGGAAGATGTTTTGTCTCACCTCCTTGCGCAGTTACATAATTAACATCCCTGACAACTCGTCATGATCGTCATAGCTTTAGGACCGAAGATGTGGCTGGGGTTGTGTGTGGCGGACATCTCCGTCTCAAAGGGAAAAAAACACACACATTGAAATTCATTTTTGAAAAAAAACCATGTGGACCAAGGAACAATGGGGGCTTCGAGGCGAGGATCTTTGGTTGTATCTCGACCATTGTGGGAAAAAGTCTGGATTGCCCCATTGCCGCCCATGGATTTTGCTCGCGCTAGATGTGATATTAGATTTCAATTGCAGAAAGAAAATAAGAAAATAAGAAAAAGTAAAATACATTAAGCCAAAATAGGAAGTTTATCCAAATAACACGAAAACATAATCTAAAGATGCTCCAATTACGTAGCTAGATCGCAGATCCTAGCCCCTCTCCTCCTTGTTGTCCATGGGTCACCTACTGAACTTTAAGCTTCTCTTCCTCTTTCTCTTTTTTTTTTTTCCTTATCCTTTTTCTCCCACTCCATCACTTGGGGAGACTTAATTCCCTCTTTCCCCTCGACCCTTCCCATATGAATCTGATTCGTGTTCTGGACCTTTGAATATACCATCACGAATATTATCACCATGGCTAACGATGCCGTTCACTGGCTGGCCGCCAGGGACGATGCGGTATGCCCTATCGCTCATATGGGTATCCGATTGTTTACTAACGATACGTAGAGCGACATCAAGGACACCACGCCGTCCCTGTCTGGCTTGATTACCGTCCTAGTCCCCGCCCTCATCTCCTTCGTTGTGATGGTCTTGCTTTTCATCATCCTACGTAAGAGCAATCGCAGAATGTATATGCCTCGAACATATATTGGATACCTCCGTCCCTGGCAGCGCACCCCCGACTCTCCAACCGGATCATGGGACTGGATCAAGGCCATGTACCAGCTACCCGACACCTATGTTTTGCAGCATCACTCCATGGATGCCTACCTTATGCTTCGTTTCCTCAAACTGTGCTCCGTCATCCTGTTTGTGGGCTGCTGTATCACTTTCCCCATTTTGTGGCCCGTCAATGCCACAGGTGGGAACGGAAAGGTCCAACTGAACCTTCTGAGCATTTCGAATATTCATGAGTCTCAGTACGGTCGTTATTACGCACATTGTTTCCTCGCCTGGATCTTTGTCGGGTTCATCTTCTTTATGATCACCCGCGAGCATCTGTTCTACATTAACCTGCGCCAGGCCTATCTTTTCTCTCCCGCCTACGCTAGCCGTATCTCCTCCCGCACCGTGCTGTTCACCGCCGTTACCCAGGACCTCTTGAACAAGGACAAGCTGCGCACCATGTTCGGCCGCGACAAGGTAAAGAATGTGTGGATCGCAACGGATACCAAGGAGCTCGAGGAGAAGGTCAAGGACCGTGATGCCGCTGCGATGAAGCTCGAGGGTGCCGAGACCAAGCTCATTGTGCTTGCCAACAAGGCGCGCAACAAGGCTCTGAAGAAGGGTGGCTCAGCTGAGAACCCCGAGACTGATATTGCCGCGGGCCAATTCGATGATGAGTCTGGCTCTGTCGCTGCTCGTTGGGTCGAGGCTAAAAAGCGCCCCACGCACCGCCTCAAGATGCTTATTGGCAAGAAAGTCGACACCATCAATTGGGCTCGTTCGGAGATCGAGCGCCTCTCTCCCGAAATTGAAGAATTGCAGGCCAAGCACCGTGCTGGAGAAACTAAGCTGGTCTCTTCCGTCTTTGTCGAGTTCTACCATCAAGCTGATGCCCAGTCTTCCTACCAGTCTGTGGCCCACAACCTTCCCTTGCACATGAGCCCTCGCTATATTGGCTTAGATCCCACCCAGGTTATCTGGTCCAACCTCCGTATCAAGTGGTGGGAACGCCTTGGTCGCCATACCGCCACCATTGCCTTTGTCTGTGCTATGATCATTTTCTGGGCCATCCCTACGGCAGTCGTTGGCGCCATCTCCAACATTGACTCTCTGACCAAGATTGTTCCTTTCCTGAAGTTCATCGACAGCGTTCCGTCGTGGATTAAGGGTGTCATTACTGGCCTCTTGCCCACTGTCATGATGGCTGTTCTTATGGCACTGGTACCTATCATTCTTCGCTTGATGGCCAAGTTGGGAGGTGCTCCTACTCTCGCTGCCGTTGAACTGACCGTCCAGAACTGGTTCTTCGCTTTTCAGGTTGTTCAGGTCTTCTTGGTGGTGACTGTTGCCTCGTCGGCCGCCAGTGTCGTCGATAGTATCATCAAGAACCCCACTTCGGCTGCATCGCTGCTGGCCCAGAAGATCCCCACTGCGTCCAACTTCTATATTTCCTACATTATCCTACAGGGATTGTCTTTCAGCGCCGGCGCTCTTCTCCAGATAGTTGGCCTGATCCTCAGCAAGGTCCTCGGCCGTTTGCTCGATAGCACCCCTCGTAAGATGTACACTCGTTGGTCAAGCTTGGCTGGTCTCGGATGGGGCACTGTCTACCCTGCTTTCACCTTGTTGACCGTTGTTGGTATGTGAAACCCATGATCGATTTTCTTTTCTCATGATACTAACTTTTTGTTTTAGCAATCGTCTACTCCTGCATTGCTCCGCTCGTTATGGGATTCGGTGCTATTGGTCTCTACCTGTTCTATTTCGCCTACCGCTACAACCTGTTGTACGTGTCGAACGCAACCATCGACACCCAGGGCAGGTCCTACACCCGTGGTCTGCAACAACTAACTGTCGGTTGCTACCTGTCCATGGTTTGCCTGATTGGTCTCTTCGCCATTGGCACCGGTGCCAACAGAATGGCTCTCGGTCCCCTGATCCTCATGATTATCTTCTTGATCTTTATAATCCTGTACCACCTCTCGATGAACAGCGCCATGGAGCCTCTTCTCAACTACTTGCCCAAGAACCTCGAGGCTGAGGAGGAGGGTCTGCTTGCCGCTGAGAAGGCCAACAACCTCAGCACTCTGAACGAGAAGTCTAAGACCGACGACCTCACTGCGCCCAGTGGCTCCATTTCGGCCCACCGCGACAGCGGTATCGCCAACAGTGACAATGGCCTCGGCAACGTCGACTCTGCCGAGAAGGGTCTCACCCAGACCTCGGTACCACCGCCCAAGCCGAACTTGTTCACCAAGTTCCTACGCCCAGACTTGTATCAAAACTACCACGAGATGCGCAAGTTGGTCCCCGGCGCTACAGACATTGTCACTTACCCCGCTGAGGCCGAGCGTGACGCCTACTGCCACCCGGCCATCAACTCGCAGCCCCCTCTTCTCTGGATTCCCCGTGATCCCCTTGGAGTCAGCTCCCAGGAAGTTGCGCACACGATGCGCGTCATCCCCATCACGGACGAGGACGCGTATCTTGATGAGAACTGCAAGATCAAATGGAATGAGGAGAAGGGCGAGCCTCCCATCTACGAGGAGAAGATCGCCTACTAAGCACCTGCTCCACATGCTCGATCTCGACCTCGTTCGAGTGTCAACGATATGTCTACCGGTCGAATCCGCCCTGTATATATGAATTGTATACAGACATGCCATCTCGACCCGGTTTCTTTTGGTCTACTGTGATACCCAGCCGGCTAGTCACTAGCCGGCCCCAACGCGGACATTTGTTTTCTTTGTCCATCTACGACCGGCCTGGGGCTTACGCACCTCATGGACCTCTCGCTTTTCTTTTCTATAATCTTTAAAGTAATCAATCTGTGGTTCTTGTTCACGCTTCATGTCGATAATGTTATGCTGCGAGGATTTTGGCCATGAAATTGGAAAATTTAACCATGCTTCACAACTCTTGACATGGAACATTTCTTGCATTTATTGTATCTACCCTGCAGCTTTTGGCTAGTGCTGCGAATGATATGAATGACCTTTTCTCTTTTAATCACTGTTTGGGACAGCGACCTCGAAGATGGCAATATTTTCTTTCCTAGTCCGTATGTTGCTCCAAAAAGGACTGACTTAGGCATCAGTAATGCGCCACTGATGCGTTAAAAGAATACGTGCGGAGATGAAGAGGATATAATTTCAAAATCGACCCGCAACACAGCAAAACCCGATAAAGAACATTCGGCGATAGCCCACTAAATCGCCGCATTCTCAGGCTCTCGTTGCCCTCAGCTGCGCTGCAGTAGGCTCGCCTATGACCCCGTCTAAGACTATTTTGCAATCCGACGGTATACAAGTCCATGTTCCGCTCTAATTGAGGCATAGTCATACTACAGCTTCTGCACTGACTCCACAGCCTAGTCGTATATCAAGAGACACACGCCTGACTGTGATGACTTGAACCAACTGTTTCTTGGAATCCAAGCGCTTCAACTTCATGTATACCATCGTTACTTCATGAATAGTATTTTCCACCTTCCCGGGCATGCCTTGTGTCTTTCAAGACACTATTATGTACTTTCTTTGATGTTCCGGTGTCGCAAACAGTGCAGAAACTTTTTAAGATAAGACTTCTCTTATACATACTCGGCGCATAATATTTAGGGCCCAGGTTGAACATTTTATGCGCAAAAAAGCTCAGTTCGCCATATATTTTTTCATCATATCATCATTGTACCTAAATTTCTTATACTAGTGCATCCAAGACCTGCATAAATAGACAAAAATGGTGAACAAAAACAGACCAGCAAATCTTACTCGTAGAATAGCTGCAGAAACGGAGTAGTCCGGAGTCCGATCCTCAAGTCCGATGTTCGGCATGCCGAGAATACTCATGAAACTAAGATCGGCATGCCATTACCAATTTTTCCTGACTAAAAATGAGTAAGAACCTATAGAGTAATCTTAGACTCCGCTAGAGGACCTAGGGCCAATTGTGTCGTCGCATCTCGGCCAATATAGCCCGGTATTGGCCTATCACCATGTCGGGATGGATTGGTAGGAAGTATATTCCTCTCTTCTTTTTCCTAATGGGCTCGTAGGTCGCAGGTTGAGACAAGTCTCGTCTGACAAAGTCTCCCGACATGTCCCTGAAATGAGAGTGGATCGCAATGCTTGCAAATCATACCATGAGCCCGATGTATAAATCATCCGTGTAGGCTAGAGGGAAATTGTTAGGAAAATTCAAAGAATCTGTCATAGACCCAAGGCTCCATTCATTTTCTGACGCTTCTCTCAACAACAGAGTTATATTAATTATGCGCAGCCTCATCGGTCTTGTACTGCTTCCACTAGCAGCAGCGGTTCCCCATGCCTCATACAACTCACACCATACTTACGACTACATTGTTGTCGGAGGTGGCACTAGTGGCCTCGTTGTTGCAAACAGATTATCAGAGCAAAAGAACACTACCGTCCTCGTGATCGAAGCCGGCGGCTCCGTATATAACAATCCAAATGTAACCGACACTCTCGGATATGGTAAAGCATTCGATACAGACATTGACTGGGCCTACAAAACGACAAACCAAGAATATGCTGGTGGAATCTCACAGACGGTACGAGCTGGAAAGGCACTCGGAGGAACATCGACCATCAACGGCATGGTCTACCTTCGTGCCCAGGCAGCCCAGATCGATGCGTGGGAGACTGTGGGAAACAAGGGCTGGAACTGGAAGAATATGCTCCCATACTTCAAGAAGAGCGAACAGTTGCAAGATCCGGCACATTACCCATTCTTGGATGGATCGGGAGTTGCCTTTGATCCGGCCTACCACGGCTTTACTGGGTCTTTGAAGGTCGGTTGGTCTTCAACACAGTTGAACGATGGTCTCGCCCAGAAAATGAACGCTACCTACCAGAACCTCAAGGTCCCTGTTCAGTACAATCCGGACCCCAATGGCGGAGATATGATTGGATACAGTCTGTATCCCATGACTGTTGATTCTGAGCTCAACATTCGCGAGGATGCTGCTCGTGCCTACTATTATCCTTATCATAATAGAACCAATCTTCATGTCTGGCTTCACACAAACGCCAACAGAATTACCTGGAAGGATGGCCATGATATCACCGCAAGTGGTGTCGAAGTCACCCTGTCCAACGGCACAACCACTGTAGTGACGGCTACCCGGGAAGTAATTCTCGCTGCCGGTGCACTGAAGTCGCCCGTTCTGCTCGAGCTTTCTGGTATCGGGAACCCAGAGTATGGATACCACTACACCGTCCAATATTTGACCAATGCTGACCAAAGTCACTAGCATTCTTTCGAAGTACGGAATCACCCCCAAGGTTAACCTGCCAACTGTTGGCGAAAACCTGCAGGATCAAATGAACAACGGGCTCCAGTTCGATTCAAAGACCAGCTACAACAACAAGAGTGCCGATTACGTTTCCTACCCCTCGGCAGCTCAGCTCTTCCCTAACTCTACAACAGTCGGAGTCGAGCTTCTTCGCAAGCTCCCCGCTTATGCAGCCCAGGTTGCATCCGCCAACGGTAACATCACCAAAGCCCGCGACTTATACCGCTTCTTTAAGATCCAATGGGATTTGATCTTCAAGTATGGTATCCCTGTCGCGGAAATTCTGCTAGAGCCCTCTGGAACCATGTACGACACCGAATACTGGGGATCTGTTCCGTTTTCCCGCGGTAGCGTTCACCTCTCTTCTGCAGACCCTACGGCGGCGGCTATCATTGACCCAAAGTACTTTATGCTGGACTTTGATCTACATGCTCAGGTACAGGCGGCGAGGTTTATTCGGGAGGTCTTCAAGACTAAGCCATTTGCTGATATGGCTGGTGCTGAGACCAGCCCTGGTCTTTTGACTGTGGCTGCTGATGCGGATGACAAGGACTGGGCTGATTTCATCAAGGGTAACTGTAAGTTAATTCCTTGCTTTGCTAGGAAACTCTCAGGGGGAATTCAATGGCTGACATTTAAATAGTCCGATCAAACTTCCACCCGATTAGCACAGCTGCCATGATGCCCAAGGATATTGGTGGTGTCGTCGACTCATCATTAAAGGTTTACGGAACCTCAAACGTTCGTGTTGTGGATGCTTCTGTCTTGCCGTTTCAGGTCTGTGGTCACCTCCAGAGTACCGTCTATGCGGTCGCCGAGCGTGCGGCCGATATCATCAAGGGCCGGTTGTAACGTGGCATCGTGTTCCTGATGGAGGTCGTGTCGACAATTTGCTATAAATCTGCTTACTGTGACTACGAATAATGGGCCGTTTAGACAGCTTCTATTCTGGATGATGCAAAACTTCAGTGATCAAGGATTGAAAGCATCCGAGTTAGAATTGAGCAGGTATACAGCAAATCAGTACAAATATTATACACCTCCGAGAATCCCTCTTTCCAAGCAAATATAAAAAAACGGCTACCACACATATCGAAATTGTCGGTCCTCCTTATCCGTGAGATCTGTCTGTGGCAACCCATTTTCGTCTAGTTTGATCTCTTGATCCACACCAACAACACCCGAACTGGCAGCCTGTTCATCGCGTTGCTTATTATCCCATATGCATAAGAAGCGGAATAAGATCACCACCACGAAAAGTAGGCACCATGTCACAATAGATGTGATCACACCCTCTGTGTAACGAGGGCTGTGAGTCCATAGTTGAGGCGAGGCAATGCAGGCAGCACAGTAGCCGATGAAGAACATGCCGTTCACAACAGCGCGCTTCGTATTTCCCTTGAAGTTTGATGCCGCAAGGGAGAGAAGTGGTGTCATGGAGGCGGTAATGCATGAAGACTGCAAAAGGCGGGTTAATCACAGAAGAGTATAGCAGTCGATAGAGATACATACTAGCCACGAGGCAACAATAAGACCCCATTGAGCGGTCACGTCTAACTTCATTAAGAAGACGGTCCCAATTAGAGGCGGGATAATAAGAACAAGAACGACCAGCGTTCGCTGATTAGGGAAGATGAATACTAGACCAGCACCGATCCACAGTAAAGCAACCTGCACAGCTCCCGATGGAGCCGTATATAGCATGGTCTCAAGGTTGGTATAGCCAATTGACTTGATCACAAGGGATGCAAAAGTCAGAACTGGCGACTGCATGCATACCAAGACACCGAACCAAAAGACAACCCACGCCTTGGGATCCATAAGTGTCTCTTTGAGCTGGGCAACAGAAAAAAAGACCTTGTCACCACCATCTCGGTCTTGTGCCATGCGTAGCGACAGGACCTCTCTTTCGCGGGCATTCAAGAACCATGCATCTTTGGGTCCGTTTGGCATGAGCAAAAAGAACGCCACACCGGCGGCAGAAGTTATTGCACCGCAGATGATAAATAACACGCGCCAGGGGGCAATCGGAAGTGAGGTGTTCTTGCCAATACCATACATCAGGAAGCAACCGAGAACTTGCGCCAGACCATTCATGGAAATCCATAAGGCTGTGCGAACATTGTGCTCTTTCTTTCGGTACCAAATACTGGTGATTGTCACAAAGGCAGGCGACACAGCGCCCTCGCTAAAGCCGAGAAGGAAGCGCACCGTAGCGAATCCAGCGAAATTGTTTGGGGCTGCGAGGCACATGCACATCATTCCCCAGACAATTCTGAATTGGTTGTTAGCGCACCTTGGAAGGAAAGATCATAGCACCGTAAGAGTAAACGCACACTGTTGCGCCGACGAACTTGGTCAATGGGAGTCGGCTCATGAGATAGATGAATGGATACTCGGCGACCAATTGGCCAACATAGAAAATTGAGCTCGACCATGAATACTGCGAGCTGGTCATGTTGAGGTCTTCGATGAGACCGAAGACACCAGCATAGCTGAGACTCTGCTTGTCAAGATATTGCAAGAAAAAGACAAAACACATCTAAAAGTATGCATCATTAGCCTAAAGAAGAACCCGGGAGATAGCTTGAACCCCTTACAAAGGGCAAGATGACCAAGTCAATTTTGCGTAGGACAGCCTTCTCTTCCTCCTCAGTGTAATTTCCACGAAGCTCGAGCATTTCGCCGCTCGTTTGATCGGCATCATCGCTGCTCGCAGCACGCTTCTCTAAGTTGTCCATCAATGCGGGTGAACTAAACGCCCCTTGATATACAAACGAGTTTTCTTTTCTTATTTGGGCAAGCTCAGACTTGTGGCCCCAAAGAAACAGCAAAGACAAAAGCGAGGTTCAATTCTTCAAGGAAAGCTGATATGCCCCGGATTTCCCACCGGCTATATATAAAAGGAGGCTTATCAAGTTGATATGCGGAGAAGTGCATCGGCCCGATGGCGTCGGGAATCTGTCGACCAATTTGCCGACCCTGGGACTTCCTCCTTTCTGCTTTCTGATTTGAAGTATTTAAACCTCTGACTATCTTGATTTACTTCATATCTCCTATATTTCGCTATGTCACAAACACTCCCCGGCTCAGACATCAAGCCATGGACTCGCCCCGCACCGCAGGGATATAAGTTCACCAACGCCAACATCGTCGATGTTGAAGCAGGCACAATCAAAGAAAACATAACCCTCATTACCACCGACGGCAAAATCACATATATTGGCCCAGAATCATCCATTCCAGCCTCACCAACCAATCTCGAAACGGTAGATTGCCAGGGCAAATACATTTGCCCCGGTCTGTTCGATGCCCACGTACATCTTTGCGCAGTCCCAGGGTTCAGCGATTTATCCAAAGCCTTTGGAAACCCAAATGATGTTCATCTCTTGCGACAGCCCTACACTGCCTCGCAGATGCTGCATCGCGGCTTCACCAGCATCCGCGACTGTGGCGGTGCCCAGCTCGCCCTGAAAGAGGCAATCGAAGACGGTGTCTTCCCTGGCCCGCGTGTATTTATCGCAGGCCATGCCCTCTCGCAATTTGGTGGACATGGCGACCTGCGCGGCCCGCATGAGGCTACGCAATGCTGCGGCGGTACCCATAGCAATAATCACCTGGGCCGCATGTGCAATGGCGTTTCAGAGTGCATGGCTGCCGTCCGTGAGGAGATTCGCTGTGGCGCGGACTTTATCAAGATTATGGGCTCCGGTGGTGTGGCTTCCCCAACAGATAAGTTGGAGCATCTCCAATTCACAGCGGCGGAAATTCAAGCTATGGTGGAATGTGCTGATAATGCCGGGACTTTTGTCACGGCACATGCGTATACCGTTAAGGCTATCCGGCATTGTATCGATAATGGTGTCCGTGGTATTGAGCATGGGAACTTCGTGGATCCACCCACTGCCAAGCTGATGGCTGAGAAGGGGGTCTACTTGACACCTACACTTATCGCATATGCGCAAATGGCTTCCGAGCGGTGGAAGAACTACCTGCCCATTGAATCACAGACCAAGAATTCAATCGTGTTAAAGTCAGGTCTTGAGGCTTTGAAGGTTGCTTCGGAGGCTGGTGTGACTATGTGTTACGGCTCTGATTTGCTGGGTCCATTGGGTTCTGCGCAGACTCACGAATTCGCACTGCGGGCGCAGGTTTTGTCGTCACTCGAGATCTTACGTAGTGCAACTGTTAATCCGGCGAAGATGATGGGATGCGCGGATGAGCTGGGTCAAATCAAGGAAGGTTTCCATGCTGACGTTGTGATTCTGAATAAGAATCCGCTTGAGGATGTTACTGTCTTTGATAGGCCTGATGAATGTGTGCTTGGTGTGATGAAGGATGGTCGTGTCTATAAAAGTAGATGGGATGCGTTGCTAGAGGATGGTCAGATACCTGTGAGAGTACAATGATTATGTTGTCGCGCACTACAGATGGGATATCATCCGCTCGATAGCTCAAGTCACTCATATCAACATGAACGAGAAAACGAAAAAAATGAAAGCCGCAGCAATTTTCTTGCCCAGAGAGATAAAGCAACATATATGCAACAGAAAATGAAGACAATTCCTAGCCACCTAGTGCATACATGCCAAGGACGACGCACAAAGCATGCCCTGTGTGTACCTAAGTGTAGCCAGGGGCCGAGCCAGTTGATCTTTTGTTGGCTCCGTCTCAGATACTTCAAGCTAACCAGGTAGGAACTTAATAACAGCAAGAACAGGGGGGTGGGCGTGGGTAAAAGTTGGATGAAGAAATTGCACAATCTCTTTGAGACGGTAGTAGTTGCTGTAGAAATCAGAAACAAGTCTGGATGGTAAAAGTTGTCTCAAGTACATTGAGGGAACTCTTCCTAGATACTGCGCTGGATAATCATGTAAGTTCCGAGAAGTCCAGGACATCAAGCCCAGTCAAACCCATGAGAAAAGTCGGATCATCACTCTGGAGCCCCGACAGAAAGTCGTACTCTACAGACTGGAAGTCCCGCAGCATCGTTGATCCATGTGCTAGACTTTGTGGGATTGAGCTTTCCGAGATGTAATGTTCACCAGCAGTACTCCAGTCGGACGTATTCTCATTTGACTGTAGGTGTAGTGGAGTATGTGAAAATGGCACACCAGACTCTATCTCATGGAGTGCTCTTTGCTCCAGTGTCTGCGAGCCTTCCAGTCTAGTAAGCCATTCGGCCCATTGGTTGTAATCAGATGCTGAAGCCGAAGCTTGTACATCCTGCGTTTCGCGGGCTGCAGAGGACACTTGATGGAGTTTCTGGGCGGCCTCATTTGTTATCGACTGTACAGCTTCGACAAACTTCACTCCCAGTCTCGCTGTCATGTTCCCAGCCGCCATTTTCCGAAGGCAATCTAGACCAAATTTCACTCGAGCATTGTATCCTGAATCGCGTTCCGTAATTCCAGCCACTAGTGTCACGATCGTCGCAATACTGCATCCCTGAAAGTCCGTGAAGGAGAAGCGAGTGATGTTGCGGGTCTGTGTCAGATTCTCGAATAGCAGGAGAAGTTTTCTGCCTGCCTTTGCACAAGATCGAGATTGTCTCATAGTAGTTTCACTTGGATTGGAAGAGCGCGATGCAGGAAACATATGACAGCGAAGGCTCGTTCGGGCAACGGTTACGAGGGCGACTTTGCCCATGGTTATCCACGCATAATAATAATTCAAATAGAGATGGAAAATCGTGCGATACCGTGAGTCTTTTGGGTCCATGTTATCAAGCTTGAAGTCTGGTGGTAAGGACTTCTTCCACTGTCGAAGTTCAGAAGCCAGATTTTCGACTTCTGACTGCTGCTCTGCTTCGGTGACAGCCCCACTATAATGATATTTGAGCTGGTGTTGTTCTATGGGACTCGACACAACATACCAGGGCTCGGCAATTCGATCAAGAATCTTGATCAGGCGAGTGTACGCCATCTGGAATTGAATATTATTGTATCTTTGCAGGCGATCCAGCGCTGGGAGAGGCGATGGATGTGGCACTTTGACTACATTGGCACTGATAGAACGAGGCCTGCTTAGTTTGACAGTGGTGCACCTGACATTAGTTAGCGAGGCTGGTCTTGACGATGTTCCTGTCACCAACCTTTCGAGGGAATATATGGACCACCATAACCGGCAACGGACTTCCCTTTCCCGGTCATCAACCGCTTGATCCTCTGGGTTGAGATGGAGATCAAATGCCAACGCCTTGCGTAAAGCCAAGCCCATATAAACATAGGATGATCCAATGGCACTTGCTGGCATTAGGTAGACGCCCAACAAAAAAGGCGCTTGAATGGATCGGAGGCAGGGTCGGTCAATCAGATCGGGAATTAGCGTTTTGGCATGAGTATAGAAAATTTGTCCTAAATCATCATTATTCCGTTGCAGACTGACTGCAAATTCATCTGGCCTTTCTAGTGGCGTCCATTGACTGCCTAGGGCGAATGTTGCCAACACAAGACAGACAAAGCTCAAATCAGATCTCAACGGTGAGGTGGTGTCTATGTAAAACTGATCAATCTCGGACAATACTTGGTCCTGGTCAAAGTAGAAAAATGTATCTGTTGCATGTTTAATGAATACCGACAGCAAAAAGTTGGCGATGGGGCGTGGGGGAAATGCGTCAATTGCTGCATGCAAACGCGCCAGCTCAGATGGATGAAGTGCCTTTGGACGCGTCATATGCTTGCATTCATTAGTTAAGTTGAGCTGAGAATCAAAATACGGATATGGCTCACGGCTTGCATGGCGACCATGTCCCTTTCTTCGGGAGCAGCATCTGGATCTAGCGAGAACGCTTCCCTCAGGCGGGAGAGGATATTTGGCCATGGGACCCTTTTGGATTGACCTGCAACAACATGTTCGGCGAGCCTTTGGGACAAGACTGATGCCGGAGAAAGTGGATCATTATGATTCACATCGCCTTGCAGTAATTGCACTTGGCTGTTGCTTGCAGTGACCACTCCAAGTTCGGTGAGCTCACTAGACGCAGTGTCCTGAATAGAAGCCGATCGCTCCCTAAATTCATGTAAGCAAGATATTTTCTCGAAAATGAAATTACTACCTTCCAAACTTGCAGACTAAATCACTCGCAAAACACCGTTGACATCTTCCCGGGGTCGTCTCCACACACTTGCTCTTCCTGGTCTTGCAGCGATCGCACCTGGGCCTAGTTAGTGGATATGCCTGAGGTCAGATGAAAACCCTACGCTCTAGGTGCCCTTTTGCGATTTTCATCGGCAACTCGTCTTCTTTTTCGTCTCAAAGAGTTCATCATAGCTTTGTTGCAGCCATCCGATGGAAGAGTGGAGGAGTAGGAGACGGACAATTTCCCGCAACTCGGCAATTTGGCCTTATCTATCGCCCACAATATCCGAAATCAAAGAGAGGGAAATGATACAAGTGATTTTACGAATAATGATAGACATTTGATATCAGATCTCCTATCAATTCATGCTTCAATAGTTTGTATGTTGGGATCGTTCAGCTCCTAACCGAGTAGGGGTATGGCGCATTGTCATCCCTCTGAATTCCACTAATCCCCATGAAGTCTTGATACCATAGCCATAGTGTATCCTGTTGTTCTTGATTCAAGACAAAGAATTGCCTACGCAGTTGAATCTCAGCCGAGCTTCGTAATCTTAACAATCGCAGTTCTTCATCTCGGTTTTCCCGCATCAATCGTTGGATGGACGGTAGTCCGAAAAAGATATCGGCGATGTTCGCCTCCACTCCACGTACGCGGGCGAGTGCACGGTGGAAGTTTTCAATGTCAAAAAGCAAAACCTGGAGGTCCTTGATAGGGGTGGGAACATGGGACAGATCCGGAGGGATGGTGATTTCGAGGTAGAAATGAAGATCTTCCCCATAGTACTGCATCAAGCCATGTTGGTGTTCAGAAGAGAGAGCTGCGAATGTCGTTTGGGCTTTCTGTACGGCCTGTGTAGCGTTCTCTTCCTGGTCCTGTGCAAACCGAGCCACCTTTTCAACAGCTCTCTGGATCTCCGGGTGTTGGGTGCTGAGATTTGGGAAGGAATCCAGAAAGCGAAAAGTGGTCAGACAGCAATTTGCAGAATGGACAGCGGCTTTCAGTTCATCAAGAGCCTGGCGGAGCTCTGGAGCCAAGCATCGCTCATCAGTTGACTGAAGGAAAAGTGTGAGTGCGATGGTCTCAATCCTACTTCAGTACTCAGGCAAAGGTACTCACTTCAGTCATCTTTGTGAACACCCGGAAGATGGTTCTGAGTAAGGGGAAGGAAGGCAAAGTGCTCAAGCACTAGACATTGAGACAGTCTTGAGAAGATAGAAAACCATCTTAAAACGGTCCAAAACGTAAAACATCGTCTCAGGTGATTCCAGAGAAGGGCTGTTATTTTACCCTGAGACCATTGGAAGTAGAAAGATATTTTCATCAGAGCCGTTACCTGCATATACCCGACTTCCAAGGGTTGCGGCTGCCTAAGTTCAACCTAAGAGCTCTTCTCAACTTCTCAACTTCTCATCCTCTTCTCTCAACGTCTTCAGCTATGGGGTTAGTTTAATCATATCCAAAATGTAATTCACTAACAAGAAAATAGTTACACGCATTACTACGCTATCGTTGGCTGGGATACACCTGAATGGCAGAAGGCCTGGGCCCAGATTATCCAAGATGTCCCTAACATCATCAAAGAAGCTCGTGTCCCTCTCACGGGACCGACGGAAGATATGGACAAAATTACACCGGTGATCACGGACTCCGAGAAGGGTATACACCTGAATGGGATTCGAGGAAACGCCCATGAAGACTTCAGACTTTGCAAGCCGGGTGCATGGACTTTCTGCAAGACTGCTCGAAAGCCGTACGATGTGGTCGTTTCATCCATCCTTCTCAGGATTTGGATGTTAGCACCCAAGAACCTTGAGCTTGGGTATGGTAAATATTCCATCTGTCCAGAGAGTTGATTCTAACGATATATAGCTCGGATGGTGGTTATGAAGACTGGGATGAAGCACGTGACCTCTGTGCCACCTTGTGGCCTGAGGAGCCCACCGAAGGCCTATGGGCGCAGCATGACGAGGAAAATGGCGTTGCGGCCAACAATGGAAGCGAATAGGTTAATTAAAGGCGCGGGTTTGTCTTTCTTTGGGGGCTATTGAGTCCAGGTCTGTTTTACTGGGTGCCAATGTCACTCAGAATAGCTTGATACTGTGCACGCATGAGATCGTGAACTTCTTGCTTTATCCTTATTTCAATCTTCTATTCAAAGCCTTTCGACAGGTAGAATCTAAGGTTGCGGATGACTTCCCTCAGATCAGCCTCGCTTCCTCCTGCTATCGCGCACTGCCGACACCGCACGGCTACTTGCATGTGTAGAGGCCAAAGCCCCGTGTAATAGCTTATATTCGGATGCTGTGGCCGATATTCAACCCCCCGGAAAGTTCATTTGAGACCGCAAAAAGGCGAGGCGCCGATCTGGCTATTCTAGGTGTAACAAAATACGTGTGGACATTGACGAAGTTATGACTAAATGAAGACTAAGTCAAAGGAAAAACACGTCTCTAGTGATTATGGAAGAGAGAAGGGAGTGTGTTTAGCAAAGGAAGCTGGCTCCGACAACCGAAGGAGCAGACCTCAGGCAGCCAGGCAGTCACGTATTGCAGTAGCGCGGTCCGAGACGGCTGATATCAGGGATTAATGAGGACTACAAAAGATAAGAGAGACGGAGATGAGTAGCTGGAGTTGTTGAATTCAATCACAAGCGACAAGACCATGGCAGTTTCGAGGTTTTGAAGAACTCAGTATGCAATGCCCGTCTCGATGCTACTACAACAGTCCAATCGGTCAACCAACAACCCATTCAAGTTTTTGATGGTCATCCCAGGTGACTGGCACCAGATAGCCTTCTTGTGGTTGTTTGCCAACGCCTCTGATAGACATGAATGACCCCACGCTGGTAAGTTGTACATAATGAACTCCATCCTCGGTCGTGCGCAATGACACCACCGCGCACGTTCTATTTGATCCAGGTCGAGAATCCTCCTCAACTTCCATCGCAATGATCCCGTAAGTCCCATTCGGCTCGAAAATACAGGGGGTTTCAGTATTCAGGAGGCAGACACCTTTCAGTTTGGGGTCTTCAATATGGTGCTCTTTGATCCACTCCTCCCAAGCCATTTGCGCATGGTTGGGGTCGACGGAAAACAGGTTGAGATCAAACATTATACGGGATGGGAACAGCCATGACGTTTGGGATGTGATATGAAGTCCTCGAGGTGTAATCTTCCCGGCTTCGCCCGAGAGAAAGCGGATCTCTTCGTTATATTCACACTTTTTCATCGCCCAGCGCATTCCGTCTTCTTCAAACCGTGGCCCGTGCAGAAACAGCACGCCTTGGGGAAACTCGTTGAGCAGGCTGTAGAGCTTCCGCATTCGTTCATCGGATCCTTTAACCTCAAGAACTGGCTTCAAGTCCAGATTCAAAATACCCGCCAGAATGATTGGGCGATCGGCTGTCTTACTGGTAGCTCGGGTGGCTACATTAAACCAGTTCGATATGAGTAGTCGACTCTGGGAGAAAGAGTCGCCTTTGTCGAAAGCAGAACCAACAAAATCGACAAAACGTTCGAATTTGGATGTGGACTCAACAGTCTGTTGAAAGAATGAGCGCCAAGCACCGATGGCGAAGGTCACAATCCTCTCCTGCATGATAGGGAGTTTGCCTCCGTCAAGTTTGGTCAGGAGCTCGTCAGCAATAGTGGAAATGTTGACTGCTTTTTCAGAGAATAGCACGTACAGCCGGCTCTTAGCGGCCAGTCCTTCTTGAAGCGTCCATAGTCGGCGAATCCAGCCCGAACAGTACAATACCCTCAGCAGAAGCTCTAGGTGACTTGCAGAGCTCGCGTTCACGTTCCTCATCTCCGAGTCAAGGATCATCGTCCGGTAAGCTATAATTAAGTTAAGCTGACGTTCAAGGACGTTTAGTAGTCTTTAAATAGCTCGCACTGACCATCTATGTATACTTCACGAATGCGCTGAATTGCCAGGCTCCGAACATCAGGCTGATGTGGAATGCACAAGGTATCAATCCACACCAAGACTGAATCATCTCTGCGAAGAGCTTTGTTACTCACGAAATGAGCAAGTCGAGCCGTGCTAGTGTGAAATGATCCAAATGGACCATTATCATAGCGAGGAACATATTCATCGCCGGTGAGAACGGATTTTGCCTGTCCATAAAGGACCCTCAATTGGCAGTGTGGGAGACTATTACCCTCGGTGTTACCCAGCCCATCGGACCACACATGCGAAATTGCCAGGTATTGCTTGTCGATACGCTTTCTCACAATCTCAATCTTGAAATTCTCGTTGCCGAGATCATCCTCGCCGTTAGGCGTGATCATCAAAAGGGGGACCCCTCCATCCTGGAGAATTGTATGCAGCTGCTCGACATTTGCCTGAAGGTGCGAACAAGTACAATCTTCTTGCACGTGCCGAGTGACATAGTCGCTCTCGTCGATGTTGTTTGCCACACATCGGGTCTTCTTGCAGTGCCTATGCGACTTGATATTCCAGTCGGGCTTGATACGCATTAATTGAAGCAGATAAATAGGAGTGTCCACACCACCACCAGTCCAGCGACACTTCTCTGCCTCCAAGGGGCACCATCCCTCTCGAATCATTTGTTGAGTTTCAGATCCGACGCTTAGCAACCAATGCTTAACATTAGATGTCTTAGTCTGAGGACCGTCTCGCTTGACTGCAAGATTCCAGAGAACGTAGCAAATCAGCCGAATGGCCACCGCCATCTCCCCCCGCACACAAGTCTTGGAGTATATGGTGAGGTTATTGCAGACTTTCTCAACAATCTCAACCGCCCGCTTGCCAAGTTTTCTCTTCTTCCATTCCTTGGCGTTGCCGACATATTTATCAAGATGCTTCGTCGTCAGGTACTGACAAGAATCTTCTTCCCTGCGCAGAAGAAAATCGGACTGGTTGAGCTGGTCCCCAAAGACATAGTGGAGCATGCCGAAGTAGAGCCAGCACTCTATTTCGGAGTAGAACTTTGACGGTACTAAGATGTCAGGCCAGTACCTTTCGAAGCCTGTTTCTAGTCTCCAGCCACCGCGAATTGGGAATTGGTCCCAGTCGCTGCCATCATATAGCGAGCCGTTATACTCGACTAAATAAGGCATTGGGGGCTCCTCGGGAAAGAATAAATGTTCCGCCATTGTGAAGGGATTTTGAGAGTTGCACCTTTTTTTTTTCTCTCTCGGTCAAATAATGAAGCCCCGCGTCAGCATATAAACATCCCCTTAGGCGCTAGTCTCATACTGGTTGGTGAGGTCTTATGCCAAGAAATGCTCGTATTCCCTTCATCTCGTTTGCTAGCCTGTTGCTCAGCTGCTCAGCTGCTCAGCCGCTTTTCTTACCTTTGAGCCTTGAGGCTTCAAATCTTCATATTCGGTCTTGCTCCAGTATGTATCTTCCACAGTTAAAGGCAAGATAGAGATAATTTTGTGTGTTGATATGTTATGCCTCCTACTGGGTGGGATTCCAATACCCGACCACAAAGTCCTGGTGACAATAAGATCTCAAAACTGGAAAGTGTACGCAGTCATGTATGATTATTCGGAAGAAAAAAAAGCAATCGTTTGGATCTGGGAAGCGAAAGCTTTGGGTCCAATGCAGGCATGCAATGCTGCTGCTTTGACTTCTAATTGGACCAAAGTACATAGTACCAAGTCATGATACGACAAGGGAACCCTGGAGGCTACCACTCTCGGCATAGGACCTGGTAGAGAACTGCCATATACTGTGCTGCTGTAGGCCTATTCTCAGCCAGCTTGCGTCCTGCGCATCTGTTTGGTAAATTCTTTTTCTTTCGCCGCCCGTAGTAGCTGGCGTCGAATGTCCGGTTCATTGCTGGACCACCATTTTTCCTCCCAGGGCTGTAGGCCCCCGCCTCCAGGAAAATACTCTGGGAGCAGAGCTCGACCAGCCCCTTTAAATTCTAACTCGAGTTCCATCAGTGTATGCATGACCTTAAATTCGGCGAAGACCATTGGTGTCGGGCTTCCTTCGTGCACCGAGTTCGAGCGCATAGCCAGTCGAATCGGAATCCCTAACATCGCTGGTTGACGCGGAGCCCCAGCCGTGATAAGATTTTGCAGCATGCCAGTGCCGCCCACTGCGAGTAGATACCATGCGTGTTCCTGGATCCCCGTGCTAGTGAGGAGAAGCATGAGCCACAGCACCGCTAACAAGAACGTCATCATGCGTGTAGTGTTGCTGGGGCTCAGCACTTGCATCCACCAGCCCTTACGTGGCCGTCCTTCCCCGTCGTCCATCAATTGTCCCCCAGCCATGTCTTCCAAATCCAACCCACCCTTTGCCCCCAGCACCACGACCACATGCTGCGTGCCATTACCAAGCGTCAAGGCAACATCCTTGCGCCTTTCTAAAGTTCGGCACGCCCATTTTTCCTTCCGCCACTGCGGCAGCGCGCCAGACGCGTAGGCCAGGATGGTCCCGCACACGGTCACCAGAAAGATACTCCAGTCTCCGTGGAGACCAAACGGTATTGCGCTCACACCTAGTTGAACCACTGTCACGACAATTCCCAGCCAATACACCCAGTCGTAACCAGGTTTTGCCACACGAGAAGGCCCATCCAGTGCCCATTCGTAAACACTGACGCAGAGGCGCGCCTGGTAGGGGCTCACAAATTTGCGAGAATTGGGATATGTTTCTGTGGTTGCCGTCACCTTCCCTGACACCTCTGTGTCAGCGACCCCGGCTTCCTCGTCCTGGTACAAGACCGGGTGGCTTTGCAGTCGCTCTTCCACCTCTGCTGGCATCCAGTATTCGTAGTTCTGAAACACCCGCCCTAAAGTCCAGGATCGATTGAATCGCATATACCCTGTGCCTATGTTGATTACCCGGAGCGAAGAGTCAGGGGCGGGAGGCATCAGGCGGTCCTCGCTTTGGGCAGTGAGTAGCGCGGAGATAGCGTATGACACCCATCCGAAAGAGAAGGTGACGGGAGTCACCAGGCCGCCAGATACGGCTGCCAGAGCGACGCCAATGACATCCCCGCCAATAATTAAGAGGATTGAGAACAAGTCCGATGGATTGACCCACTGGGCGCGAAAGGTGGATGCTGCTTCATCCATTTGGAAAGTTGACTACGTACGGGCTTCAGCATAACAAGACTTTATGTAGGGGTCGAATTTCGCTTAAAACACCAAGAACAATAATCATCCAAACGTGAGAATACGAGAATATCCACAATTCAGCTGAGTTATCACGTGGCAGGCCCGAGCTGAAGCGTCTCTAGTTCGTACATGGTATCTCTCCAGGGCCCAAGTCCTTCCCGAGGTTGAGGGGTCTATTGATGAGTACCTGGATATGCCATTAAGAACATTTATACCACTGTGTCTTTTTTTTTGGAGTTCTTTCTATCTTTCTCTTCCCAGAGTGATAACTAGAAAGAAAATCCTTAGAAATACCAAGAATGGAATAGAACACGGAGTAGACTGTACGGTGCGTATTCCATCATGTATAGAGGCAGGAGCATAGATCGTCCATTCCATACTCCGTAGGCAACTTCGATATACATCACTCTCTGTATTGACACGGACATGAAAAGCCTCACGCGCCACTTGGCGGTGGAATTGCGAGTTGCTTAGTCATGACCAAAGGCCACACTTTCATGTTGGACTGCCAAATGCCTGGGCTGTTCTCCTACAAGATTTGACTTGGTCAGATTTCTTGCCCACACTCTGGACTCAAGTCTAAACTGTACACAAAGCCACAAGAATGCCAATCATCAAGAATTTCACCCTGCCAAGCTCGCTGAAGGAGCTAGCATTAAGTCCCAACTTGAAATTGTTCATTGCCTTCATATCTGGACCAGATCCAATCACCAAGCAACCTTGGTGTCCAGACGTGCGGGATGCTTTGCCATATATCAACGAGGCATTTGCCGGAGATGATACGCCAGAATTAGCTATTGTCGAGGTTGGACAAAAGCCCGAGTAAGTTTTACCATAATCGTGCCTGAGACTGCAATATCATGTTTCAAAATCACATCACAAACGCCTGTGATTCATTAAGCTGATATTTACCAGGTGGAATAACCCACAAAATGTCTATCGAACAACGTGGGGCACTAAGAATATTCCCGCGCTGGTACGCTATCAGCAAGTTAATGGGGAAGTCACCGAGACAGGAAGATTGGTGGAAGGAGAAATCCTCAACAAGCAAAGACTCCTGGCCTTCATCGCTTAATTATTTTATTTCTCATCATTAACCCATTCCTTGCTCTGTCCAGCAAAAATTGCACTCTCTATCTTCATGGTACTAGTCCGTTTGTTCTGAACAGCCCCAAATACTAGCTGCATTACTACATGGACATGGATCCTATCACTTTCAAGTCCTGGGGTGTTGCGGAACAGTCGTAACTTCTTTGCTGCCATGGCCTCCAACAGAAGGTCAAAGTCCTTGTCAAGGGTATCATATACACGCTGATGATTTCTCAAACCTTGAATCCACCTGGCATAAGTGTCTGGAAAACACCCCGAGGGTCATACTTCGCGGCAATATCAATAAGCTTTTGGTGGTTTTCCACGCCATAGCCAGGGAAGATAGACTGGAAGCCAGCAGCATCACCAATGTAGTTGAAGGTGTCGTACAGACCGGCTCTCTGGGTGGCATTGTTAATTTTGTAAGTGGTCTCTTCGACCCAAGAAGCGACAATGTCATCATACGCTGAGCCAATCCACTCAACCACCTCTGCGTAGCAAAGGTAGACCTGCGAGGAGTCCAGGCCGAGAGCGTTTCCGCCGTGAGCCTCGGAGGCCTTCATCCAGTCTGCACCTATAGGTTGCCAGTCCAGCTGGATAGTGGAGATGTTGGCGATAGGGATCTGCGCGTACAGCTTGGGGAGCTCGTCGAAGAAGGTTTGGTTGATGATGCTGATACCGCTGAGGAGCTCCTCATAACTTGTGCCCTTGACAGTTCCGGCAACAAAAACGTCACTAAGTCTGATTAGCCATCGTCCTATATTCTTCTGGCCGGGGGATCGTACTTGATACCATCAATCACCATTGCGCCGGTCTCAGCGGCAAACTCGGCGACCGTCTTGAAATCAAGCGTGCTGCTAATAGCCGGGATATCGGTAAACGGCTTAAAGATCTCGGGGTAGCTGATGCTGTCACTGTCATAGAACAGAATCACTGAGGCGAGAGTAGTCACGCCGGTCACAAGGGCTGGTACAATGTGCGTCTTGGGGTCGTAAATGTCAGATGCGTAAGTAGCCGCAGCCTAAGGAAACCAGTTAAACCCCAGTCATAAGGCAACCAAAAACATCGGTATGACATACCGCTAGGAACTCATCGATGTACTCAGACGAAACGGTGTGTGCACCAGCCCAGACCTTGGGCGATTTGATAGTCTCCAGATCGAACCGAGTGACAATGCCAAAATTACTGCTTCCGCCCTTCAAGGCCCAGAACAGATCAGGATGACTGGTCCTGTTAACTTCCACAATTGAGCCATCGGCAAGGACAACCTCGTAGTTGACAATAGTATCGCAGCCGAAGCCAACCTGATTGCCGTAAAAGTTGATACCGCCAGCAAGGAGCAGTCCCGGCACACCCACAGGGCCAAGACGACCACCGGCAGCAGTCAGTCCGAACTTTTGTAGGTATCCATAGACATCTCTCCATCTAAACATAGATAAGTAAAAGTGCTCATTCCCAGAGCGGACCGAACAAGGAAAAAAAGAAGCTTACCGGTAAGAAGGACCAATGGACACAATCGAATGATCGTCCGACAACTCCAAAGTCGTCAAATTTGACATAACAATCAAGACACCGTCATTGATATTGTTTGCGCCCTGTGGCTGTCAGGATGGAGCCCGAATGCTTAACATTGAGATCAAAACTCACCTGGATACCCATATGTCCACCACCCCGAACAGCGAACTGAGCATCGGCATTGGCCAGCGTCACGATGCCATCCGCGAGCTGTGCGCTGGACTGTGGTCGGAACACACAGCCAGGGCTCATCAGCTCGGTGTTCGACCAAAAGTTTGCCGCCTCGTATTTGTATACACTACTGCCGGCGAAGAAAAGCGAATCCCCAAGGGGCGTCTGTAGGGCCTTGCAGCCTGCCGAGGCATGGAGCGATGCAGTGGTGGCTGTCGATACTACGACTATGCCCGCTAGCGAGAGCACGGCTGATGTTACGCGCATGGTGAATGAGTATACCTCAATAGTGTACGGAGTATACAACTTTTGGACCCTGGTCGAACTAGGGGATTTGCGTCGACGGGTAACAAAAAAAAGTAAGGGGAGTCTTGGCTAGAATTGCAGATGGTATTATTAGATACAACATATGTCTAATCCTGAATAGTTCTGAAGTTTCTTGAGCTCTGATCTAGATCGGTTGGATTGTTTAGGTGGAGATTTCATAGGATTTTATCCACTTGGTGGAGCGAGATCAATTTGCGGAAATTATGATCGACGTTGCAATTATTCCAGAAGACCGTGTCTGGAATATAGAATTACCTGGCAATTCCATCATAGTCCATGCAAACTATATCATGACATTCAATGCGCATGTTAAGATTGTTCAGGGGCAACAGAACAAGTGTGTTGATGTTCGCTTTTCGCAACGATCTAAGCACTAAGAGCTGGCCTCTAACAATTACTGGGGACTTCCCATCTAGACGCCATTGCTTAGAGACGTGGAAGATAGAGCCGTAGAACATAATAGCTACTCATTCCCAGTATTCAGAACGCGAGTACTCGCATAGTTATCTAAGAACTGCCTGCGGGCCTTTTATTGACCAGTTGCCTGCTATAGAACGAGCGCATTATTGGTTCACTTGGGGGACTTCACCCCCTGAGTACCAGTAATTGAAAGCAGCACTCGTGGCTGAATGTAAAAACGCAGTGTCGATGTCCTTGGTTTGAGATATGAAATTTGAGAGGTGAGAGGTAGATGGCCGATGCATTTCGTCGACACCTAACATGCTACAGGTTGTTATCTTCTTGCCGAGTGCCCTGGTGGCCATGTTGGACATGCCTTCACGGCTCATGTGGCCATGACATTCGTAGTCACCAACGCATGCCGTCTCTGTCTTTAACGGCGTAGGGCAATAAAGATCTCCGTTCCACATTTTGCGGCTTCGTTCAGGTCTGAGTCGGCCTCAAGTGTGCCTACAATATTTTGTATTCTTTCACTTTGGCAGATGTGCTCGGGGACTTTTTTTGGCATTTCGATTAAAGAATGTAAGCCTATGCTCTTCATGAAGAGCGATGTCACAGAATAGGCGGCCGATGGCACCTAGATCACCTCCAAGTTAGAAATCATGATAAGATCCAGTGAGAGTATTACCAGTACCAGAAGCTCCTAAACCTAGCATATCCATTCTGGAAGTCTGGTAGACTGTTTTGCAGATATTTGAAGGCTCTGAAGGCATTTTATACTGCTCAAGAAGTGGGCTATAGATGATGCCAAGCATTGGCCCCACCAGAATACGCATCTACATGGCCCAAAAAGGAAATTTATACGCAAGAAGTGTGTATATATGCTGTGTAGGACGGCACCATAGTTGAGTTGGAACAATTCAAGCAGATCAGTTAAACTAGACCTTATAAGCCAGAATGTGCCGATCTTGGTCATACTCGGTGACAGTATAGTACTCCTTGCGAACAAGATTGTAGCTCATGTCCTCATTTCCAGCCGAAAACCATCCCGTTTGTTCAGTCGCTGTCTTCCCTTCTTCCCAAATGAAAAGGTCGCCTTTCTTGGGAGCTCTGCCCGTACTGCGCGAGATGTAAAACTTGCCCTCGTATGAAACAGCACCCTGTACATTGGGTATATTGACACAGGACGCCCAGCTTGAGGTAGCGATGCCATTTTCGGTTTGGAGCCGCCTAGTATCCGCATCCAAATTGTATTTCACATAGCGAATAGGAACTGGCGTCTTGTCGGCGTCGTCAAAAGTTTCCCCGTCCCTCACAAACTCACCTACCATAAGGGTGTCTGGTGAGTCGCTCCGATCAAGGGAAATCCAAGAGAAGCGGAAGGGAGAAGCGTCGCCGGCTATCCAGTTATAAGAGCTTTCAGTGCTGTTAGTATTGAATCGAAAGAAAATACAATGGGCAGGCTCACCGCATTTGAGGAAGCACATATCGGTACTCATCCGCAGAATACCCTTGTCCGTCTGCCGTTTTTCCGACTCCATCTGCAATATCAACCTCCCAGATATTGTCCAGGTCAAACGCGCGAATACCCTTATGAGTATCGACAACATATAGCACATTGCCATACCAAGCGATGCCGCCCGCATGAATACTGATGGATTCAAAGTCATCGTCGGCAGTAGGATAAACCAGCATCACATGGCGATATTTGTTTGTCTTGCGATCAATAAAGCTGACCCGTACGCTATCCCCACTGCGATACCAACTGACAATCCAGACCTCGTGGTCATTCCAGGTTCCCTTCCCAAAAGCATCGGCAGAGCTCGTGATTCCCTGCGGGACCCAGTCCGTCGTCTTATCATCGCCTGAGTTCCAAGCCCACGATTCAGCGGGAGGCCCATCCCCATTGCTGAGAGGAGGCGACCGTTTTACTAAATCGCGATTCGCGGATTGAAGAACTTCAGTGACGCTTGTGATCTTACCCTTTGAATCGAAATACTTAGCGAGTGCAGGCAGGTAAGGGTTGTCTATCTCTTCAAGGGTGAAGTCTTTTCCGTCAAGAGTTGTCTTGTCCTGGCAGTACCGAGGGTCTACCGCGAAGGTGACGGAGAAGAAAAAAGAAAAAGGGTAGACAAGACGAGTGTATACCGCATGATGGGATGTTGCTCCGCACTAAGGCATTTCTTTTGACGAGCCGGGGAAGATGCAATATATAGCAAATGTCATTACATCCAGGAGCGCGAGTGATTGAATGTAACCCGAAAGCGACTACGCCCATGTTTCCCCTCCTATCACCCATATTAGGACATGATCGCCATTGGATATGAACAATGGTCCCGTTAGAGTAGTCAAGCCTCTTCTGCATACTGAAAATAGCTCTCGAGCATGAAAGGCCCGCTCAGATCAACAGGGATGAAGCTCGTGTCAAGCCGAGAACATCAATTCGAAGCTCGTATTATTCCGTATCCATGCAGCAAGGCTTCTAATTTTGCCATAGTTGGTGCTGCAACTCTCGCCGAGGCACACGTAAATTCGCGTCAGCACTATATCTCTTGGCTTCATGTTGCTGCAACGTCAGCCCCACCCAAGTAGCCCAGGTGAACAAATTCAGACTCATTGACTTAGATATCTCATTTACTCAAAAACCTCTACGGTATGATGTTTCCTCCAAATTCTGGCGGAGAAACCCTACTGCCAACATATAGACAATCGTCAAGCGCGCCACCGACCTACGAGACGCACCGTCATGGAGAACGCGAAAGCCTTGCGCAAGGGTGGTAATAGTTTATACACAGACAAAAAGACTGCTCAAATCGTACCAATTGTTTCTTTGGTCTCACATCGAATGATATCCTTGCAAGAAACATACACTCGCCTCTTTGATCGCGATCTCGAAAGGAACATGCGCGAGCATATGCCATCAGCGACGCTTGTGCCATGGTGATCTGGGAGAAGAGTAAGAGCATGAAGGATGCCATGAAGATCCTTTCCACGTTCTTCTCGTGTTGCTTGTAGCCTTGATGAAGCAGTTCGAAGATATGCGCTCTGGCAGTATGCTAGTTTTTATCATGGCAAAACTGAAAGGTGGCTTGCAAGAGACCCTGCTCTTCTTGTCATCTTGGGCAGAGGATCCGGTGCAGTATCGTCGGGATGTTCTTTTCAAATTGTTTTCCATCAAAAAAAAAAGCCCCCATTGAGACTACCATTCTATCACACACACCATACTTTAGGCTCATTGGAACCGGCGATGTTTGAAGTTGGAGAAATACGATCCCGAGATACGGGCTGCATTCTGAGAAGACAGATAGAGGACGACCATTTCAGAGACACTAATTAGAAGCCGATGCTGAAGATATACGATAGAAGCTATTAGTCCTCGAATCACGATGATCCATCGGAAATTTGCGGTCCACAACCTCCCTCGTACATACACATGAGCCAAATCATACAATGATTGTGTCGACCGCTGCGAATTAGTATATCATCGGATCTGCAGTATACGAGCTATGTCCCGCTTGACCTCTACCGCTGTATTGGTTGCAAAGAATGAAGGAGTCGTATTACACAGCCCCTGCCTGCCAAGCCCTATCCCGTCATGATGCTATTCCCAATCTGAGAATCTAAGAATAACATCATTCTATACTTCACACAAGTTACCTAGATCTCGCTCTTGAAGTAGTCGACATTAGAGATTAGCTTCACTTCGTTCGTATACTGTACTGATTGCTGATCCCATCCCCAATGAGGAATAGTTGTCTCCATTCTGTTCGTGTTATTGAAAATAGTGTGCCATTATATACGAGCTTTGCAAGACTAACTTCCCTTACGGCTGTATGGTGAGTTTCCCTCAACCAATCGTTTTTATACATCATTTCATCGAAGCTTGGAGAGGATATAAATTCATGAAGTCCCCCTTTGCTATTATCCTTCCGGTGTCTTCCTCCTCAGTGTAACAAGCATCTATCAGCACTGGAATCATGCATTTCAAATCCTTCCTCTCTCTTTCCATTGCAGCTCCCTTTGCAACAGCCTATCATTTAGCTGTTACCGACCAGCATTCCAAGACTGTTCGGGTTTTCCCACGAGATTCTTCCAAATGGAACAAAGACGCCATTCACTGGTCTTTCACTGCCGACCTAAACCCATGGCCCTGGCAAAAAGACGTTTGGGCCGACCTTTCTGAAGTCAAAATCCGCAAGACAGCTGATCGAGGCCTAGTTGCCCTCGTTGCTGCCTCAGGGGGTAAAGTTGGCATGATCGATATCAAATCGGGGGAGAAATCCACGACGATAGACGACATCATCTGGTCAGCAACACCTGGTGGCAACCCGCATTCCCTCGAACGAATCCCTTATCTGGGAGCATTTGTTGCCGCAAGTTCGGCTTCCCATAAATTGACGCTGTATGTTCCAACCGATGCGTCAGATGTCAACAATCTGAAGAAGATCAAGAAGAGCCATGAGTATACTGTTCGAAAGGCCCACGGAGTGCTTTGGCATGGTGGTCAGTTGTGGGCCATCGGGGAGAATTACCTCCACAGGTATGATGTGGTGGGGAAAGGGAAAGATATCGAACTGAAGAGGGATGGGAAACCAATTCCTTTGCCGGAAGTAAAAGGCAGAGCGAGAAATGGTCACGATCTTTCCGCCAGTTACAAGGATGATGATATCCTGCTATTGACACACACTGCTGCTGCGTATAAGTACAACACAACCAGCAGGGACTTTCAGCGTCTCATGAAGGTTGATAAGCTCAAGTCTCTAGTCCAGCATTCTTCTGGTGAGTATGCCTGGGTGCGCGGGGCAAAGGGTGATATGGGACAGTATGTGTCGTTTAGTGATGAGAGCGCACCCACGGCCGAGACAGACAAGAGAGGGTGGGATGATGCTGAATTTTATAAGGCGAGAATATTTGATCCCGGGTATGAATGATTCCTTGCTACTATGATCTCGAATTGGCTTATTTATCTGAGGTGGAAGCAAGATTGTAGTAATGTATCCTATATTATGTTACAAGATTTTGATAGGACTACAACTAGTCGAATGTGATCGCAATATGATCGAATTTCTGCCTTGTGATGACTTCATCGCTTTCCTTATATCCCATCATACAGTGCTTGAAACAGGAGGATCATAGGAGCACTCGCCACGCCATTGTCGGCTCGCACCTCAGCTTTTTGCAAGGCGTAGGGCTGTTCGCTGTACAAAATAGGGCATGGACTGTTGTAGTACCATATAAGTTCCCCTTGAGAACATCACTAATCCGGCTAACCGTGTCGCTTGGTATTGTTATAGCAAATTGATAACACGTAAGAGTGCGCACACGGAGCATAGTTCCGACATGGCCATGCTGGAGAAATTGATCTATCTAACCAAAACAGGTATCGATGGACTGGGAAATATGCTTCAACCCGATTTGCGCTAGATCAGGTCATAAAATTACCATTGAACAGACATCGTGCGATATATGAGGTTCTTGTTCTTTGAGCGACCTGATGTGCAGTACATGAAACCATTTAGGCGTCTTCAATGTACAACGTATTGTAAGTTGTCCTGCAGACCTTGTATATGAGGACCTTCAGCGAAGGTTGTATAAGTCGAAGGACTTGTTCGACCTAGCCTGAGCCCCGTTATTCTATCGAAGGACTTCTAGTTCTGGTAGAGTTTAGCCTTGTGAACTTCGTATATGAAATAATTGCTATAGTATGCTTTTTAGTTACAAAGTACTTAGTTTAAGATTATTAGGTTCATGTATAACGACTATGCAATGCAAACTACAACAATGTAGTTTCCTCAAGGTCGTGCCTATCTGTAGCCTCGAACCTTGAAATGACCTAGTTTAATAGCTCGAACAGCGTCGATCAGCATTAAAATCTTATCATTGCTCGTCAACTTTCAGTCAATATCGTATGCTATCACATGACAGGTCTATTATTTCCCATTGCTTTGGCAGCCAGTATATTGTAGAAGACGGAGCATTTGTTGCATTTAATGATTGGCTTAAATGCTTGTTTCTAAGGCGTTTCTCTACAGACTCAACAGAGTGATGATACACCTGGGATACTAATATTTTCTGTTGGAGAAGGACCCGAGAGACGAGCTTTTAGGTTTGATATGCTAACAATTCATAGCGAGGACTTTTTTCTAATCCCAGACTAGGAACAAGAAGAAACGAATACCCAGACACGAAACACACACTGAACCCCAGCCAGAAAAAAAAAAAAAAAAAACGCAGAAAACCTAAGCCCTAGACGAGATAAAAAGGCAATAAAACGTGATTGTATGTTCATGATCCACGGCACAGCCCCTGGGAGAGATTCCAGTCTCGTCTCTCACATCTGCATGGCCTCATCACCATCGACATCCGCTCCACCGGGTATCCGTCCCTCGTTAAGCTCCTTCTCCAACTTTGTAATCTCCTGCAGACTCTTCGCCTCGCGAATCAGCTTCTCGACGCGCTGGCGTTCCTTATCAGTGAGTTGTACTCGCACACCCTTTTCGGCGGGAGTGCGTTCAGCCGGGGTGGAGACGTCGAAAGTGCGGGACTTGACACCCATAATCTTGGATGCAAGGGACGATGGTTCCTCATAGGTGCCGAAAAGCTCTTTAGCTGTGGCACGCTCAGCGTCGGTTACTTTCTGGAAGTCAAGGAAGCGGACGGAGGGAATGCGCCAGATAACCCAGTAACGGTAGTTCTGCAGAGATTGGTTAACCTAGTCTCCAACAGAGTCCAGGCTATATCACATATAGCCAGATCTAATGAGTATATGAGTGAAGGGGTAGACATACCTCTTTGCGGGTCACTGGATTTTGCAGGAGGGTCAAGTGCGTCAGCCGTTGCAAGTTCCGCAGCGGATCTAGGTCGGCAAGCTCAGACAAATTGTTCGCAGTCAGGACAAGAGTCGTCAGGTTAGGCACCGAAGTTGCGAGCGCCGGTTGAATGTGATTGATACGGTTGCGGGCTAGGAGGAGGGTGCGGAGGCGAGGAAAGTGGGGGAAGTTTCCCAGGGAGGAAATGTCATTATCGGTGAAATCGATCGCATCTTGATCCTACAAGCTGTCAACATCAGATCCGCAAGGGTATGATTGGGCTATCTGCAGACTCAATGGTTGGTCTAGCAATAACACAAAGAGACACATCAGAGACAAGCCTCCTGTCTCAAGGATTGGTTTAGAGAAACACAGCACTTACTTTGGCGATACCCAAGTTCTCAATTGTGGGGATCTTGTGACCTACACGACCACACAAAAAGACGATATCAATCCAGCTCTTAATCAAAAGTGTAGTACCTGTTCTTTTCAGGCAGGTGAGTAGTGAGTGAACGCACCTCGGAGATCTAGCTCGCGATCCGCGAGCGGATTGATGTATGTGAGAGAACTTTGGATAAGTTCAACGGTCAAGCGCATAATGACAGTAGGTATTGCCAAGGGAAGGTATGTATGTGAAGATGAGATTTAGGGCGACGGCATAGGTGTAGGGCTGAGGAAGAAGATTGGACAAGCTTGGTAAACTAATGCAGTGAATCGGAAGCTACAGTTTCTCTCTACATCATTTTCTGCCGGGCGGTGACGAGTCTCTCACGTGATATCAAATTGCATGAAAATGCTGGCATGGACATACACAAATAACTAACTAGTTAGTCAACTACAACATACTAGTTGGCTAATTAGTCAGTTGATGAAACCATACTCAGTACTAAGATGTACAGGGTAAATATAATGAAATCATTGGCAAGGTATTAATCTATATTCAGGGAAAAACATCCTCAACTGCTAATAGTACACACCTCATTACGTGTAAATCACCTGCCTGAGATCGAAAGCACCGCAATCAACCAACAAAAAGGTACTCCAGAGCACAGGGTTGAAATATGATATGAAGAATCGAAAGCAGCCTGCCACACGTACACGACTC